TAACAGGTAACGCAGAAGGGCGTTGGTCAATGGGTATAAATCGCGTCTCGGGCACAGAGCGATAGGGATGAGCAGGACCGGCCTGCGGTACAGGGCCGGGCTGCGAATTCGTAGTCTTAGCATTGGGCGCCTTCGCAGGCGTCGCGTACACGGACTTGTTTGTATTTTGTGGCAACGAACTAGCTGCTGGTTTTAACTGGCTCTCATCACGCCCCCAGCGTTTGTCAAGGTATTGGGCGTGAATCCCTGAACCCATCAAAAACCCTGGGACGACCCCTCCTGGACCGACGGTGGCTGAGCCATCTCGCCGACAGGCGGGTTGTTGTAATGCGCGATCTGCTCCGGGGAGAGCTGCTCGGTGAACTCGTCCCATCCGGGAGGAACGTCCAAGCCTGAGTCTAGTATGACACTCGGCTGTTGCTGCGGGATGCCCCACATGCCTGAGTTGGTGTATTGACCAATGTAGTTCATGAAGGGAGCGACCACATATTGGTTAACAGCCGCTTTCATTTGCTGCCACTTAGTACGCATCGGCAGGTCAAGCGGACCATTGCGACGCGGTATAATTTCGCCTGACCTAGTGCGGAAGCCTCCAGCGTTATCGGGTACGATCTCGCCGGACTTAATCGCATTCTGACAATCAGGGCAATTGTTCATGAAGTGGCCGACCTCGCCACACCAGTTGCAAGTGTATTGAGGTCGAGGGGGACCGCGCTGGCCGCCACCATAATTATTTTGGGGTCGGTTGAACGATCCAGGGTAGTTGGGCCGGAACCCACCGCCTTGCGGGGCGGCGCTGTTCGTGTTGAGCGACAGCTGGTTGGTGAGGCGCTGAATAGTCTCTTGGATCATCGCGAAGTTCTGATCGGACTTGGTACGTCCTTGAGCGAGCTCGGTATGAACTTCGGACTGTAGACTACGTATAGCGGTCTTAGTTTCCTTTTCGCCTTGGCTAGCGCGCTCAGCAAATTCATGGAAATCCTGCTCGAGTTTAACTAAGCGAGATTCACTGTCGCCCGAGTAGGATGCCGCGTGCGAGGCGGAAGCCACGGAGGTCTTGATAGACGCGACGGGATAAGCGTCGCCAATGGCGTTCTGAGCTGCAGTAAAACCGCGGCGCCAGACTTCGCGCATGGTGGCAACAATATCTTCCCATCGGTAACCTCCTTCGACGATGGATGTGTTAGTCGGCCGTTCCGGAGGATTCGCGTTTTCCTTGCCGGGTACCTCAAGACTGCTCGACTTGCCGACCAACATCATGTCGAGGGTCGCAAGGAACTGAGGCGTGCAGACAGCGGCGAGGCGCGAGCAGACTTCAAAATTCGAAATCTTGTAGTTGCTACGGCCGAGTTTGAGAATACACGGTGCAAAGCGACGGAGGAACACGTTTCCACGAGTCCCATCCTGCTCGCCAAGTCCGCGGAACTCGCTACAGATTTGGCTGAGCTCTGCAAGCGTTCCGGACTGCTGACCCGATATTTCAGGGTACTGTTCCAGGATCGCTTTAACAAAGTCCTCCCATGGTTTGTTTTTGAATGCGAGCGCCAGCTCCTCCCACAAGATGCGCGTAGCAGTCTTTTTAGCGTGGAGAGGCGCCTTAGCGATTTTGTCCGCGTCGGACGTGATCCCGTGATCTTTGAGGTATGTATCAAGATCTCGTAGGAACAAAGGCAAGCCACTCATATCATCCTCGTCGAAGCGAGGGGCGTCAGACGCCGTATGAGAGTAGCGAGCGGTAGACATTGGTTTGGGAATGTAAGTAGAAGTCGAAGTCGGAATAGAAGGAACGGGACGAGATACTGGAGTCGAATTCGGAGTCGGAATGATTCTGGAAGCTGGAGTCGGAGTCGGTTCTTCGGTCGAGGCTGGTTCGGTACGGTCGCGAGTCGGAAATAATTCAGAGAGAGACGGAGTCGAATCGTCGGACAGAGAGCTCAAGGGGGATGAAGCGCGTGGACCCTGTGTCGCGGCCGGTTCGGGCTCGATGGAAAGACGAGAGAATGAAGCAGAGAGGTCGTTGGCGACCGAGAGAGAAGTAGGAGAAGGAGGGTTCGGTTCTGTGTCCTCAGGGAAAGCACCTGGTAAGGTGTCGTCCGCTTTGGATGTTTCTACCGGACGTTGGGTAACGGATTTCCGGGGTGATGCTGATCGCGATGGGCGACTGGCTTGTTCCGCTAGACGCGCTCGCTCTTTGGCCTTTCTCTTGGATCGCTCGGATGTAGAGCTATCCCAGTCCGGTCTTAGAGCCGAGAGGCTGGATTTTTGTCCAGGAGCCGTCGTGACGGTACCCGAAAACACAAGTAGAATTGGAGAGGGCCTTAATATGACTCTCGAAGTTCGCTCAGCAGCTAGTAATTTGCTGGCTAACACAGAAATATCCCCTCGCGGTGGGCTCCAGATGATGGGATCGTACGCTCACGAATGACGCGTAGTACAGTCTAGCTAGACGATCCACACAACCAAACACCAACAACCACGATAGCAATGAACACGCTAGACTGGAGGCGCTACGAGAGCGGGCGAGTCCGAGTATTTATATTACTAGGGGATAGATTGTGTTGTTTATGCCAGTTCCAGACGAGCTGGACCAAAGCGAGAAGTCGAGTGGGGCAATCGGACGTCTCGGCGTTCTTACGAGCGCTTTCGGGTTTGATGGAAGTTCACAAGGCAGTTTAATGCGCTCGGAAGTTCAGGCTTTTATGATGTGTAAAGTGCGGGTTAACGCGGTTGTGTTTATTTGGTGTGGTGTGTAGGTACTAGGGCTTCTCTGCGCCGGGGCGGGAAAAGTCCCCGAATCGTATGTAGGTCTCGGTATATAACTTGAACGCGTCGTCTCGGCCGTCCAGACCGCGCGGTAACACACAATGCCTATCTCTGAGTCAAAATCCAACTATAACGCCTATCCGCGCGTTCTCCTGTCCGAATAATCGCGCAATGACTGCGGTTCCTGGCGGTAGAGCGGTTGACTGGTCGGGTATCCTCCTGCGCCGCGATGCCGGGCGCGATTCCACACTTGTTGATGTTTACCAAGGCAAGGCCGGCCTGGTTTCCACCCGTTCCCTTGTGCGCGACGCGGCTCAGAGGCCTGCGCGGCGGGGAGCGTACAGTCTGGACTGTCGATACGCGGGGAGCGAAGCCCTTGCCGGGGCGGACAGCGCTTGGCGGCGCCGACGCTCGGTTCGGAGTTCAACTCGGCGATGTCCGAGATCACGAGCTCGGACCCGAAGTTCCGGTCTCGGACCCGAAGTCACGTGTAGTCACGTTGATGGTTCGAGTTCCGCTTGCGCGGTGCTCTGCGTGTCTCCGCATGACGGCGAGCAGCAGGAAGGCTTGTCCGAGCCCCAACAATAATCTAGATTCTCTTGACACAGCAGGGCAAGAGGACTGAAGGCTTGAGGCGCGTATAGCGCGGCTACTTGATTAAGTAGGGCCCGCCAGAGGACTCGCAGGATGTCATCGACGACGCGCAGACTCGTGATCAGGCGCCGAAGAGCTCGCTGCTATCCTTGGTCAGTCATTGCAGACGGATAGTGCTGCGGACTAGTAGTATTGAAGGTTAGGAAGCGTGGCGCTCCTGGTTTTCTATGTCATAAAATACCCCCGACGCGCCCGTTGTACAGTCGCGACGTCGGTGCAGTATATACGGATCCGCCCATACAATCTAGACCAAGTCGACTATATATCGCTTGTTTATGTATGTTTTTCCGCGTTTTTCAGCCGCAGGGCGTATCAGTATCGAGCCACTGGATGCGCATGACCAAAGTGCCTAGCTCGAGGGCAATCCCCAGAAGCAACTTGTCAGCGAAGATCGGTCACCCCAAAATACGACTGTCGAGTGCGGTCGCTATCGCGCGCCGTCTAGCGGGCGTTAGGAATGATCTTCCTGCTTCATTGTGTGCGACTCTACCTTCTACTAGAATGAACTAGCGGTCCCTCATGACCTGCTTAGGACTCGATGGATTTACAACGGTCCAGTGGCCTTCCCGCTTTACTGGGGAGTTCAGTCGTCTGACTAGCGCGTATCACGTTGGCGCTTGGATTGCTCTGGTCATGTCCAAGAGTGCGAGTTCATAGGTATGACGATACACGCGCCGTTCGTTTCTACCCTACGTGAGTTTCTCGACGTTTTCCCTTTTCTGCCATCCACCTCAAATTGACCTTCACCATTCTGTACGCGTATCCTTCCATTTCCTCATCCTCCATTGCAGTAACTCGTCACCGACTCCGACGCAGCCAGCCTCGATGAGTCATCGGGGCACTCGACACCGATGCACGGCGCCATCCAGTGCGTGCCGCAGATGCAGTCGCGCTTCGATTGGCAGTTCTCCGCGGCACATTTACGAGCGCAGGCTGGGGAGGGGTATAGTGCGAGTGGGATGGGCGTGAGCGGAGCAAGGGGGAGGGTGACGTTGATATGAAGGTAAGCGCGAGGGTGAACAAGGGAGGTTTTCTTTACTCACGCGTGAGCGTGTTCAGCCCGTCCTGCGCTGCGAGCGCGACTTCCGAGAGCGCGACGAAGAGAAAAAGCTTCCAAGGCGCATTGTATAATCACGTCTTCCTGTGGCGATCGCAAGAAGGTGCGCTACAGCCCTGTATCTTCCGCGCATTATATAGCTCACATTCATCTGGCGGGTGCCTTCAGGTACAGTGCCTCTGTCCCTGCTTGTCACTCAGAACGCCGCGGACGTTCATGACGGGCTCCTCGGCGATGCATAATTCATCGACAAGGAGATGAGTACGCATACTCAGTTCTCTGTGATGGTGAAGCTTCCCTGCGACATCTCGAACAACAGGGCTCCGTCGAAGCCGAAAAGCGTCTGCAAGCGTGGCGCTGCTCTAGCTCCCTGAGTGATCAGCATCTGTTTCCTCTGTCAACATCTCTCATCCCTTGATTCCCGCGCGAGTCTCGCTGTCTCCTGTGATGGGTTAGAGCCGGGTTGTTCTCCAATACCATTGGAGCATCATATGTTTGTCCAAAAAGAGTCATAGAATCTTGCGAGAGGTCCTAGCAGGAATCGAACCTGCGTTAGTGGAATTCGAATGGCCGAATGCAGTACATCAGAATCCACTGTGATAACCGCTACACTATAGGACCATGACTGCAGCGTTGGGTACTTGTCCCTTGTCGATGGATAATCTAGTTTAGTGGTCGTTCATGTGCTCGATACGCGTTCCTTCACCTCGACGGGGTCGATCACACAGGGCATTGAAGTCGGAAGAGTGTCACGTTGAAGGGTACCCCTGTAGCAAGCAGGGAAATGCCATTTCGAAGGATGCAGAGTGAGGTACCTGCCTTGACGAGACCGTGTCCCAGCGCTTACTCCTGTCCATCTCGCTGTGCTTCACTTTGTGCGCAACCTGCATTCGATGCGGCTCGAGGACAGTGGACGCAGCGTATCAGGCGTCGTGGCAGTTCCAAGACGCCCCCGTAGATGTATACCCTGGCATCCTCTGCCACCCATGGCTTCTTGCTGATAGGAAAGAAGCTAGGGCATCCTGCTTATATACCTGGCTCGTCCCTCTACAGCTTTGGTAGTGGTGCTACAGCCTTGAGGACTTGCTCTACAGCAGCTCAACGTCGTATTGTCTGAAGAATTACCCACTCAGAGGGCTACCGTGCTAGCCTCGAGCGCTACGTGTGCGTAGCGCGACGGAAATTCCTTGTGTATTCAATCTTGACATCAGCGACACTGACGACACGATACATCTTCTTTCCCACCTATCTCTGAACACGACATTAGGGGTGAACGGTGCAAGCAACCGGCAGAAAATCCATCAAATGGTCTTCGACAAGAGCGCGAACCCACTCTCGCCGCAGGCTGCGGTCGAGGCCGTGCAAGCGTAGTCAATGAGTCGCACGAGGCGTGGTACTTTCATGTGACTCAGAATAGATCCTGGCGACGCATATGAATCAAATACCGCCGGAAGAGCGCAAAGCGGGACATGAGAGCGGGAGACAAGCAGGTTCGTGAACGTGACGCTGCTTGTCGAATTCGAGTCACGCACGCCACAAAATGAGCAGCCGGTCCGAAGGCCCGATGTTCATGTTGAACTTCCCAACTGGGTTTGATTCCGCTCCCCCAGCTTGCTCCCGCGGAAGCAATCTGAAGTCCTCCTCCAATCGAGATCTATCTCAGAACAGCCGCCGTGCTTTTGGGATATCATCCGGTTTTCTATCTTGTGAAGTTGAAGGAGGGAAAGAAGAACTACTCAAGTCGCAAGCGGAATTCAATTGCCTTTATTCGAGCAAGCAGGACAACGGTACGAGAGCAGACAATATCTACAGCGCGAGAAAGCTAACAATACGGTAGGTGAACGGCGAGATACAGAGATACGATCGGAAGATGCAAGAGCACTTGGAGTACGATATACACGGTACAGAGCGGGAACAACAGGACGTACGAACCACGGTGATACATTTAGGAGACAAATAAGTGGAATGGTGGATGGTGTAGGAGCTTTCCAGGTGCGTCGTGCGCACCCCCTTCATTTGATTGTGATGCTGACCGCGGTAGGTAGTTGCGCCAGAGTCGACTTCGCCCTAGCCAAGCATTCGCGACGCCTTCCCCTCTTCGTATCCCCGGCCAGGCAGCGGATCGTCACCCGCTGGCCCTACCGCGCGGCACCATTACTCGCTGATGCCGCGTCCCCCTCAGGCTGGGCACGTTGCAGCGTCCTGCGGCCTGCCCAGTTTGAGGGGGAGAGGATGTCGATATACCGAGGCGTCTCATGGGACGTTGACGGGAGGATTCAGCCAGCGTGTCTGCATCGTAACATGCTTGGGTTGTCGAGGTGTGGGGTGCGAGCGGATGCAGGCGCGGACGCTGGCGGCCGGAGGTTGAGTTGGATTTCTGGCGGCCTCTGCGGGCGGACGACGGGGTGCCCATTGTTTCGAGCACCGTCGATGGTGCGGGATGGGTCAAGACGAGAAAGGAAGTCGGATGGCGATGTTGCGCCGGGAGGGTTCTGGATGTCGATGTTGTGGTCATCTGCACGGCTTTGCAGGTGCGTGGTTGAGCGCTTCTCGTGAGCGCGTAGCTGACTCCCCTCCCTCGCCAGATTCCTCGGGTTATGTCTCTGCAAGACTCGTCAGCGATACTGCGCACGCTTGGAATCCCCGAACCACTCACCTAAATCTTCCGGCCGGAGGTCAGACAACAAGCCGTCACATCCTTATCTCCTGCGCTGCCGCGCCTGCGGTGGCTTGGTCAACCATGGGCTCTTCGCGGCCTTCTCCTTGTACGACCCAGACGTCTGCCGCGGCACCGACTTCGCCTTTGGCTTGGGCTGCGGCTTCTCCTTCTCCTTCACCTCCACGGGCGCAGTGCCGGCCTCGCCCTTGACGACATCGACCTCCTGCACCGCCGCCCGCTTCTTCCCAACAACCCGACGCACACACTTGATGCACAGCTTGTACACCCACTTCACGGCGCGCCACGGCGACTGCAGGACGCGCACGACCTGCGGCGGGCGCACCGACTGGCGGTAGTCGAAGATGTAGTTGAGGAGCTCGTGGAGGACGGCCTCCTCCGAGCGGCCGCGGCGGAGTAGAGCGAGCTTGCGCTGCGCGTGGCCTGGAGAGCCGCGCCGCTTGAAGACGTCCCAGATGTGGGATGGGCGTTCTGTGGAGCGCGGCGTCAGCTCCGGTCCATAGAGAGCGAGGAAGGGGGGACGTACCGTGCTCGTCGGCGAGGAAGAGCCAGAGCCCGATGGCTGACAGTTGGATGAACTCGCCCTGGAAGACCGTCAGCGATCGAACATCGAGAAGATTCGGAGAACGGTGACGTACGAATGCGGAGAGGAGGGCGAGGCAGAAGCCAGGGAGTTTAAAGAGGATGAAGAGGAAGATGCAGGGGGTGATCTCCGCGAAGTCGAGGATGATGGCGGCCGTGGTGCGGCCCTTGAAGCGGACCGACCAGTCGCGGCGCGCGAGGACTATGGCGGACGTTAGCGAAGGGACTGGGACGAGACCAGAGGAGAACGTACCATGCGAGTCCAACCAAGAGGCGATGCTGGCGCGATAGGACGCGGCGCAGAAGAGGGTGGTCGTGACGTTCTGGATGAAGAGCTCGGCATTGTTGATGGAGAGTGCCGGGATCAGCGAGCTCAGCAGCTGGGCTAGCGGCGTCGAGAGGTACAGCATGGTTGTGTGCGCGGTCTCGAGGTTGTACACGGCGTCCCTGTCGGGGAGGACGTGCTTGACCACGTCAACGGCGGTATACAGGGCGAGGCGGAGGACACGCTTGGCCACGTCGACGACGAGCTCGAAGACGCGGCAGGAGACGAGCGTAATCACGCCGACAGTGATCTTGAGGGCGTGGCGGAGGACGAGCAGGATGTGGGTGATCCGGCAGATGACTTGGGTGACTGCGCGGTGGACCTTGGTGATGGTCTTGTCGATGACTTGGGTGGTTGCGCGTGGGAGCTCAGCAATGGTCAGGAGGATGAAGTGGGCGGCTCGGGAGGCTGTGCGCTGGAGCTGGGCGGCAGTCAGGTACGTGACTGCATAGTGCCCTGCGAGTCTACTTACGGATGCAACAGACGAGAGAGGCCATCGAAGGGTACGTGCGGATGAGGATGGGGAAAATTCTGCGGGCTGCAGGATCGTGTCAGCACAGGTCGCCGACGAAGACGCAGTTCACACACGCACCCAGCCACTATAGAGCCCGCGCGCTGCCATGTAGACATGCAGCTTGTAGTTATCCGAGTCGGTGGACATGGGAATGGCATGCGAACGACCCTCCCAGTTGAAGCGCATCATCTTCATGACGGGCGGGCGGACGCGGACATCGAGCTGCTTGTCGGGTCAGAAGGCTGGTACGGTAGGAGGCACATCGAACGCACTGCAATGGGAACGTCGTGGGTGACGCGAGGGGGAGGGGTGCGAATGTAGACGAGGATGGGCGAGACCGATTTGGTGGGGGCGTTCTCAGGGGTGATGGTGAATGGGGTCTGAGGGATCATCAGCACGGGCGTGCGCAGGGAGGGGGGCTCGGCGCTCACCGTATCAACGGCGTAGCCGACGAGGAGCATGAGGGAGAGGATCTGGAGGTAGACGAGGTAGTAGGCAATGAAGATGTGGTCGTACTGGGTCCAGTCGGGTTGCTGGTCAACGATGACGGCGATGCGGGGGAGGTCGGCGTTGTACTCCTTTGTGGCGATCTCGCGGGGCTCGGGGATGGCCATGGCGGGGATCTCGAGGAACGGTAGCGAGGGCGCCGAAGGCTTGCCCAGCTCGTCTGCGGACTCGAGGGTCTCCATGAGCTGCGCCAGAAATGATGTCCAGGAATTGTCGATGTCGTGGAAGCATCCGACGGGGGTAAAGTCGGACGAGATGAGCGGGCACTGGTCTCGGTGCGCAATCTGGTCGATGATGAAGTTGTGCTCGACGATGTTTTGACGGCGCTCGAACAGCGACAAGCTATTGCCACTGCTGTCCCCGACTGGGGATGCCTGCATCAGGCCGATGATGACTGGAGAGACGAGCATATTGGTCTGCTCGTCCTGGATGGTGTTGAGTGCTTGCTTTCAGTCGAAGTGGAAGTTCAGGACAAGAGCAATGTCGTGGGTTTATGGCGCAGGGGAGGGCGTCTAAATCCAGGGGGTTGTTGATAGCTGTTGTGGCGCCTAAGTGATTTGTTATCTGTGCAGTGCAGATTCTTTATTGTGATTTTTCCTGATGGCGGCGCGGAGTGCGAATTGCCGACTGAATTGCGCATCGCGGTTCCCCGCCGCGTGATGCTGAGAGACTGAGCGGCGTGAATGGTTCGGAAGACTGACTCGCCATTGCCTGCGTTCGAGTGGTCAGCATGTGAGCCTGCAGGCGAGTCTGGGCAGTGCAGCGTACCGCCATGAACCTGACGAGGCTCAGAGTCGACCAACGCGGAACCGCTACGCACGCAGGGAATTTGGGGTCCAAGGTATATCCGCCTCTTTTCCAGAACTCTACGCGGGGTGCGCCCACCATCGTATGCGGACCTCCCGGTTTGAACATACCTTTCCTGGACGAGTGGACCATCCTTCTTTCGGACGAAATTACGATACTCAGTACTCCCGTGCCCCTCGTACGGACAGCGCGTGGATACCGCGTATCACAGCTGAGCAGCTTCTCGCGATGCATCAAATCGGTCATACTGGCAAGAAGGGTAAGCGGTCTGTCCAAAAGGGGAAAAGTACAAAGGGGTTCACCTTCTCCACTGTGAGGGCGAGATGGAGGTACGGCCTACAGTTAAGCCGCCTGCGGCCGTTGCAAGCTAGGAAGATGTGAGTAGTGTGTGCACGAAGAGAAAACGTGGATCGTCTGCGGCTTGAGAAACATGATGGACGGGGTCCTGGTCAGCGGACCGGGACGATAACGGAGAACCGCCGCTGAGTTCCTATTCTGCAGTCCATTACATAGTATGTAAATTCGACAGAGAAGTGTACATCGAAGAGATCGTAGGAAGTGCCGTGGGCGTACATGATCACGGGGGATTGAGGACGGGCTTTGCAGTTCTGAGCCTTTACGAACCATTATTCTGTGTCTGACCGGTTTAGCATCAGGCAAAAGACAGAGGAGTAAGATGTAGCTCACGCAGAAAAATCAATTCCTCAGGCTCGCTTCCTCAACCAGAAGCTCGCAGAATGGGAGGCGCTTGCGCTCTGGCATGTCCGGGACCATGACTTGCAAAACGCGAGAGAGAAGCTCGGGCTTCAGCCTGCAGTCGAGCGCAAGCTCGACGCACTCGGCCCGACCCACAAGGTCCTTCTCGCGCAACTTATCGGCGTAGTCCTGGACTCGAAACTCTTGAAAGAAGTCCTGCTGGATCTCAAATCACATCAATTGGCGGTCAAAACATCGTAAATACCTTGCGATGGTCAGCTGGGCTTGTCGGATGGGACTACAAGGAGTCGTGAGTCAGCATAAACATGCATACTGCCCGGAGCTTTCACGTACAGGCCCGGGTGTACTCGCTGTTTGATCTTGCCTAATATTTACAAGCTGAGACGTATCCTGCCGGCGTGATTCTTTACTCTCGGCACTCCTTACAACGGTGGGCTAGGGAGAGAACAGGAATCAGCGTCCGTCGCTGTATTGGACAGAACCATATATGACTGGACCTGTCTTCGAGACATGGCCGTGGAAGAATGGCGAAGGTGCATGGGATACGGGCTATGTCCACGTCGAGCTCTGCGAGTGGGTCCCCCATTGGCGGGAGGCAACACCGTGGCTTTGTCGAGCCGCGCACTGGCCACAGAAGTCTGCGGCTGCTTGAGAAAGAACAATACTAAGGAGAGGCGATCACGTACCAGCCAGATCTGACGTTCCTCCGTGTCCCCTTCCTGACCTTGTTCGTCTTGTGAACCGTTCGGCTTCACTACAACCACTGTCGCAAACCGTCTACCCTGCGCGTCACGGCGGCGGTTTTTGACCTCCTGAGTATTGTCAGCCTCCTGTGCCTCTCATTCGCGAACAAAGGGCGTACCAAGATTTTGGGATACCTCTCTGCGAATTCCCTACTGACATACTTGTAGTCTTCCTTGACGTTGTCTTTCTCCTTGTAGTTGTTGATCACACAGCGCCTCACGGACGCCGCCGTTCCATGGCCTAGCTCCGCAGCAATTTGTGAGCGTGAGCGACCCCACTTGTCCATGATGCGCGCCATGGCGCGCTCCTTCCGGGTGTAAATACTTCGATGCACTACATTTTGGGTTGACATTGGAGCCGCTGATGGTGTCGGTGGAGGAGTGGGCATGCTCTCGCTTCGTGACTGGATACATAGTTGAGCGAGGCCCTTGCAGTGACAAACTGGGCGCTCACCATCGTGGCTCTCTGCAGTGTCGAACGCAAGAGGTTCGGTGCTGGCAAGGGAGCGGATGGTGGTAGGAAACAAGCAGTTGTGATACGGGCCTGCTCGGAAGCGGCGCCGCGAGGGCGCGCAGCCTGAAGTGTATGTGATTAACCCGGACAGGCCATCAAGGCCGTGCAATGCATGCACGATGATCGGGGAATCAGAGCGAACCTCAGACGCGACCCCTCTGCATCCACTAAACATCTTGAGGTCGTCGGTTGCCATTCCGTCATGCCCAGGCGCACCTCCTTGTATCTCAAAGCGCTCATCCTTCCTTCGAAAACCTTATAGAAGGTCGGCACCAGCATGGTCTCCTGCGCACAAGTGCCGAGATAGGCGCCCACGTACCCTGCAATGCTGTGCCTTCCTCCTATTCAGCGGCGATACACAGGCTCACCGATGCTCAGATAAACTGCGCACGAAGTAGTTTCCCTCCTTTGCTCGTCGCGATGGCTGCCAACCCCGACCTCGACCGCGTTACGGCGCGCCTCGTTGCCGAGCTTGCCCTCGAGGATCTTGCCGCGATCGAGGGTCGTCGCAAGGGTAAAGCGCGCGAGGATGTTCCCCCAACGGACGAAGACGTAGCGATGGCGGAGCAGCTGCTGATCTACGAGGCGATGTTGCAGGCGATGGACGACTTCCGGTTCGCGGAGAGCTTGGACGACGCGCTTGAGGCCGATGCGAGAGTCTTGGCGGCGGAGCAGGCCGCGATGGATGATCGGCGCTTTGCCGAAGCTCTGGCAAACGGGCAGGATCTGCCACGCAGGTCAAGAGCGCAGGAGTTGGCAGAACAAGGCTGCGTCGGGTTAGAACCCGTGTGAGTGTACAGAATGACGACGGTGAACATGAGCTTACAGCGTACGATTGATTTCAGAGACAATGCTGAGTCTACTGGTGCGACCAGCCCCGCGACTCCCTCGACAAGCAACCTGGGAGGAAAGACAGAGTCAGTCCAGGTTCACCTACCACGAACGAGAAGACGCACTGACCACCCTTCAGTCGCATCGTCATCGAGTGCATCGTCTGCATGGACGATATCGCGACCCAACAGCGCGTCCAAGGCCCCTGCGGCCACTTCTACTGCCGTCACTGCATCCGCCAACTTGTTGCCACTGCCCTTCAGGATGAGTCCCTCTGGCCTCTCCGCTGCGACAACCGCCCCCTCCCCGTCCGCGCCATCCGCGCCCTCCTCGACACCGCCACCCAGCGCACCTTCGACGCCAAATCCGCCGAGCTCAGCACGCCCGCCACACGCCGCCTCTACTGCCCCAACGCAACCTGCTCCCACTTCCTCGGCGCGGCCGACCCCGATAGCCCGCGCGCCGACGTCCGCTGCCCGCGCTGCAACACCCTTGCATGCTCGTCCTGCAAGGAAAGCGCACACCCGGGCGCCGCGTGCGGCGAGAACCAGGCCGCCGAGGCCGTCCGCGCGCTCGCACGCGCGTCTGGCTGGCAGACGTGCCCCGAGTGCAAGAACATCGTCGAGCTCAGCCAGGGCTGCTTCCACATGACCTGCCGCTGCCGCGCGCAGTTCTGCTACCTCTGCGCGGCGCGGTGGAAGAACTGCACGTGTCGGCAGTGGGATGAGGACCGGCTGCTGGACACGGCGCGGCTGCGAGTGGAGAACGAGCTCGGCGCGGGTGCGCGGCAGGCGGCGCCGAATATCTTCAGGGAGAGGGTCGCGCAGCGGGTGGAAAGATTGAGGTACAACCACGATTGCGGGGCAGACGGGCATCGGTGGCGGAAGCAGTACGGTGGCGGTCGCTGTGAGAGCTGTCACCATCACCTTGCGCTATATCTCTTGGTGAGTACCGCCGAGCTACGGACGCACCGTGCTGAGCAATTCTCAGTTTTGCAGAGACTGCGCGATGGCGGCGTGCGTGCGGTGTGCGCGTAACAGGCTGTGAGCTGTCCAGGCTCCTAAGCTCCCTTCTTTGGGCCGTCGACGCTTGCTTTCTCACGTCAATGAGCTCTTTCTCAACGAGACTGACCGAATTTCCATCTTGACGGCGTGGCTGATCCTCCTTGTACAACAATGAGAGGCGTGTGACGGAACCGTGGATCCACATCGAAGAAAGAATATATACGTCCGAAACGGAGCCCATCTTCACATAAAGTACTGCGTTTGGTTCTGTAACATTCGCGTTAGCATACGACAAGCATACGTTAAAGTCCACCGTTCGGAGAAAAAGGACTCGTGAGCACTCACCACTCCCCTCCCTCCAACCCCTCCATCCCGCTCATTCTCCGCCGCCGCGCCATACACCGTGAAGACCCGCTCCCCGTCCTCCCGGATCGTCAATATCGACGCCAAGTTCCCGCACCGGTAGCAGTAATTCGGCGCGGACCACACGGTGACGAGGGCGGAGTCGAACATGTATTTGTAGCCCTCTTGTATGAGCTGGTGTGCGCGTGCGATGAGGCGGAGGGCGTTGGTGTGGTTGAACTGAGGGGAGGGGGAAATTGAGGACGTCAGCCTGACATTCGCAAACACGGAGAAAGGATAGCGCACCTCCCTTGTCACGGACTCGCCAAACAACCACCCTGCGCCGCGAGGGCTGACGGCCCAGTTATCGACCTCGTCGGGGTCGGACCACATGAGATCTACGAGGGATGAGATGGGTAGGGAGAGGTTGAAGAGTGGTCGCACCACATAGCGCGCCTTCGTGAGGGATCTCCTGCGCGCGGGAGAGCACGCGGATCTGGTCGAGTGTTCGTATGTCGGGGGAGAGACCGCCGTGCACGCATAGGGTCTCTCCATCGATGATCTAGGATACGAATGAGGGGAGGGGGAAGGGGGAATGCGCATGCACACGCACAGCAGCGAGGTTGAGGTAGTCGAATACGTTGCAGCAGGCCTTCCACACGGTCGCGCTCCCGTACTTCTGTTGGCATTCGTCTGGGCGCGCGTGAGTACTGTCCAGGAGGAGAACCATTGCCACACACCATAGAATCCGTACACCTGTGTGATCTGCCTGCTCTCGTGGTTTCCGCGCAGGAGCGAGACCTTGTCCGGGTATCTTCGATCGCGTCATGAGCGTCCGTCCCCCCTCCCCGCAGCCATAGCGCGAGATGAAGTACCTTGCCTTCAGCGCAAGCAGCAGCGAGACCGTCTCGAGGCTGTAGTGTCCGCGATCGACAAAGTCACCCTGGTAAGCGCTCAGCGCGTCGGCCCACGCAAGGAACAGCACCTACGTGCCATGAAGATGTAGCTTGTGTCAGGTATGTCGCCCCCCTTCCTCAGCAGCTCGAGCAGGTCCCAGAACTGCCCGTGGATGTCCCCGCAGATCGTCACCGGGCTTGAGACGGGCTGAATGTTAGATTCCTCGAGCAGGATGGCGCGGACGCGCTCGCAGAGGATCTTCATTTCGGGCTCGGACAGGTGTTTGCAGCTCATGAGCTGGTCTATCCAGCGATCTGGGTTGTATAGGGACATGGAGAGAATGTGTACGATGGCAAGGAACAACGGACGTATGTCAGAGTTCAGCCCCACACAATGAACTTCGTATTTGGTCGCGCTTAGTCGAGTTCAAACCTCGTTCGTCGTTCGTTCACCCCTCCATCTGAAATCGACCTGCTACCATCTAAGTGGCTAAGGTGACTATATATTGCGCACACTCGACTGCAAAGCTCTGATCCTGACTTCGTCAGACGAAACAGGGGATCGGTGCTCTACGCGCCACTTGTTACCAAATAAGGACCTGCGTGGCTAGAACAATAGACGGCAAACAGGTTTTCGCAAGTCCATTGTCTGCGGCAGCACCGGGTATCCGGACGCACCTGAAAGTCACTTGACGATGGCAAGAAGTTGTGCAGATGACGAGCCATGATATTCCACTGATACGCCTCGTGTTGGGGCGCAGGAAATCGTGTGGCAGCGACGGAGCCGCTTGCCGTGCCATGACCTGGCCGTCCTCCATTACGATCTTCTGATTGCTGTGCTGTGATCTTTCCCAGCCTATACAGCTGCTCTTCTGCAGGCCGTGATCCCTACCCTCGTGAGTCATTCAATTCGAAGTCCGCGCTCTTCCCTTTGACGAACGTTATCAGTTAGGCGCCGCGAAAGCTGCCTCTCTCTGGGCGACCGAAAGCCTCTGAGAACTCGTTGCTTGCTCTCGAATGAGCACAATGACATATCGGAACACTTCCCGCGCTCCCAGCGGCGAAGGGAGCACCTACCCATCGCGGAAACATGGGGGCACCCAAAAGGGGGTATCTTCGCCGCAGCGGACCCTTATTGTTATTCGAACCGCGCGCCCACAGACCACCCGCCCTTGTTCCCAGGCTGGTCCGCGCACGATAAAACCCGGCGCCCTTCCTTCGCCCCCCTTCCACACTTTTCCTGCGACGCCCACATCCGCGCGCATAACCATCGCAATCGTTCCCGGCCGAGCCCTTTGACTCTCAGGCTTTGGGCGAACTCAACGCCATATACGATGGACCCCCCATCGCTTGACGCCGTCTTGGCGTCTATACAGGCTGTCGGCGCCGTCATCCAAACCTTCTTCCGCGTCCTCTACCACGTCCAGTATTCCTTCGCCGACGCGCTCGGCTTCGTCTTCCCCCCTGAGCCCACCGAGTTCGATCAGGTCGCCGATTACTTCGTCCCTTTCCTTCGATATGCTCGCACGCTGTACGATGCGCTCCCCAGTGACGCGACCTTGATCGACTTCAACACCGTCCCCGAACTCCTCACCATCCTCTGGCCCGTCGTCGCGGCGATGCTCGTCGCAGTGCGTGTATTCTAATCTGTACTGAGTCCAGAAGTACTGATACCTTTGCCACAGGCTTCCTTTACTTTCTTCGGCCCCAACCGCTTCACCCTCCACACCTCCACGGTGTACTTCCTGGTCATTGCCTCTGTCAGTCTCGTGTTCCCGGCCTTGCCACACCCCTCTACCTCGGCCAAACCTATTCTAACCACTCTCTTACAGATCCCCATCGTACGCAACTACAACATGTCCGGGATATACTGCGTCATGATCAGCGACGCGATATCTCCTCGGTACGACGACTTGATATCTCCTTGGGCGCTCGCAAAGCCAGGCTGGGACATCTTGGTGCCCCTGGTGCAGCTGTGGAACATCCCAGTGCACATCGCCCACAATCATGACTTCATCCTCTACTACATCCGGGAACTCTGGTATCGAGGGTACACCTGGGAGAAGGACCTGGCCCACTTCGCCGTGCGGTTCCTCCTGCTTGCAACCGGGGTACAGGTTGGACTGGTCCTGGTGAGTTTCTTCTACTCTTTCGAACGAGCCCTTGAGCATATCGTCCGTCTATCTTCGCTTACCATCGCTAACCCGTCTTCCCCAGAACACCATCACCGTCTGGGTATACTGGACGCTCCGGACCATCCTCGCCGCCGTCTGCCTCCCCCTCAAGGCCGCCGTCGGCCTGCTTGATCGGGTCAAGCCAGACTTGCGCAAGCAGGTCGTGCGCTCCCTCGAGGCTCTCGTAGTCTCGCGCCAGGATATCAAGGCCTACTTGCTCGAAACGCTGGGAATCACCCCGCCCGACGACGATGCCGGGTTCCACGAGCGCGCGCGCGCGCTCGCGTCCGCGACGCGGGAGGAGATTCTGGCGAGGAAGGTGCGTGATATTGGCTGTCTGCTGCCTCGATGGACTCGCTGCCTCGGTATTTCTGTTCGACTTCACGCGGTGTATATCGCAGCCTTTTACGTGGGGCGTGTTGCACACGGGCTTTATGGCCCTTTTACGTTATGGCTCATTATCGCGGCCTCGTGTTTTCTCACGTTGCATGTTGACTTTCCGCTTCGCCTTCATGATCGACTCTGGACGTCCCTTGCTGACCTTCGCCCCCAGCGCATCCTGCCCGACGCGCCCGCCTTGACCACCGAATTGGACAACGCTGCCGATCAATCCTCTTCCGCTTCCTCTGACGACGATGATTCGGAGCCTGTCGTCGAGGATGAAGCTGTTGTTGAAGATGCACCTGTCGCCGTCAACGAAGACGAAACCGTCGATGTCGTCGAAGATGCACCCGTCGATGTCGTCGAAGATGCACCCGTCAGCGTTGAACTCGAGCCCGCCAGCGTCAACGTCGAACATGAAGTTGCCAGCGCCAACGAAGCCGCCGACCTGGAGACGGACGTCAGCCCCTCTCCCCCTTCCCCTTCATCACCTCCTACTACCCTTCTATTGCCTCGTGCCGCTGAGGACTCAGGTGCGTTGACCTACTTCCGTACTCACGACGAGGAAAGGCTGATCAACGAGCCTTAGGTTCCGACTCTGACGCCGAGGACGGGCATTCCGAGCAACACGAGAAATCCGAACACTCTGTCTCTGAGGACGAACACTCTGTCTCTGAGGACGAGCACTCCGACCAATCCGAGCACTCGTCGACGACCCTGAACCAGCCCACTTCCGCAATCGAGGACAAAGAGGACGAGTTCGATGAGGACATGGACGAAGTGCCCGTCGGGGACGAGGGCGAAGACGCCGTCGAGGATGTCCATGCGCTTGACGCCGAGCCCGTCAATGCCCCCGATGCTCAGCCCATCAACGTCGTCGATGTTGTTCCCGACGGACCTTTCAACACCGAGCCTACCGACTCCTTCTATGCCGAGTACATCAACGGCTTCGATGTCGAGCCCGCCAACACCTCCGATGTCGTGGACACCGCCTCGTCCACCGAGGACTCCGCCCCGTCCGCCGAGTACACCGTCCCGTCCGCCGAGCACATCACCCCTCCTGCCGAGTACATCGTCTCCAACGCCGACTACAACAACGCCGCCTTTGACATGGCTGACTTCCCTGAGCCAGTCGCCCAGGACTTGTCTGGATCAGCCGTCCAAGATGACAACCAGGCCGCCGTCCCGGATGCGCTACTGGAGATACCCTCGATCTTCGACCTACTATCCGCTCCCTCCCCCGATGAGGCCTCGACGCCATCGGCGTCTGGTGCGTGGCTATAGTGCTTGTTATGATTAGTGACTGATCCGCCCGTACAGAGCTTGGCACCGATGCCCCCAGTGAGACGTACATCACGTCTAACGACGCATACTACGAAGCCTTCACCCCGAACACCGTCCCCGAACCCTCCCAAGATGTCCTCTACTCGGCCCAACCTGACTTCCCGGACATGTCTGACGAGGACAAGCTGGCGCTTATGCGTGGGTTACCTGTCGTGTTAGACTCCTTCAAGCCACTGATCCAACGTCTATCCAGAGCTCGCACAGCAGAATGCGATGTACTTCAACACATTGTACCAGAGCTCCGTTCCATCCCCCGCCTATATCGCAGACGCGCCAGAAATATTCGACGCGTCAACTGCCCCGTTGCTTGAAGCGACGGGTACGTGCCCTGATCGAGTGGCGCCAGATTTCTGTGCTGATTGCCTTGCAGACGACGATACACATTCCAGTGCCTACTCACATCCCGACGAGTACACACTTCCAACCGCACCCTACCCTGACTTTGCCTCGGAGGTCGTATCACGAGGTGCGTAGCTCATCTCTCTATGTCTCGTTCAATGCTCAAGATCTTCAGATCCTACGGACGGCGCCATCATCTACTCTACCCAGGCCGGAGAAGCACCTGTAGCTGCGGACCACGCCTCCGACGCGCCGTCCGAGGCCCCGTTGCCCGAGGCGACGGGTACGTGTGCCATCATTCAAGCATGGATATCTTGATTGACCCTTCCCTAACAGAGGACAACTCGCTTGCAAATACTTCCTTTGAATCCTTCATTGCCGTGACAGGCGTAGCGGGTGCGTCCTTCCTCTCAGAATCGAAGATAAAGCACTCACACAGCACAGATATTTCGACCGCGTTCACCTTCGAGGACGCGAACGTCGCTCGCCGCTGGGCCGATGTCGAAAACGAAGTCCTTAGCGCACTGGACCAGGATGTCGAAGAGGACCTGCAAGCCTTCCTGGAGAAGATCACACTCGAACACTTCCGCCAGGGCTTCTTGCACGCAGTCGCCAGTAAGTTGGACAAAGGCCTTGCTTACCGCATGGACGCCCTTCAACCATCGCGGTGGTCCGGCATGCTAATCCTGGAATGGACCGATGGAGAATGGCTTGGCCGGCAGTACGCGCAAGTTTATGAGCGTGCGCGGGATCAGTCCATGGTCCGCGAGCTGAAAGCAGAGGGCGTGATTCAAGCGCTCGCGTACAGGATCATCTTCGGCATATACAACCTGGCTTATCCCGACGACTACAAGATCGCAAAGACATGGAGCGAATATCTATCGGCTGTAGCAGAGGCACCTAACGCACCGCAATCCGACATCTTGGCGGTCGTGGCTGACGCTCCGTTCACGCAAGCCGACTTGGAGCGCTGCCAGAAGATCCATCGCAAGGAAAAAGTCGACGACGCGGCATTCGAATGCGCTGTCGTATACTCCGTAGCGCATCACCTTGTTTCCCCCGCCGACTTCCTACTCGATGAGTGCCCGCGTTCCTTGGATCCTCACGTCTGGAAGATGGTACACGCCTACGTCTACTCGTTGGTCGCCGACGATGTTCTTTCCGCGACATTTTCCGAGGTGCCGAGCGAAGTGGTGGAGATCCTGGAAGGACGTGATGTGACGCTGTCCTTGACTGATGACGCGGCTCCTATGGAGTTTGATACCTCCTTGGACGACAGCGCGGACTCCATTTCTGCACTCGACACGTTCGTGGACGAGCCCCAGATCGACGTTGGTGAGTCAGAAATCTTCTGCGTGTTATGGCCTTCACTCATCACCTCGCAGCGTTCCTCGACCCTATCTCGCCCTACCTCATGTCCGACCCAAGGCTCGCCCCGCTGCTCGAGCGACTTGCAGAGTTCTTGTGCAAGACCTCGGACGAATACAAGGCGGGCTTCTGCGATGGCTTCGTGGATCGGATATCCCTTGAGAACGACACGACCAACATGTTCGCTGCTCTTTGTGTTCCCGTGCCCGACGCGGACGCTCGGTCAAAGGACTACATCCACGGCTACCAGCTCGGCAGCCCCATCGCCATCGTCGTTCGTGGCAGCCTCACGGTCTCGTGTGACGACCTCTCCTTCGCCGTCGAGGACTGGATCTTCATCGTCGGATTCTGGATCATCACGGAGCTTCGACAGCGGCCTGGTGGAGACGCGATGGACCTCATATCGGGCGAAGTTCTGAAGGAGGAGGTCGGCGACAAGACGCGCCATGAACTGCGTCGTCATTCGGCGTTCTTGCGTATCGCAAGCGGCGCGTTGAGATATCTGCCAGGGAAGCGCAGGGTCTATCGGACGGCTCTCGTCGGCCAGAGTGCTGGAGACGTTGCAGCGGATCTCTCTGCCATAGAGCTCGGGGTGCTCAACGCCCTCCGCCGCTTCGGCGATGACGAGCTTCTGAACGATTCGGCGAGCGACCAGCTCATCTATCACATCACGCAGAAGCTCCTGACGGAGTGGATGGTACCTATAGAGGCTCAGATCCTCATGGAGAGCCTTGATGAGGGTGAGTGATATGGATGATCTTCAGGCAATGTGTGTTTTCTGACAAACTCTCAGAGGAAGAAGTTCAACAGCTCGCCGCGCAGGCTGCTGCTAAACGTGTCCAGTCAAAGGGGTCTACTCCGCCGCCACCTACGTCGATGCCCGCGAATCCGGATCCTGAGCCTGCCACCCGGCCCACCACCTCGGGCTTGACGCTCCCATCCTCGTCTCGGACCACGGCACCACCGACGCCCGCGAGCCCCTCGTCCTCTCGCTCATTGAGCCCGTCATCGTCGCGTTCGCCCAGTCCCGCGCCATCGGAGCCCTCACCTTCGACGCCTACACCGCAGACGCCACCGCCCCTGCCCTCAAGTGTGCCGTCGTCCCCAGTCAGGGCTCCCTCGTCCCCGGTCGTCCCTACGTCGAGCCTCATCGAGCCCGTCAGCCCCGAGTCGTCTGCGCCTGCGCCGTTCGCGTCGCCTGACGACGAGCCGTCTGCGCCGTCTCAGCAAGAGCCGTTTACACCAGTCGCGGAGGCGCCGTCAACGCCAGCTGCAGAGGTCTCTATGTCATCCACGACTGCGCATGAGCCATCCACATCCACTTCGCCCGAGCCCACTGCATCGACCATACCAGATGCGCCTCCCACGCCGGTCGTGTTGCGCCCCTCCATCCGTGACTACGACCGCGATCACAATGGAGTTGCGCAGATGCTCGCCGCCGCTCGCACAAACGCCGACTGCTTGGACAAGCTTGTCAAGCACGACCCCATCGGCATCCTCGGCCTCGCAGACGGCATCCACGCGTCGAACACTCTGGGATACAAGGACCAGTCTGGCAAGCCTTCGGCCTACCCACCGGTGCCCGCTGGCATCGCTGACCGCAATCTGTACCTCGACGCCTGGGACGTCGGCTTCCGCATGGAGTACTGGCGCCTCTTCAGCGTAACGACCGGCTTCTCGAAACCTTGGCTCTGCTCCACCTTCATGGATGTGCTCATCGCCGGTATCGGCCACCGCCTACGGATGGACGAGCGCGACCTCCCTATTATCGAGAACAACTTGGACGCGCCTTCCATGGACATGAAGGACAAGCCATTCCGGACATTCAGGAACCAGGACGAGCTGTATTATTTCTACGAGGACCTCATACAGTCGCCGGGTGTCTTGGCACCCAGGGGCGACGACGCGGTGTACTCCGGCCAGCCGAATCTCCACGCTGTGCGCTGGGCCGTGCAGGATGGATTGCTGGTCCTCCGCGGAAACGCCTTCGGCCAGGTGGCTGACTACGACCCTGTACCATCGAGGCTTTACGAGCAAGTACTCGACGAGGTCATGAGGCAGGAGGAGCTATTCCCTTACAAAAAGACTTCGTCACGCAACAACCAGACCTCTGGAGGCGGGAGACCAAGAGGCGGGGGCTCTTCTAACCGTGGTAATGGGGGCGGGCAGCGCGGACGTGGACGTGGACGTGGACGTTAACAGCATAAAACGCACTAATTGCATACCCTCCTCCCAAGTCAGCACACCGTGAGGCGCCGCGGTGCACTGACTTGCGGGGTGCGGCATCGGCGGGCGGCCACCCGCCGATGCTGCTGGGTGAGGCCGGCGGAGACGCCCCGCTGGCCTTGCCCGCTAGACGAAGAGGCTCGAGGGTGCCTCAGCTGACAATCCGGCGATTGACACTCCCCACTGACCCCCATCTGTATCTGTACTCGTATCTCACACATACCCCACCTTTGTAGCATAGTACTTACATACGTATTCTCTCTCGATTTTCTTTGCAATGGCTGAAATCCGAACTCGAACTTGTGGGTCCGCACGCGTCCAGTCACGTGTGGGTACCGGCGAAGAGAGCCGCGCGCGCTTGTCGCGCGCCGCCAATTGAACCCGCGCTCACCGTCGTCTGCGATGAGGATGCGGCTCTGGACGCCGCTTATCGTCCTCATATCCTCAACACTATCATGGGCCTTACATGAGTCTGACGTCGGGGTGATCGACTGGCACAAGAGCCTCGTCGGTGTCCCCCAAGTGCACACCCCAGGGACGGCGCCGCTCATGCACAGAGTCAAAGGGAAGACGTCTAAGAGTGTCATCCTGTCTATCACGGACAAGAATGTGCTAGCAGCGCTGGACCCAGTCAGTGGGGGAGTCGGTACGTGGCAGTACTGAGCTCGTGGCGCGTCATGGCTAATGGACCGTAGCGTGGAGGCATGTTTTCGACAACTCGGACCCTGTAGTGTCCTACCACAAGTATGAAGATGGTGCGTATCTCCTCAAATGATCCCCTTGCTGCTAGCTCACCCAAATGACAGCTGTGGTCGCACTATCCGGCCCTGGCGCGTCGACCGTACGGATGTTCGAGTCCTTGACTGGATTCATACTCTTCGAGAGGAAGCTATACGACGACTCGCAAGGCCCTACATCGGCATTCGGCACGCATGTCGCGTTCGCGCCGGAGATGGCAGAACTAAACGTCTTGACCGGAGGCCACACCGTCACCCGCCTCAATGGCAAGAGCGGGGGGAAGACGCAATGGACATGGAGATCGGAGGACCAAGGGTGCGTGCGCATCTTCCAGCCCTCACCACATTATCTGAAGCGAGCGCCAGGTCGCTCGTCACCTACCTCCAGCTCGTGAACACCGCAGAGGCCGTATACGCGATCGGAGTCGCCAAAGAGTTCGCTTCGTACACCGTCCACTTGACTGCCATCGATCCTATAACCGGCGCTGAGCTTGCTTCTCGTCATGTCCCCTCCAATGTTACGGACCCCTCTCAGATCATGGCCCTCACCAGCGGCGATCAACGAGCGGTCGTGTGGCTCGAGAAGGGCCACCTTAAGTCGATCCCCCTTATGCCTCAGCTCCTCGCTCGACCCCTGCAAGCAAACGATGCGGATGTTGAGGAGCTTCTGGACATCACTCTGGCCAACCAAGGCATGCTGGTATTGAAGAAGACCAACGGCGCGGGTCGTATCGTCAAGCTCAGTGAGAAAGAGCCAGGCGTCACTGACACGGTCTGGGACTTCGAGGTGCGCATGTCTCTCTCAAGCCTTGGCTGTGCGTTGGATGTTAATCTGTTTGCGACCGCAGGTGCCATCTGCGCCCGCGCTGTACTCTGGTGGACTCGACAAAGACGGCAAGCCGTACATTGCGCGGCTGTACTGGTCGATCACCTTCAAGGCGCGTCTCCTCGCCTATGATCTTGCTGTCATACTGACGGTGCAATAGAAAGTCACCGTCGACGTCTTCACCCCGCACTTCACCCTCGTCACCGGCTTCACCATCCCCTTCGACACTGACCGCTACGGCAAGGTCGAGCACGTACGTCTCCCAATCCCCATTATTCTCGATCCTAAACCAATCCTCCAGTTCCACATGGACGCCGCAGTCCCCGGCGGCTGGACCGTCCTCACCCGCCTCGTACTCACCACCTCCACCGGCGCCGTCCAGTTCTGGCAGCAAGAAGACCTCAAATGGACGCGGGACGAAGCCCTCGCGCACATCGCCGCCGCCGAGTCCGTCGAGCTCCCCGAGCGCGTCGCCGCTTCCTCCTCATCCTCCTCGCCCTCCACCTCCCGCTTGCAACGCCAGATCCGCGACGCGCGCCAGCTGCCGCAGTACGTGTACCGCTTCGCCAAGCGCTTCGCGACAGGCGCATACGCGTCAGCGACGTCGCCCGCGTCTGAGGTTGGCGTATTTCGGGATGCGTTTGGCTTTAGGCAGGTTATCGTGGCGGCTACGGCGAGGGGCGTAGTGTATGGGCTGGACTCGAGCAATGGGGCAGTGCTTTGGAGTCGGCTGTATGAGGATAAGGATGGGGTGGTGACGCCTGTGAAGGTGTTTACTTTGCGGACGGTCAGCGACGGCGAGACCCCTCAGGTTGTTGTGGTTGCGCAGAGGAAGACCCCCCAGGTGCGTAGTTGTAGTCACACGGTGTTGCGTTCGCTAACTGACACCGAACAGGGTCAGACGCACACCGTGTTGTACCATCTGGATGCTCTGACTGGCAAGGATATGCGGCGCAAATTCGACAAAGGTGAACCGTTGCTTGGCTTCGTCGCTGTGAAGAAGCCCTTGGCGGACGCCTTCCTCCTCGACGCGGAGACGAGGGTTGTTGTCCTTGTTGACGAGTCTCTCGACGTGAGTGCCCTTCACCGACGACATCCACTGCACCTTCTAAGTGCCCTTGCAGTACACCATCTTCCCCGAGACCAAGGCCGCAGAAGCTTCTTTCGCCACCTACGCATCCTCGCTCTTCTTCCCCCTCCTCGAATCCGGTCGCCTCTCCGGCTACGCCCTCGGCTCCGAAAGCGCCTACCCCGCCTGGTCCATCCCCGCTGCCCCCGGCGACAGGATCGACGCGCTCGTCCCCCTCTCCCGCGGCCCCATCGCGAGCCTCGGCAAGGTCGTTGCGGATCGCAAGACGCTGTACAAGTACCTCAACCCGCGCCTCGTCGGCGTGCTCACTTCGGGCGCGTTAGGCTGCGGCGTGTCGGTCGTCGACGCTGCGAAGGGCACGGTGCTGTACCATGCGCGCGTGCCGGCGGTGCGCGGGGTGTGCGATGTGCATGCGTCGCTGTCGGAGCATTGGCTGGTCTATTCGTACTATGAGGGCGAGGCAACGGGCGGGGGTGTTACGGGACACCGGGTGGCGACGGTCGAGTTCTACGAGGGTCATGCGCCGGATGAGAAGACCGGAAGGTGCGTCTACCGATCGTTGCTCGTCCCGCAGCTACTCACTCTCGGCAGTGCTGAGCTCTCCGCGTTCGACCTGGGGCTGCTTAACTACACGACGTACGAGCAGACGTACGCGTACCCGCAACCTATCACCGCGCTCGCAACGACGCGGACGAAGCATGGAATCACGATGAAGGACCTCATTGGTACGTGTGTGATGGGTGAGAACGGCATCATGCCTACTGACACCTCTTAGTCGCTCGCGCGGACGGCAAGATACACTCTTTACAACGTCGACTACTCGACCCGCGTCGGCCGAAGCACAAGCCCACCGCGCAAGATGCCGAGGAACTGCTCATCCAGTATGAGCCTATCCTGCCCGACGACCCGAAGAGGATCTTGTCGCACAAATATGAGGTCGGTGCAGCTCCGGTCCGCGCAGTTCAAGTGGTACTGAACGCTGTCCCCACAGATCACGAACACCGCGAAGATCATCACCAGTCCCGCTTTGCTCGAGTCGACGTCGCTCGTGTATGCGTACGGCCTCGACATGTTCCTGACGCGGGTATCGCCATCGGGCACGTTCGACGTGTTGAGCGAAGGGTTCAACAAGATCCAGTTGGTGTTGACGATTTCGGCGTTGGCGATAGGATTGGTCGTGACTCGACCGATGGTGAGGAGAAAGAAGTTGCGGGAGAGGTGGTACTCGTAGGGATATGCCTAATCGCCGAGTGCTAGATGGCTCAAAATGATGAAACATCGCAAGACCTGTATCGATATGACATTCGGTGCACGTCCCACTGACAACGTTGCTGCATAGATAGGTCCTGGTGGATGGCATCTGACGCAGATTGGCTGCCGTGACCTTGAATGTGGCCCTTGAATGTAATGGAGGCATGGAGGCGTCCGTCAACTTTTGCCCTTCAACTGCGATTTCCAGCGTTCACGTCAGGCATAAGTATCCTTGACTTCTAGTACACTCATGCCTGGTGTTTCTGATAGATGTATTACTCTTGCCATCGCGGAATTCCGGCAAGCGACATGCGATGTATCGCTCGCTCAGTAGTCGTGCAGCACCAGAGGCTCAGCATACCCCTTGGTGCTCTTCCCCGAGTCGAAGAATGTACTCTACTAGGGTACTCGTTGGTCGACACTTGGGACGATGCCACCGTACACTCCTTGGTGGCATTATCTCAAGTCAGGTAGCTGATGCGCGTGTTTGCACTCGTACGCGCTCATGTGCGATTTCGGCCAATGAATGATGAGCGAAACAGCCCTCTCCTAATAGACGACGCCGCATATTGACCGAGCTGGAGACCTAGCATGTCTGCTTTCGACGGACCGACTTTGATTGTATAATTTTTGTGGCACTGGACATACAGTACATCTCTTAGTAGGAAGGATCACATAAACACAACTACCTAAACCCCACTGGACGAGCCACCATCAAACCGCCGCTTCCCCTGTTGGTCGAGCGCAAACATGATCTGTGCTATAGAGGCCACCACAAAGATAACAGAACTCCCTCCCACACCGGCACACCATATGCGGGCACCCGGCCGTGCGATCAACAGTGGCACCACACGATGGGCAGCGCTGCCACTGCTTCTCCTTCACGAGCGCGTCGAACTGGGCGGTGGACTCCTGAACACAGTCGCGTCCCGCATGGCCTGGTTGCCTGCATTGCGCGCAGGTCGTCGTATGACACGCCGTACAGGATAGGACGGTGGGTCCTGCTCGATTGTGCGACCTCAAGCCCGAGCCGAGGAACGCAGAGCACCGGGGATTCACGCAGTATACGCGGTCGGCGGGGGCGACGACGTACTCGGCGCGTTTGATTTGGTACTGCGCGCGAAGGGTGTTTGGAATCACCGCGTCCACCGCTGCATCGCACAGCGGCTGCCCGCAACAGCGCAGAGGGAAGAGCGTTTCGTCCGTGAGCGTGGACCGGACGAGTCTTTCTACACACTCGGGGCAGAAGTGGTGGCCACAGAGCGCATCGACGCTCTCGGTCGACCAGGTGTGGTCGTAGCAGCCTTCACACGTATATAGCGCGCCGCGGGGAGGCTCGCTGTGGAGCGCATGTCAGTCTAGCGATTTGCTGCATATGATCTCCAAAAGTAATACGTACCACGCGTGCAAAAGTGGATGCCAATCCGCCTCCTGGACTGGCGGAGTCAACGGACTGTCAGAGAGCTCGCCTTCGTCGCCAGACTGTCCTTCCCCATCCGCATATTCTGAAGGGGCAGCTTCAAACGACTCTTCTTCAGAGTCTTCGTTGGGCGGCTCCCACCACAACCGATGCTCAGGGGACCTATACGGCGCGATGAGGGAGTCCTCCGATTCGTCGTCAGGAGATGGAAACTGCACTGCATATTCCATCGGCGTCGAATGTTCTTCGTCCTCCTGCGCCTCATCGTCTCCATAATTTTCCTGACGATCGAGCTCGCTGATGACATCGGTCGAATCTGCTTCCTCGAGGGCCTCGAGGCGGAGAGGATCGGTCACACTAAGCCTGTATCAACATGGGGATTAGGGCCGTTAGACGCTTGCGTGCGCACCTGTAACGATATACAGGTACGACTTGGTCGTATCTCTCGGCAGATATCACATTGGACATCGTGGGGCCTTCGCTTGGACGAGGAGGGGAGTACGGTAATTCACTTTGAAGAGGTGAGGAAGTAGACGTGCGATGCTCTGCGGACGCGCTAGAGGTTGATGCATGACTTGTAGTGGCTTCGGAGCGCGGCGGAGATGAAGCACGGGGTCCCGCAGGAGTCGCCTCTGCCGCCGGGGATTGTGCACTCGTTGTTGCGGGAACACTCCTACTTCGTCAGCTCGGCATCGTGCACGAGGACCACGATACATACCGTTCTACCTCCCGACGCTGTGTAAGCTGCTGCCTCGCCTGCCGCGCCGCTCTGACGGGGTCGATGCCGAAGTTCCGCAGCATTGTCTCCAACGCCTCGGCCTGCAGCTCGAAGGCAAGTTGCTGATCGGCAAAATCTCCAGCCATCTCATCGAGGTCCGCGAGCGCAAGCTGGGCGATGAGGGATGCGGTCTCTTCATCGAGCTGCGTGGGGGACGCGGGGAGCGCGAGGAGCATCGACATGACGAAGAGCTGTTGGGCGCTTATCAGATGACGGAAAGACTCGGAGTAAAGACTTGTTGGCACACATTCAGTTGTGTTCAAGGTCACGTATAGCTGCAGTGCGGAAGCCCCAAAGGGAATGAGAACGACGATGGGGGAGACGGTAAAAAGAGGAGACACGAGCGAGATGGTGGAAGGAACGAGGGTGTCCGTCACGCACCTTCTGCTATCCAGGTCATAGGTTCAGAGCGACACCATTAACGCCTCGTAGTAGGCATATCTAGGCCGTCAGCCAATCCCAATGAGAGTTCGGTGATAGCAAGGGCGAGTTCGCGAACATCTATTAGGGTTGGGCATACACATGCGCTGCATGACGCCGAAGTCGTGGGGACAAGGATATATATTAGAGTATTATATTGCCAAGTGCGCTATCATTGTGCGCAGCGAAGCCGTCAAGCGTCAAGAGGCGTTGGGAAACCATCATGAAGGTTCGTGACAAGTTCAAAGTCGGGAAATGCCAGCTGACTTTTGAGCAATCACATGACCGTTCGGCAACATCCGAGTAACGGGCCGCGACCGGCGCCGGTGTTGTTCTCTTGCCACAAACCACCACAGACCAGAATCTAGCCAAAGTCGACAGTCACTCAGAGCCATTGCCTGCGATACTTAGACCTCACACGCTATACACTGCTGCCAACCTGCTACATCGATGCACCACTGCTTGGCTATACCCGAAATCCTGTCCTTAATATGTGATTGCCTCGCGGAAATAACCTGGGATCACTGGCTGAACAACAGGACCCTGATGTATATGTCGCTGACATGTCGAAGCTTCAGTGGTCCTGCAACGGCTACTTTGTGGCGGAAGCTGTATAATGTCAAACCGCTGCTACGTGTTCTGCCGCCTGACATCTTTGTCGACCAGCAGGAGTTCGTGAGTGTCATTAAACAGGTTCATAACGGTCATATCCTTACTTATGGTCAGGCACTTGCCCGAATTGTGCAGCCAGCCGATCTGGAGAGGTTCAAGCACTATGCCCGATTCGTGCAGGATTTGGGTACCTCGTGGCTGCCGGACGAGACCTGTCTTGCAGCGCTGCAATTGTGTTTTCCCGCTCCTCTATTGCCGAAACTTCGCCACCTCTCCTGGGTTCCTGGTCCCTCCTCGCTCTCATTCATCACCATGTTCCTTCATCCTGGAATCACAACGCTTCGTCTCTATATGGCCGGTGCTCCTGAGGCTGGCCGTCTTCTCGCCTCGTCGCTCGTGCCACGACTTCCAACTCTCTGCCCCAGCATCCAGGTCTTTGAATTCCACGGTCATGACGACTTTGCACCCGTCTTTACTCTCTTCTATTCCCCTTCGGACGCTACGAGCAGATGGAATGAGCTTCGAGTTCTCGATCTGCCTTATCTGCACGGAAGCGATATTCAATGCATCGCCTCCTGTTCACGGCTCGCGAGCCTTCGTATCAGAGGTCTTCCCGAAGACTTTCCCAAGTGCGGGATGCTCATTGCGCAGCCAGCCTTCGTGTCTTTGCGCACACTCGAGCTTGAGCCGCAAGCGATGCACCTGGCTACCAGTTTCTTCGAATCTCTCCAGCTGGCACTGCGACTCGAGTCCCTGAAAGTCAAATGCAAGGAGATCAAGAAGGCGTGTCATTGGAAGGCCCTCTTACTGTCGATAGCACGCACTTGCGATCCGGACACGCTGCAAAGGCTGACTATCAAGGGGTACGGAAAATACACCGAGGACCCCGAGCCAGACGTCCCAGACTGGTACCTGACGGCCCTCTCATTCGACGTCGCGTCGCACCTGCTCACATTCCGCAACCTTACCCATCTCGTATTACGATCATGGGGAGGGTTTGTGTTCGAAGACGAGCACTTCGACTCACTCGCTCAGGCGTTCCCCGACCTCCAGCACTTGGAACTGCTGGAAGAAGACGAGAGCCATCGACACGAGGCATCGATCTACGCTCTAATCCCTCTCGCTCGACACTGCCCTCGTCTGCACTTCCTCGCCATGGATTTCCACGCGGATGACTACACGTACGAGGAACACGAGACGCGCGGCGTCTGCCAGCGGGCCCTCACCTGGCTTGACGTGCGCTACTCAGCGATAACCAGCGCGCGCGTCACCGCTGCGCTCCTCTCCGCCATCTTCCCCAGGCTCGCATGCGTCTCGAGTGAGGGATACATGCCAGACCGGGAGGATATGAGGGGGCCGGATCCAGACCTGGTACACACACGGCGGGAGCGGAAGAGGAAATGGGCGCAGGTGGACCGTATGCTTCCCATGCTCCGCTTTGTCCGCGCGCAGGTCGAGCGCGACGTCCGTCTTCGTAGCGTCGAAGGGTCGACCGAGGGCGTGATAACGGACCAGGAAACCAGCAACCCGCCTTTGCATGATGAGGAATACGATACGGATTACTCGGATGTCTGAGTGTGAGCCGCAGGCACGATATGATTGGGTACGTCTCGACGTTCATCCCGATTATATTCCATTCACCATACTGAACATGGCCTGGATAGGGTAACACGAGCATTGTGGCATTAACGCCGATACTCAGCGCCGGATTTCCAGAGGGTGCCCCGGTTCACAATCTTCCGTGGGTGCTGTTTTCAGAGTTGCAACGAAATACATTCTGTCGTATCTACCTATAAAGTACACATGTCCATTGGCTACTAGCTACGGTATACGGCTGTTCACCTTCATATCGTTTCTTTACGAGGGCCCTACTTACACTTATGCCTCACGCCGAATTTCTTGCCACAGCGATAACAAAACTCCTTCCCGCACCGGCACGTCATCTGCGAGCACCCCTCCGTCCGCTCGACAGTCGACCCGCACCACGGGCAGCGCTTCCAATTCCTCGCCTTCACCAGCGCGTCGAACTGCGCCGTCGACTCCTGCACGCAGTCGCGCCCCGCATGCCAGACCTGCCTGCAACGCACGCACGTCGTCGTGCCGCACGCCACGCACGTTATCTCGGTAGGCGCCGCCGGTCGCCAAAATGGTGCCTCGCTCTCGCCGAGGAACGCAGAGCACCCCGCTTTCGCACAGTACACCCGGACATTGGCAGGGACCGCGTACTCCCAGCGCTTTGCCCTATACTGCTCGAGGAGGTCGGGAGGGAGCTTGGCCTCAACTTCCTCCGAGTTGAAGGGCTTGTTGCAGCAGCGCAGTGGGAGGAGTGATTCGTCGGTAAGTGTGGCGCGGACGAGGCGCCCAATGCAGTCGGTGCAGTAGTGGTGTTTGCAGCCTCCGTTGACGCTCTCGGACGACTTGATCGGGTCGAAGCAGCCTTGGCATTTGCACTGCGCTTCTCTGAGGGATGAATGTTCAATGGACAGCACGATGGCTTCGTGTTTTTGGTCGGAATCGTACCTATATTGTTGCACGCACGCGCGCAAGTGCGCTGGATACTGTGCCCTTGCTGCTGGAGGCCTACGATAGCTAAAGGAAGGCGCGCTCGGTGCATCGCTGCCATATGCACTAAATGGATCCAGAAGCTCAGGGCCGCCATCAAGCCCAGCGAGCGAGGACGAGTTCGTACTGAAAGTTCATGAGCGTCGATGTAGAAGACATAAGAGAACTGGTAGGCATACTGGCGGTACATTGGAGCTTCCGTCGCGTGCAGAGGGCCAACTGCAGGTGCTTCTTGATTCGCGGACGTCGGTGTCGAGGACGACGATGGTGGGTAAGACGGCGCGCTTGGGGCACTCGCAGCGTTCACGCCGGTTTTCCGAATGGTATCGTGCGCGACGTCACCGCGCTGTGTAGAGGGTCCGCCATCCGTTCCCGCAGGTGTCGTTGCAGGTGGCGATGATTCCTCCCTCGGGATGGATACCGTACTAGGATGAAGTCAGCTTACGTCCAACACATTGCATACCTGCACGCACCCGAGGTCCGAGCGCCGCTCGACAAGTCGCTGCCACGCCCATCTCGCCGCGCTGATAGAGTCCATACCGTCATTCTGCAGCGTCGTCTCGAGCATCTCGGCCTGAAATTCGAAGGCGAGCTGCTGGTCTCCAAAAACACGCGCCGCCCCGTCGATGCCCCCAAATGCGAGTCGGTCGATCAGGGGCACTGTAGCTTCACGGGGTTGCGTGAGTACAGGCGGACGTGTGGGTGGCTCCACTGCATTCGTTGTTGACTCCTCCGTGCTTCGCTCCTGCTGCTCGTCGACCTTCTTCTGCCTCTTTGCCGCGTTATGCTCTTCCGCATCGGTGTCGATGCTCCTCTTCGGTGCGTGCGTCTTGTATCCAATCCGTGTGAGAGGGATGCTGGCCATCGACTGGTAGATAGGAGGGTAGGGTGGTGGATGCGAGGGCGAAAGGTACATGTACGGATAGTTGGGGTTCGACATCGTATATAACTGGTGGGCGCCTATCAGATGGCGAGAGATACAAGTAGACATTTGTCTTGCGTACCTCCGGTAAGCTCTTCAATTGGTCTCTCCAGGGCGAAGAGCGACTCGAGGAAGCTGAAAACGAACAGTGCAGCAGGAGGAGATGGTGGCAAGAACGAGGATCCTGGCACTTGCCACGCCTCCTCCACCCGCAGGTCATGCACTGCAGGTTAAGCGCCGATACAGCGCTCAATCAATGGGGTCCTCGTCTGATGCTTACATGAGACTAGCCCGCAGTCACCGTCACAATAAGCACAGCGATAGCAAGGGTCAATGCTGGCGGTCAGTGCGCGTGCATCTGGGCTTATACCTGCTTCTTGACCATGGAAAAGCACCGAATGCATTTGGCACTTCAATCAAACATATCAATCTTATGAGGCGCCGCGTTACGCGATACGAGGCTCATTCCCACAAATCGACATGGGTGTTCAGGACAAGGATCGGAATACAAAGTCGGCAGCCGCCGAACTGTTCGGCAACAGCCGCGTCCGTTTGTGGTACGGGCGCTTCGTGATTGCTCTTTCCGCCGCATCGATCCACCAAGTTTCGACTCTGCCAAGGGCAATCCTTAAGCAGTACTCACCATTCTACATGGTCTTTTCGTGCTGACTCAACCGGTTCATTGACGTGTTCCAGATGCATCCTTGTCTATCCGTCCCCGAGATCTTCGCCCTCATATGCGACTGCTTTACTCTATCCGATCGATGTCACTATCGCGAGCGCAGTCGCAACAGAAAGACTCTAAAGAGCTTGACCCTATGTCAAAGAAGCTTCTACGACGCGGCATTGGCTACCCTATGGCAGGACCAGCCTCTCACGTCGTTGCTGCGAAGTCTTCCACCGGACGTTTACAAGGATGGAAACAAAGCGCAGGATTTCGTGAGCACGTCAAATCATCAAATTCTGATAGTTTTCTCATGACCAAAAGGTTGTTGTCCGTCAGATCACACTCCACGATATCGAGCGCTTCACATTCTACACGGCACTGATACGCCGACTGTCTACATTAAACCTTCGGATAGATCGGTCCTGCCTGATCGCTCTACGCGACGTCTGTCCTCAACCGCTCCTTCCCAACTTGCGCTTCCTGCTATGGAAACCCTCTGAGGCCGCGCCCGTCCATCTGAGGTCGATGCTATTGGCTCCCGGGCTTCTTTGCCTTGAACTCCATTTACCTGCAACGGACGAGGCTATGTTGATGGTTCCTCATCTGCACGAGTCCTGTCCCGAAATTCAAGAGTTCGCTCTATGGCCTAAACGTACTGGAGACGAGAAAGTGGGAGGGCTTGGTATAGCATCCAGTCTCACGCGTCGCTGGGATAACCTCACAGTATTCCGTGTACCACACGTGAATGCTGACGATCTCCCATACCTCGCGTCACTTCCTCGGCTAATGAAACTAGCTTTCGGATACTGCTATGGCGACTCAGCATCCGTCCCATCCATCCCGTCCCCCGCTTTCACTGCCCTGCAATCGCTTACAATAAATCAGGAGCGTATAGAGTATAGCATAGCCCTCCTGCGCGCCTTGCTTCCACAAAGCATGAAGCTCAACGAACTCTGTCTCAGATGGGACGAAGGGAGCCAGGCCGAATGGCCCGCTCTCATCGCAGCCATAGCGCACAGCTGCCACCATCCCAGTCTGAAGCGCCTTAGGCTCTACGACAAGGGCCAGTCCCTGAGCTTGGAGTTCGCAGACGAATACCTCCCTTGGCCTGGAGCGCTGGACTTTGCTACCATGCAGCCCCTCGCCTCCTTCTCGAACCTCATCGAATTGTCCTTCATCTGCCCGAGGTCATACGTCCTCACCGACGATGACCTCCAGTGTCTGGCGGAAGCATGGCCCCTCATGGAGAGCCTGCACCTGAGGACAGAATCAAATCATCATTCTCGACGCCCTCAATATCTCACCGCCCGCGCTCTCGTCGACGTCGCGTGGCTGTGCCCGTGCTTGCAGAGGCTCAGCCTCGACTTCGATGCTAGTACGAGCGGGCTCGATGATGTCTCACTCGATCTGCTAGCCCAAAGTTGGCTCGCGAACGTCCATCAGCACCCGCTCTCCTGGCTGAACGTGGGCTACTCGCGGATTTCCGACGCTCCCGCGGTCGTCAACCTTTTTTCCTTCGTCTTCCCCACTCTTCTACATCTCGTATGGTACACCAACACGCGAGCCCAGGAATACGGCGGTGAAGACTATCTACAGGAAGTCGCTCGTGTGTCGAGGTGGAGAGAGGTTGAGTCTGAGGTCGAAATATAGACCTGTCAGAGAAGTACCCAGTGTCACTGTTCAATGACTCATTATAGTGATCACAGCGTACGAAGGAGTGTACGTGACGATGAAGAGCCTGGCGCGCGCTTGATCGGGGCTTTGGTGGAGCGGCATGTATACAACTAATGTTGCCTAGGAGTCTGTGCATCCTCTCCTTCCTTACATGCGCAGCATCTCTAGGATATGAGATGGCGTGCATATGCAGATAGGACAGTGTCTGCAAATCCCTTCCTGGAGTTGCCGAGGCTAATTCATAAGAGCGTCTGAGACATTGCGCGTGCGCCACCAGCGCCGCCGTCTGCAAGACCATTTTCTCCGCTACGTCGATCGACATGCGCCGTCAGATGCTAGCTGAGTTTGGACGAACAGACAGCCTCAGCAGCTATTCAATAACAATCCCTGCTAGCTCAGTGGTAGAGCGCTTCACTAGTACCGAAAGCGTATCATGAAGAGGTCAGTCGTTCAAGTCGGCTGCGGGGAAGTGCAATGCTGCATACTCTTTTTTCCTTAGTGTGCAAGCAACGACGTACATATACGATACGTTGAGTCGAGATGCCGTCCTTTTCCACCACTTGTCAGAAGAGCTAAGTTATCAATATATCAATCCTCGCCTCTCATCTCAATTCCCAGTCGCCTCACGAAAGTGGCACGAAAGCGCGCATCCAAACGTGCATAGCATAAACACATAAAGTAACATAGTAAGTCGTGCACGGCACATATCCTAAACTCGGACCCGTTGGTCAACGAAGGCAAACAGCGAGATACGGCAAGGCGGACGAGGATTATGTCTTACAGCATCTCAGGGCATAAGTACTCAAGCTCGGGTCGTAACATGAATTAGTTCTTGTCCAAGCGCAGCGAGCAAATCCGATCCCAACGAAAAGCAGGAGCGCACAGAGCCAGGCACCACGAGAACCACGCAGTCGAATAAAAGCAGTTCCAACGACGGCCACCTACACCCCACGATGGCCACCCTCACCTCGCGATGACCACCCACACCTCGCGATGGCAAACCACACCTCACGATGGCCGCTCACACCTCAAATCCCCTCCCCTCGCCCGCCCATCGCAAGCACGCGATACACCGCATTCGCCTCCTCGTACCGCGCGTTCCGCAGGCTGAAGTGCATCATCTCCGCCGAGCCGACCTCGTCCGCGGGGTCGACGATGCCGAGCTTGATGAGCGAGTGGTAGAAGCGGCAGAGCTGGGGAACTATGGTCAGCGATCGCTTCGTGGGTAGAATTGACGGCAAGTTCGTGTGTAGAACCGGCGGCGAGGTCGCGCATGAAGTGAGCGATAGACTCGCGAGACATAGAGAGAAGGGGGGGCGTGGCGCACAAAGAATGATTTGAGCAGGCGAAGGAACGGCAGCGCATTGGTGCATGCAAACCGAAAATTACTCACATGCACCACGCCCTGTGCGTGCCGATCATCTCCCGTCGCCTCCCTTTCGACCGCATCTAGATATTCGATCGCCTCATGCACGAACCGGTCCAGCACCTCCACCCGCACAAGCTCGCCGACCGTCAGCTTCCTCTGCCCATCCTCCCCGCTCGGACTCCTCGCGCGCGCCAGAGTACTACTCGTCGGCGACGACGACACATCCTGCCCCACCGCATCCCGCTCAATCGCCGTCGGCGTCGTATCCCTCAACAACCTCCCCATCAGATCCAGCGTCTGCAGCCTTGGCGCCAGCGTGGGCAGCACGTCCAGCACGGGCGAGGGTATCGGGCTGTCGCTGTTCGTGAGGAGGGTGACGAGCAGCGGGTGCGCGACGACGGGGTTGTACTGCACGAGGGGCGGGAGATCGGGGGTGGTGACGATGCCAGAGGCGGCGAGGGCGGGTATCTGGGGGAGGATTTGCTGCAAAGGAGCACGTTAGTGGAAATTGAAGTAGACAGGCGTCGCACGATACGTACCCGTTGTTCCGAGAGTGTCAACACCCTCTCGCGCGCAGCGACGAATAGCTGCATCGCATGGGCGAGCGCAGCGTCGTTGGCGGCATCGGCAGTATTGCGTGGCTCGTCCTCCCGGGCGGCTGACTGCGCGGGTGCATTCGAATAAATAGAATCGTCTCTGCAGGAAGTAATCAACGTCGAATATCTTGTACATGGCCCGGCGATACGCACATATCATACACATTGATGTACAGTTTCTCGTCGAGAATAAGGTTACTTGATCTAAGCTGGGCAGGCAAGGGCGAACGCGCGAGCGTCGCAGGGGAGTAGGGTCCGATCTGTGCGGCATACTCATATCAGCATTATTCCCGCGCATATAATCGATGCAGTCCACGCACATCGTTTCCGTCTCCTTTCAAGATCTTCCAGAGCACCCACACCAGCTGCTCGTTGGGAGAGACGCCGCCGGAGTTGGACACTGCGACCGCGGCATCACGCTCCTTGGCGAAGGTGGCGAAGAGTGCGGACTTGAAGGGGTTGATCGTGATTGGGTGCGGGGCGTAGAGGGAGTAGAGGATGAAGGAGACCAGGATGCGTTGGGCAGGCTGGGGTCGGTATCAGCTCGGTGTATGCGCATATATGCAGTCGAGCCATCGCGTACCTCCGCTGGTGGATCCTGCTGCTCGAGCAAGGGCAAGAGAACGTCGAGCGCGAGCTGGAAGCGTGCGATCGGCTGGACGATATGCGCAAAGGCCTGCGCGGCCGTCGAACATGGCAGTGCGTACGCCCGCTGCAGGAGATGACCGACGCTGGCGCGGACAGGGTCGATGGAGTTGATCCCACCGCGCATGGGATCCATCGACGAGCTCATCGACGCCCGCATTGGGTCAACCGATCCGCGCAGGGGGTCCATTCCGTTGCCGAGAGCATTCATGCCGCCGCCGAGAGGGCCCAAACCAGTACCGAGAGGGCTCATGCCGCCGCGGATGGGGTCGATGCCGCCGATGGACGAGGAGCCGGGGTAGAGCATGGACGGTGGCGATTGAGCCATCGCCGACATCGGAGATAGTGGCGAGAGGTAGGACTGCATAGTGTGCTCGTCGTCGTGCCCAGCGTCGCCGACGTGGAGGTCAAGCGCAAGCGCAAGTTGCGGCGGAAGCCGACTGCCGGATTCGGACGTCCAAGCGAACGATGGCAATAGCCATGATCAATTCCAAAAATCCGGAAATGCCGCGAAATTCCCGAAACGGAAGTCGGCCCTTCCCCCGCGCAAACGTCGTCCTTCCCGTCACCTCAAGTCCTCGGGGCAGTCCGGTAATGTTCTGTAAAAACGACAGATGTCATCCTGAGCCTCAGGCGGAAGTCTCTGGGCTCGAAGACCTCGATGAAGTGTGACATGCGCCTGTAAACATTGTGGCCCCGATTCCTTGGCGGGTTCTGTACTACTACGGCCTTCTGCTACCACTGCAAGCACTCGATAAACTGTCTAAATACATGCTCTCATTTGTCGAGTATTTTGAATGCTGCCGAGGCTCGTGCAAGGCGCGGGGTGTGCTGAACATGTATGCCTACGTGCAGGAGAGCCTTGTGACGACTACAGCGGAAATTTAAGGTCAACATAAACAAGTCATATCAGTAGTCATGGTTCTTCACCTACAAGAGCAACGAGAGCGGTCCGTAAAACTGGTCTGAGCGTGTTACATGCCAACTACCACTAAAGTCGCTGTAAAGTCGTTTCCGGGCTCGGAGACATCTTGTGGTACGGCCGTGGGTGCATTGATGAGAGTCATTGTACATTTCCCTGGCCTGAAAGTCTCTCTGAGGGTACACGCACACGCGAACACATCCAACTTGGGGAGGGTCGTGGGCGGCGCAGGTTACCTGCCATTAGCCATGATCAATTCTAAAAAATCGCGAAATTCCCAAAAGGGAAGGGCGGGTGCCGCGACGCACCTTCGAACCCATGTCGTCTGCGCGAGGGCTCCTAAAATTCTGGAAAGTACATGAGAACTGTCTGTAAATTGTCTTACACCGCTGTGCAAGTTGTTGAGGCTCCAGCGTGGATGCGCGCGTCGGAATTCAGCTCGAAGTAGTCGGGCGGACGCATGGCTCGCCCAAAATGGCAACAGCCATCTCCGAGCGCCATCCTTGCCCTTCGCTTGCATGCTGGGGGCGTCTTCCACCTCTAAAATCTTAGGGAAGTCAAGCAAATGTATTTACGGACCACAATACGGCTTCAAGCCTGGCAGAAGCGTATGGACACAGGCAAAAGTCGTCATTGATCCAGGTCATGCTTCCGAGCGGTGTATCCACAGCAATGAGGCATATAAAGGCGCCGGTCTGCCTTCAAACCATGTAATCTGATGCTTTGTGCAGGTGGCAAGGTACTAGAGCCTCGTAGTCTATTTCAGAAGCTCTTCAAACTACGCTATAGCAGTAATGACGGTCTGAGCAGGGATTCGAAGTCTTGAAGGGTTCTCACACACAAGAGCTCTGAAGCAGCTCAGAGTAGACGATTTCGGTTTGTTCTTGACTTCCCTGAAGATTTCAGAGGTGGCAGAGGCCCCTAGCATGCAAGCGGAGGGCAAGGATGGCGCTCGGAGATGGCTGTTGCCATTTTGGGCGAGCCATGCGTCCGCCCGACTACTTCGAGCTGAATTCCGACGCGCGCATTCACGCTGGGGGCTCAACGACTTGCACAGCGGTGTAAGACGATTTACAGACAATTCTCATGTACTTTCCAGAATTTTAGGAGCCCTCGCGCAGACGACATGGGCCCGAAGGTGCGTCGCGGCACCCACCCTTCCCTTTTGGGAATTTCGCGATTTTTTAGAATTGATCATGGCTATGCGTCCGCCCGACTACTTCGAGCTGAATTCCGACGCGCGCATTCACGCTGGGGGCTCAACGACTTGCACAGCGGTGTAAGACGATTTACAGACAATTCTCATGTACTTTCCAGAATTTTAGGAGCCCTCGCGCAGACGACATGGGCCCGAAGGTGCGTCGCGGCACCCACCCTTCCCTTTTGGGAATTTCGCGATTTTTTAGAATTGATCATGGCTAATGTTGCCTCTGCCCGTCATGCTTTCATGTCGAGGAAACAAAGCCTTATCTGTGCACTTTCCTGCGAAACTTGGGTCGCAAATCTAAGGTCGTCTCGAGACGCAATTATTCAAGACACTTTGACCCACGGATCCCCGCAGTAGACTGTCCATTGAGGCTCTCGTCAAGCTCTCGTCCGAGAGCCCTTCAGACTCTGTTCAGACTTGCTTCGGACAAGCTAATCCTCAAACTGGTTACCTGGGTGGCCGCAGTGTGTCCATATACCCTTGACAGATGCTTGAATGCCCTTCAAACCGCATCTAGAAGTACGCGCCTCGCCTAGACCCCAGAATGGCGCATGTTCAGATGCGCCCACGTTCCGCAAATCAAGTCGAACGACTCCGGGGTGCCGTGAGGGGGAAGCGGGTCGATGATGCCCAACCCTGCAATCATCACGCTCTCGCCGTGAGCCCACTGTCACTCTCACGACGCGCCAGACACGCCTCGATGGGGCGTTTTCGGCCTGCCATATATACGCCCTACTGGCGCGCTCCTCGATCCCCGTATCACAGAGCGCGCCTCTGCTTACCTCTCCAAGGCCCTCTCTTCGAGTAGCGCGTCGTCTAGCTGCTTCCGGTACGCATCCTTCTGACTTCTTCGCGCACTTGCTGACGCGGGCCAGGCCGATTAGCGCGTCAAGATCGCGTACACTCCAGCGCTCCAATAGGTTTACGTCCTTTCGGCACCGCGAAACCCATGCGCGAGGACAATCCCTTCGACGACCCTGCGCACTTCGAGCTTCCTGCGCACGTCTTCCTCCCGGTACGTCATCCTTCATATGTCGGGCCGGCGTACGCGGGCTGATTTACCTCTTCTACTTCACCTTCACCTCTTCTTCCACTCTCATCCTCAACTTCCACTTTAACCTCAACGTTCGGCTTGCCGTCGCTTCTTTCACGACCTCGACCTCGTACGCTGCGCGTCACGACCACCTTACTTAACGCCCCGCCCCCACCACCTCAGTCCCACCCCATCACCGCCGAACCCGGCCTCCGCGAAGCGACCGCATACCTCACGCTGCACTCGATCATGCTCAAGGCACACGCTATGGCGATGCAATCCTGGACCGACGCGTCCCGCGACGACGACTCGTACTTCACCGCGGTGGACGACCTGAACGAGAAGGCCGGCATGGAGCCCGCGCATGACGATGACCAGCACGACGACCGCTCCTCCCTTCTCCCGCCGCGCCGGCCCAACATGTCCCGCGGGCGCGCGACCTACGATGGCATGTCCACGTTCGGCGTCACGAGCAAGTGGGGTGGACAATCCAGCGCTGCTGCATCGGACACCAACCTATGGCTGAAGGACGCGGCGGACGAGGACCGGTCGGCCGTACTCGACGCGCACGCCAAGTGGCATGAAGAGCGCGCAACCGACGACGCCTCCCTGCACTCCATCTTCCACGGGCACGTCGCGCGGCGCCCGCCCAACGCGCGCCGGGCCACCTCGGCGTCATATACCTTCAGGAAGCCGACTGCACCCTCGGCGAAGCCGAGTGCGTCGTCTAGCAAGCTCAGTGTGCCGTCGTACACGCGCCGCAACATCAGCACGTCCTGCGTCGGTGCGAAGAGGGAGAGGAAGGCGTCTATGGTACGTTTCGCAAGTGCATAACTTCGTCGGCGTGATAGCTAACGTGCCTCGTTGACTGACAGGCCTCTGCGCACTTCAACGAGATCCACGAGAAGATCCACCGCTGGGGCATCAAGACGCACCTCGAGGACGAGGACGAAGATGTGGTGCCGTTGATGGGTCGAGAGGAAGAGGACGAGGAGGTGCGTCCACTTCTTTCACCCAGTTGTTCCAAGTGCTTACAACTTCCCCTAGGATAACTCCGAATCCAATGCCGATTCCTCGACCACCGAACTCACCTCACCGACCTCTACCGACCCCTTCACCTCCGACAGCGAGGACGACTCTTCCGCCACTTCGCGCAGCTCGTCACCGACATCGACGACCGGAGACGAGGTATCGCCATCTCCACGCCGTCCGTGGTGGAAGCGCGTCGTGAGCTGCAATGGACTTCTGGGGAGGCGGATGGTGAGTGATTCGGTGACCATTGATGGCGTGGCGCTGATGGGGTCGCTAGCGCTACGCGCGACTGGATTAAACGCCGTCCGCGATTGACCTGAACACCAACTCGATTCTCATCCCGTCTTCCTACCATCAACGTCACCTACAGCGTTAGCGTCACTCACATTCAAGTACACCGTCCGCCTACCTACTCCATTGTCCGCACCTCACGACCTCGTCACGTACCGCCCGCGCCGCCATCCCTCAAAGTAGCCTACGCACGCCTTCGCACTATCGCACAACTTCTACGTAGGAACATCTCGGACCTTACACAATTACCCCAGCATCCGCGAGCGCCGGTCGTCTTTGCAGCACTGCAGGCCGGTTCGCTCGTACACCCGAGGCCGTGCCTCCAGCGCTTACCGAGGCCAGGCCTCCCAGCTCTTACGACCGAGGCCGGGCCTCCCAGCACTTACGACCGAGGCCGGGCCTCTCAGTACCTACGCACGAGGCAGGCCCCTCCTAGCAGATTATGCCAATGTCGCTCGAATGATAGCCCATGTTTTGCCCTTCGCGCGGCGAGAGTTGATCCACGCCTATGTTGGCGCGTCGATCCCCGCCCCTTCTGTGGCTTGCCTGGATATCATACGGCGTGCTTGCCGACGTCTGCTGGCTGACCATCTCTATGCGTGGCAGGTCGATCCCGCCCCTTATGATGATATATATCCTCCTCTTGTGCTATAGGCTTGGACACTGCCCGTTTCGACTGATGGTGAGTTTTTCTTGTACCTCCGCTCGATGTGATGCTCAACTCGCTCTCAGATCTTGTTGCCGATCTGTCTTCACACTCATTCACAGCTGTTCACCCTTGCCCTGGCCTCGATGACGCTTTACAGAAGCCGTCGACCCATCTATTAGTCACTGACATATTCTCCTTGTGCATGCACGTCTTGCTAGCTGTCATACGACCGCCTACATATTCATCTCGGGACTTCATTGACAGGGTATCGCGGCGTCGTAGAATAACGAAATGTAATTAACTTGTTCGATACGACCTTACGCGCTTCATGAGATATAATTCACCTTCACAGAACTACTGTTTCATACAGTCTACTGCCCTTAGGGAACCGCAGTGCAGAGGCAACTGAACGCTAGGTTCAGAGTTGTGGGCGCATGCAAACAAGGACATGTGACTTACCGCTTCCTCCGGTGGCGTCGTGTGGCGTTGCCTCGGCGCCTCGGAACGGACCCTGCCATTGTTTTCGTTGAATCGTTCCCGCCGCCTTCGCAGTTCCCCCGGTCCCTGTCTTCCTACCATCATGCGGCCGACGTCAGTGTTGCTCAAGTCGAGCAGGTCAGCCTGGAAGGGTGCGTGACCCTGCTCAAGGTCGCTGCTTTGCTAGGGAAGAGGACGAAGCTCAGCGGGGCGGATACTGCGACAGCGCGTCGGCCCCTAGCATGAATCACAGAACCTCTCGCGCCCGAAATTATGCGGCACGCACAAGGAAGCGGAACTGACGCTTCTCTCACAGGCCCATACTTCGTCGCGTTCCCCAACTTGCGGCAGGCCCTCGAGGACCACGTACCGATCAAGACGCAGGCGCGGTCGTGCACAATATTGCCGAACTTCATTGGGTGAGTCCCTTTCTCCAGTGCTCTGCCATGCATAGCACATCCAGCGTTCGCCGGTCCGACTGGACATCACGCTCCCAATGTGCCGATCGACGCCGCAGACACCCCTTCCTCATCCCACCTGCGAAGGCTTGGATACGCGCCGGCCTTGCATCCCCCACTTTCCCTCATCAGCCTGACATGCGCCACATATGCTGATTGGCACAACAGCATCCGCTTCATGGTCCACAACGGCCGGGACTACGTCCCCGTCATGGTCACCCAGGACATGGTCGGCCACAAGCTCGGCGAGTTCGCGCACACGAAGAAGAGGTTCAACTGGAAGTGCGTGGTCATCTTCGTGCTTAATGCTTCCTTGAGCTAATCACCCTGAGCAGGGGTAACAAGGGCAGGTTATAGTCGACATGCTTCACATGCTACCGGCGCCCTTTACTTAGCTACCGTCTTCCGCCCCTCCTTTGGTCGTAGTCCCCATAGATTGCCGTACACGACTGCCTCTGCCCCGCTTCACGGCCGTGTGACATGCCCATCAAGCTGCAAGGTTCTCAAGCTCTCCACCAAGAAAGTCCGCATGCGAAGGTACCTGCGTCGTAAGGACCGCATATACAATTTGCGTGGCCTATACAACACTACCTTGACACAAAAACTCTAGCCCTCCTCATCATCCCCCTCCATCTCGTCGACAAGGTTCCCAAGAAGCTCCGCCACCTCATCGGCGGAATCCATGGCTGAGCCGCCATCCTCCGCGTCCATATCGCCCCTCTCCTCGTCCGCATCGTCCCTCTCCTCGTCCGCATCGTCCCTCTTCTCGTCTGCATCGCCCCTCTCCTCGTCCGCATCGCTACTGTCCCCTGTCGCTTCGCACAATATTCTCTCCACGTCCCTCGCGCTCTGGGCTAGCTCCTCACGAACCTCCTGGCAGAGCACCCAGCTGAAAGAGCGGCACTTGCGCTCGGGTATTGTTGGAAACATGCCTGCCAGGGAACCATGCACAATGTCGGGATTCATCTGGCAGTCGAGGGCGAACGTCACGTAGTCCGCGCGGGTGCGCAAGCCCTTGGCGTGGAACATGGTCGCGTAGTCGTGCATGCCGAAGGCTGCGAGAAAGGTGCGCGTTTCCTCGCGAGAGACTTGATCGATGTCCGCCGGGGGGTTTTGGGCGTCCTCAGGCGAGACCTGATCGGCGGCTTCCATAGCGACTGTTTTGAGGTCGTTTTGTGGACCATACGAAGGTGCGCTGGACGCTAGGATATACGTGCCGTCCTTGCTGTCTTCGGACGAGGCACGCGGCCACCAGTCGTCGCTGCCTGGCGCTCGTGTGCGCGAACGTGGCGTGCACGGTGGCGAAGGGTAGTAGGGCGGCTGCCTTGGTTGGAAAGCTTGCGCGCCAGGTCTCGGGCGGAAGTGAGGGGTCCGTCTCGTAGCATCCTGCACGGATGAATGGTGATTCCCATACGAAGCTTGAAGATGGTTTCAACACACCTTGCGGGAAGGGGAACTCAGTTCGTCCAAGGATACACCCCTGTCATGCTCACGGAACGCATTGAGTTCATCCTCGCTGCTGGAATTCGCTTCCGATCTGTCTGTCAAGCTGAGAGCGGGCTGCGGGATGGTCAGGATGAGTCACTGACCGACGGCCTCTTTCTCACCTTCTTGCGGGGACGTGGACACAGAGGCCGTGCGGCGGAACGCTTGTGCGCCGTCACACGTGTCTTCGCCTTCTTCGACGACTGCTTGGCAGGCTGCAGAGGTTGTCAGGACTACGACGTTGCACGGTAGTCAGTCAACGCACCATAGCCGCTCTGTGCCCTGCGACCTCCGGTGAGGCAGCGTCGACGAGGGAGAGAGAAGCAGACGCCCTCGACGATCGTCACAGCTCTCATTTAAATGTTCAGTTAAACCGCAAAAGCTTACTCGATGGCGACGCCAAAGGTTCGGCGTCGTGAGGAGAGCGCCCATAACCATTCATTATTACGGAAAACGCTGAAAGCTAATCACCATTCCTCGCGGTTTGAGGAATGATCGCGGGCAACGGCTGCGGCGCCTGTCAAGGTCAGTGCTTGTTATTCAGTGCTGCCGTACGGTGCTGAAACACGGACGACGATGGGAAATGCAGGGAGGGACAAGGGTCGCCAGGAATACAACTGGCAGTGAGAGGTCCGTATGAGCAAGGCCCCTTCACCGGGAACTCATATACGTGGGAAATTATGATATTGGACCATTTTCTCAACAGTTCGAGCTCGTCCCATTGTCCATACTTCAGTACATGGGGAATATCTGAATGGCACCCACTCGGAGAGGCAATGATGCATCTGTATAGGTCGTCGGCCCGGCCACCACAGGAATTCATTTGTGAGGCAGCACACATGACAAGCCTTTGGTAGTTTGCATTGGTAGAGCTCGAGACGTGGTGTACGACGCGACGGTGTAGACCTGTGGCAACTACGAGGCGCCCATACTGGCATATGCCGAGCCTTTGTTCCCCTTATGGTATTTGATGGCAGAGCGGAGTTTCAAAGTCGCCACATATAGCGCCGCGTGTTGGGCCTGTTGGGCATTCTCTCTCGTCTCTTACCCTCACCTTTGCCGCCCAGATCGTCCTCTTCCCCCTCAAGAACCACCCTCGACGCCGACACAGACAATGACGATGACGACCCTCGATGCAATGTGGAGTTAGCCCAATGCGCGGCCACCATGATCGGGCGGTTCAATGGTACGCCACTCAACTGTAGCGCACTCTTATGTTGCTGACGTGCAGACTTTAGCTTCAACATCGAGTGACTTGCTGAAACTCCTTGACGACTTGCAAGTGCCTTCGATTGTTTCCGAGGTAGCCCAATGCCACATCGACCAGGGCGCCTCAATGGTGAGCCACTGATGATTACGCGTCTTGAGGATGCTCACTTGCAAGTTCAGATACTTCGGTTAGATTTCCTGAAGACGTCCACCAGACGATGCCTCAAGGACACATCGATGCGCTCTCTTCGACTTGTTCGTAGCTTTCAGGCGGCCACCGGAGCGTCATGGGCGCATGCCATGCACTGTTGTCGCTCATCTTCTTGCCCAGACGATACCAATACCCGCCTACGGCTCTCTTACAAGTTCGACCCGATGTCATGCAAGAGCATCAATGATTCTGAGTCCGCCGAATAACGCGGAGATCGGGCGGGTTAATGGTGTGTCCTTTTGTGCCCGCGCCCGGGCTCGCTATTGACCGCCATCGCAGATTACTCCGACATATTCCCCCTTACCCCAACATCAGCCACTACGCCAATTTGTTTCCGTACAGAGGCATATGAGCCACGAAGAGTGGACGAACCCCACAAGGACTGGATGAGCGTCAAGCCTTCGAGGTTCGCACCGCGGATCAATGAGCGAAAGCAACGACGAGCGTCAACCTCAAGTCCCGCAAAACTACCGACATCCAGATCCGAACGCTATCTTAAAAGTATCGCTTCGTCGAGGATTCTACATCATCGTGCGCTTCAGTTTGCGACGCTCGCTGATTCAAGGTCTCGCAGGTTCGTCAGCCAGATTTCCTTAGACGCACGCTGACCCATCTGACAACACCCTTGCAGATTCCGACGCGACGCCGTCCGCGCGCACCGCTCGTCTTCGATAATTATGCTCGGCTTCGCCTTCCAGACGGCGATGGTGACACACAACAAGATGGCAAGACGAGGAGACTTCAAGACCACAGCTCGGAGAACAAGCAATTCCCGCGCAACAGCGCAATAAAGTCGGAAGGACGCCAGCAACGTAGAAGACACCCAGCGTGCTGGCAGCGCAATGTGGACCAGGCGCGGCGTCGCAAAGAGGCGAACCCAGCGCGGCGTCGCAATGAGGCGAACCCTGCGCCGCGGCGCAATGATGGCTCAAGGCCAATGCTCATACGCGAAATTTATCAAAATTACTCAATCCGGTTCAACAATTGATTGACGAACGCGAGACCAACTCGCAGGCTCGCTCTTCCCTGGAAAATACTACTAGTGCGTCCGCCCGGCTATCCTATAGTGACGCGCGCGCTGACGCCCTTCTAGCTCCCGACCAGACACCACCACGGCATCTCCAAGCTCTACATCAACCTCAACACGATGACGACGGCCAAGACGAAGACAAAGACCCGCCGAATGGCTGGTAAGACAACACCTCGGCACCGTTGGCGAACTTTCCCGCGCGCGGCGGCGCAACAAGGTGGACTCGGCGCGGCGACGCAATGAAGGCGCAATGCTAATGCTTGTATTCTCGCACGAAGGCCGTGAAGCAACACGCGCACCTGACATTCGAGTGAAGTCAGTCAGTCGAAGGACAAGCGGCAGGCAATGGGCAGCCACCCGCAATGTGTACCGCCTCAATCTCGATCCAAATGCGCCGCATTGTCGTCCAATAGCGCAAAAAATACGCTCACCACGAAGTGAACCCCGACCGAAGGATAGCAAGACCAAGACACCGCATCAAGGGCAGAACGATCAGCTTGCTACGTGCGATACCTTTTCAACTCCGATCTCGATAACTACTCGCTGCGGCAGACAAGTTCTGGATAACTCGTGCGGAACTCATCAAAGGTGTGTGCGTGAGACTCTGTTCAATGATCGTTCAGATTCTGACGGCGACCCGGTTTTATAGAAGGGAGAATGTCGCCGACGTGCTCTCCATATCTTCCGTCACGTCTACCGACAGATTACGGACTTATTATCCTTTTCGAACCCGGTATGCTGCCGCAACGCGGATTGTGGGCTGACAATCGCTCTGAGACCAGGTCCTGCGGGCGTGGCTCGTCTGTAGTCGGCCGCTTCGGCGACTCGTCCAGCATCCGCTGCGATGATGTGATCTTCGCTGCCTTCACGACTAAGATCCTCCTTTCTCTGCCTAATGGCTTCGTATCTGACTTTAGTGTCTGCAGATGTCGTTTCGCGCGCCCGGAGATGCGTTCTCGTGTGCATGTATGCTGCTGGGGATGGGATTTGTACCGTGTTGATTATGCGGGTTGAATTTTGTGCAGTTGGCGTTGTGGGCGTTGTTGGCAATGCGAATGTTGAATCTGAGCGGATTTGAGTGTCTTCCATGGAAATTATGTGTGGTGTCAATCGGGACTTTACTCGCGATCGTACTAAGCGCGCGACATTGCGGCTTGCTGCGGTCAGCGTACTTAAACGCGCCCCGTGAGCGGGGCGCTAGGCTCACTGTAAAGGGAATATCTTGATATTGTCTCTCAAGAGGCATTGGTCATATCAAGGAGAATGTCAGAATGATGAGCGTGAATAGGTATGTTTATGTAGGATAAAGAGACGCTCGGCCAGCGCCAGGTATAGAGTGTCACGCCGCGCAGTTCGCATTGATATCTAGATGGAGCATTCCTTGAAGCGACGCGTAATTTGAAGGACGACGTGCCATGGTGGCCATCATCAGGTTTAGCAGCCATTCGGCATACGCCGGGACTTGGTCCCCGTATGGCATCTGATGGCAAAGCGGAGTTGGAAAGTCGCCACATATAGCCGCGCATGTTGGAATTGATGGGCATTCTCACCCTTGCCTCTTACCCTCATCCTCGCCCTTCGGACCTAGGACTCCCCTCAAAACAACACACTACCGACACCGACGCCGACCATGATGACGACGGCCTGCAAGCGTCGTCAATGTATACCGGGACTAGCCCAATGGCACGACGACTGGGCAGTCCAATGGTACGCCACTCGAATGCAGTGCGCTCTTCTGTCGCTGACCTCAGTATCCAGATTATCTCGATATTCAGTCTTTTCAACCCGCTTCGACGTCTTGCAAGTGTCATCAATGTGTAGCTCAATGCCACAGTAACCAGGCGCCTCAATGGTGTGCCACTTGATGACACCTGCGAAGGTAGATCGTTCAGCGAAATTCTTCAAAGACTCTCACCTCACATTCAACCGCCTCACGGACATGTCGACGCGCTCTTAGGCGAGTGGCCCTGGTACGCCACTTCGGTGATCTGCACGCTCTTGTCGCTCACTATTGCCCAAAGATGTCGAAGGCGCTCGATATTAACTCGTAATACCCCGTATAGATGCCACGCAAGAGCATTAATGATCCCTCGAGTCCACCCGATCATGCAGAGAACAGACGGCGCAAGGTTCGTCGCGCGGCTCATGTGCATGGCCCCGCTCCTAACCGCCTGAAAGTCCGTCACGACTCCGTCCTCCACCCTCAAGCTCAGCCACCAATGCTAATGCCCTCCCTGCTGAGCTATCCGACCTACGAAGACGACACGACGACGTCCGTGCGTAGCGCTCGACTTCGAATCTCGAGATTGCCAAATTTATCACAAAGGGCCAATGGCAAAGGATAAGACGATAAGTTGAAAAGCTTGCAAGACTGCCGCTTCACACCATCGTACAAGCAATCCACGCAGGGCAGCACTATGATATGGGGAGGACGCCAGCAATGTATACGGGATGCAGCGCCCCGTAGCGCAATAGGATGCGTCGCGGCGGCGCAATGAGACGAATCCGGCGCCGCGGCGTAATGAAGGCTCAAGGCCAATCATGATCCTCCGACACGAACGTCGTTAAGACCGACCCAGTACATCAATTGACGAACGCACGACTAACTCTCAGGCCGCTCGTCCTTAATCCCCTAATAAGGCTCCGTTGGTGCGTCCACCTGACACTCCCGAGCGGCGCGCGCTGACGCCTTTGCAGGATCCTCGACGGTACCGCCCTGACATCGTCAAGCCTGTCACGGAACTTCAACCCGACGACGCCGACCATCACAACTAACGAAACCAAGCGGACCCTTCAGGCTAGCAAGACTGTCATCGGACAAGTATTCAAGCCCGACGACGCAATAACGGCGAAATGCCAATGAATGATGCCCATACACGGAGCTATCGAGCAATACTGTTACGCCATGATCGTCGAATACTCCCCGAGCAAATTGCTCAATTGAAGCACGAGCGCCTAACGTGCAATATGCAACATTCCACTCAGCGCCGACCTCGACGTTCTGCGTCTTCATCGCCTCAATGCCAGGTACTCTCGCGCCGGTAAATTAGTCGTTGATGATTATCGCGGAAGTCATAGTAGGTTTGCATGGAGAACTTCATTCACTGCGTTGTGTCTGACGGCGACGCAGACTTATCGGTGTCCCCTTCATGCCTCCCCGCTCTCTAACGTGTCCTGAAATCAATCTACATTCCTTGTCTTGGCCGACCCTGGTACGCATTAGCATCGCACGCCGTGAGCTGATGGTTCCTCAGAGTATATCATGGCGCTTCGGTGCGGTGGCGGACAGTCACTTTGGCCACTCGCCGAACAGCAGCTTTGGCGGCGCATTGATCATCTATTCGGCGACTGGACTCATCGGAAGTTCCGCGGTCATGGACTCATTCCAGTCTCTCCTCCTGAGGATTCCTTACTTTGCCATTCGTCTCAGAGTACTGATTGTCATGCCTGCAGAATTTACCTCGTCCGTGGGAGATGCGGGCCTCGCGTGCATGTATGACGCTCGGGGAGGGACGTGCTGTATCGTTCATGTGGACTGTATTTTGTGTAGAGGAGGTGTTGGACGTGTTGGGCAATGTAAATGTCGAGCGGCATCGTCTGCCATGGAAAACTTGTGTGGACTCCTTGAGGTCATTCCAGCGCAACGCGTGCACTCGCGGTTGTGGACATACGACGTCGCGACTGTGAATGATTCGATCCCGCTTACCGGATGGTCATCTTACTCGATCGCACTCGAGAAGAGCACGCTGAGGCGGCGGCAGCGGCCACGAACGCCTCTGTGCTCAGGCTGTGATGCCCATCTCGCTCGCCGATCTGCGCCGGCAGTTTCATTGGCAGATGGCCGCCAATGCGTATGCAGTTCCGAACCGCGTGATTGGAATATCCATCTTAGTACAAGGACAATTGCCAGTAAAGAAGTGAAACCAGAAGGTCTCGCTCGTCAGCGTCGGCTACTGGTATTCAACGGGGCTTGGCTGTCAGATTCACAAGAAAAGAATGACCAATGTCGTACTGGAAGGAGGATATCGACCGCCGCCGCCTCAAAGATCTGAGTAATCCGTGTCATAGCCGTCCGCATCCAGCGACTGATTGTGCTGATTCGAGTCCCTTTCAACCTCTTCTGCTTCGCCCTCTAACCTCCGAAGGCAACTATCACGCCGTTCTTGGGCGCGCACAAATCGAAGCATGGGAAGCAAGCGCGCCACCTGCCGCCACTTCATCTTCTTGGCGCGCCGACTCTGCGCCGTCCATTCTTCATCTTGGGTGCGGCGGACGACGGCCTCTATGCCTTCGCTCTCGATTGTGTCGAGGTTCGGGAATAGCGCGGAGAGGAATGCTGCGGTAATTCGAGTGCTGGATATCGGCGAGTAGCAGACGTTCATATGCGTGAGGGATCGCTGGGCAATACCGCGCGTCTCGTGCTCCTCGTATATGTAGGCATCTGCGTCGAAATCCATGTGCAGGACACGCAGGCGAGGACAGAACTGAGCGATGGAGGCGACTGCGTATATCGTCGCGTCGTGCCGGTTTGCGTCCTCCTGCCCTGATAGCAGCCGAAGATCCTCGATGTCGGGGAACGCTTGTGCGAGGGCAGGAAACTCCTCGTCATCGATACTGAGCCCGCCCCATGAGTCCAGCTCGAGAGCGGTGAGATGCCGGAATACGAAAAGCTTCTGGACGACGTTGATTGATAGGGCAGTGGACTCAAGGTCGTCATCATCCTCGTCGTATCTGGCGGAGTCGCAAACGGAGAGCGATCGGAGCGTGTTTGGGTCGCAGGACCGAGATATCGATGTGAGGAGGGAATCCCAATGGTCAACCCGCTTAGTCTCCTTGGGGGATATTTTGAGACTCTTTAGCCGCATCATGGGTTGAATGGCTTGCAGAAAGCTCGTGGCTAGGTGCATAGCCTGAGGCCGAAGTTCGAGCGTGCGGAGAGATGCGAATGCAGGTTGATCTATCGAAATCCGAGACCTGTGAAAATCGTCGGGAAGACTGCGAATGCATAGTTTGTGCAGCTGCGAGATGGCGGCGAGATGCTCTAGATCTGATCCGTCTAGATACGGCACGTCAAGGATTTGCAGTCTTTCCCAGCGGGGCGCCACGTGCGTCGCGTACCCAAGTGTTCTGAAGCGCGGGGCCCAGTCGTCGTCGAGTAGCCGGAATTGGCGGATGTCGGGGCATAGGGACTGAAGTCGCGGCAGAAGAGAGGAGACAAGAGGATGGCTACTTGAGAGGGCCATGTCGATTTCAAGGGTTGTGACCCCCGGATGGACGAGCATCAAGATGAAGGAGAGCGCAGGGGCGCCTACGCAGTACCAATGCAAGGATCGCAGGTTCGGAAGGAAAGAGGCTGTGCAGCTCAGCTGCAAGGCCGCAAGACAGGTCGTATCCGGCAGCCACGAGACGTGCAGTTCCTGCACGAGCCGAGCATAGAAGTTGAGCTTCACAAGATCGGAGGGTCCGATGTGCTTAGACAAAGTCTGTCTAGAGGTTAATATGCGTATCGTTATCGTTCGTCCGAACGCACTTACAAATTCGTCTCGGTCCGTGAAAATGTCACGCGGGAGAGCCCGAAGCAGCGGCTTGATACTGAGCAGGTTGCTCCAAAGAGCAGCCGTTGCAGGGCCATTGAAAGTGCGACAAGTAGCAGACAGGCTCAAGAGCCAGGTGCGACGCCATTGTTCATCCCGCTCGTCGCGCAGGTAGTCGCATATGATGGACAAAATTTCCGGGATGGCTAAGCAAGGATGCATCTATGCCAATGTCAGTCGTAAGTCACAGAAAAGCCAGTATACTCACGTCGCGCAATGTCGCAGGATTATCGTTGGCATATGCGCTGGCTCACGTCGTGTATGCTGACGGCAACAGCGCAAGGTCGCTAGCATCGATCATGACCTCGGCGTTTGCCGCAACATCATGTGACCATGTTCAACTTTCACGACGACCGACTTCCCCCTTCTGTGGCCGATGTTTCAGGCTTCTGATTTCTCATAAGAGTAAAGAGTCTAAGCTTTGAGTGCAGTAAAATGCTCTGCATATTCTCCCTCAGAGTGCACACACCTCCAACACGACTTGGGAGCCGCGCATTGGATGCCAGAGTGAAGAGAATGCACTTATTGATGGGCATCGAGAAAGCTATAGGAAGAGTAAGCAGAGTTATCAACTATCGTCGCACTTAGTACCATAAGCTAAAACTTTGAGAGACAAGTTGACTATAGAGACAAGAACGAGGAAGAGGGAACGCTAGCGACCCCAATCTGCGGAATGAAATGGCTTACCGCTATACATTGCAGCATAGATGTGACTGACGACATTGGGATGAGCATAAAGGGTTGCGGTATCGACAGAAATACACTGGTTATATCTAGCCTGGCCCCGAAGGGTCTTTCTACATATCCGAGAAATCCGTATCCCAGTCCTCATCGTGCAACGACAGTTCCGGTTCGTTTGCATTCCCAGTCCCACCAATATCACGTGGCGCGCGACCCCTGCGCTCCTGCACGCGCACAAAGCGGAATATCGGCAAGAGCTCATTGACCTGCCGCCACTTCATCTGCCGGATTTTCCCCTCCTCGTCCTCCATCCCTTCCTCGTCCTCATCCTCGTCGTCTTCAAAGACGCGTGCGCTCTCGGAGCTCGGGATGGACTTGATGTTGGGGAAGATCGCGGAGAGGAAGGCGGCGACGACGCGCGCGCTCCTGATGGGGGAGAAGAAGACGCCCAGGGTGGTGAGGCGCCGCTGGCAGACGTCGCGCGCCAGGGACTCCTCGTAGTAGAGGTCGTTCGCGGTGAAGTCGAGGTGGAGGGACTCGAGGCGCGGGCAGTGGCGCGCCAGGTGCGCGAGGCCTTGGATGGTGGCATGGTACTCGCGCATCTCGCCACGCCCGGGCGACAAGACGAGGGTCTTTAGTAGCGGGAGCGCCTGCGCTAAATGTAGCAGATCATCGTCCTCGACGAAGAACCCACCCCAGCAATGTATCGACAAGACGGCGAGGTTGGAGAATACCGTGATCTGCCGCAAGATGTCGTACACGAGGGACCTGGGCCCTTCGTGGTCACTGTCGTCCCACTCATAGTCCCCATACTCCTCGATGAGGACTTCGCGGAGAGTCTTCGGATTGAACGCGTGGCCGATCGCCTGGAAGAGTGCCGGCCAAGCTTCACCTCGCGGCGCATCGTGGCACATGATGCGGAAGCGCTCGACGTTGAGCGCAGAGGGCATGGCCATTAATAGGTTAGACCCGTAGGTCATCGAAGTGGGCTGCACCTCGAGCGCGCGTAGGGCCGAGAACGCGAGTGCGTCAAAAGTCGGTATCGGCGCCGACTCGTCCATAGGGCTGTGAAGGAAGAGGCTCCGAAGGTGAGGCAGCATCGCTATCTTTTGCATGTCTGGGACAGCTAAATGTGGAATGTACAGAGAACGCAGGTTCGGCCAGCACGTGGGGGCAGCGGATGCGAGGCGGAGGGCGTCCTCGGAGCTGAAGCTGGCAATCCCGTCGAGATGGAAGACACTAACGTCGGGGCATAGCGCGTGCAATCGTGGCAGTAATGACGTTGTTGCCGCGGAATGCGGGTCGGGTATACGGAGTTGGAGGCGAGCGATTCCTGGGTGTAGGAAAAGCATGATGTACTGCATGTCCGTGAAAGAAAGTGCCTGCCAGTTCAAGCTCCGTAGATGAGGAAGGAGGGGGGTGCTGCAGCTGAACTGAAGCGCGGTAAGACACGTCACATCCGGGAGCCGAACTATGGATATTTCTTGCACCAGCGATGCATAGAAATGGAATCGGCCCAATCCAGCTGGTTCGATTGGCTTGACGAGAACCTAAAGGCGAGTGAGCTATCAGTCTTTTAGCAGATTGTCTTGTCAAAGTAGCTAACAAATTGGTTTTTCGGCATATTCTTTTCGAACGTTCCAGCCGGCAGTGTCTTCAGCAATGGGCCCAAGTTCGGTAGTTTCTTCCAGAGAGCCGCCGTCGCATGGGCATTCAGCTCCTTACAGCAACGCGCCAGGCAGCACAGGCCATTTATAGCACGCGGATACAGGATGTCTTGATCTTGTCCACTAGTTTCCTGAATGAAGTCGCATATTATCGTCACTATCTCGGGTATTGTCAAGCACCGATGCATCTATGGCTCTTGTGTGAGATTCTCTCTCAGTGTAGATATGATCAGCTTACTGCTCGGGCGGCACGAGAAGAGCAAGGTCAACAGATGTACGGAGATTTGAAGGACGAAGGCAGCTTCGCGACCGGCGAGCGCCGATGACGCGTCCTTCGGACTTTGCCGATCGGGGGTCGAGCGACCACAAATTCGACCGACTGCTGGCCACGCCCGCCGGGCTAGCTACTCTCTGATGACGCTTGCATACCCCAAAGCGATTGTCATGCTCTGCTTCAATTCTGCTTGACCTGGTGCGCTACAAGTGCGCAGTTTCTGAGCAAATAGTCAGGGCTCCCGGCTCCGGCTTCGTTTTATGCATCGAATGTCTTCTTGAGAAGTAAGGCAGACCGTTCCAAGCAGAAGATTCAATCTACAAATACAGAACTAGACACAAATATCCAGATTGTCATATAAACCATCCTGCGCGTTCGCCATAAAGCGAAGCGCAAGTCCTAATGAGTATGTATGTACGTAGAGTTGCGATTAGACGGCCAGGCCAGGAGCCTGGGGTGTGTACGGTGAATGGGGTGTACGCGATGAACGGATGAGGTCTACACGTTGGAGGGCGCCGAAGTGGTGAGTATGTACCGAAGACTGCAAGTATGAACACCAAGGAAGGTATGCATACAAACGAATACGGTATGTACACCAAAAGAAGGTGCGCTCACCGAAGAAGGTACGTATAGCGAAGGATGATAGTCATGAACGGGTCGTATGCACATTAGGAGCGTCAGTATGTACTCGCTGAAACCGCGGGAGGACGTCGATCATCGGACGACCTCGAAAGAGGCACCGAGAAGGGCTTCGCGAAGACGCCGACAATGCCGCTCCGTGGCTAAAAAAGAGTCGACGGACAAGGCACCGAAGGCTGCCATTCACGAAGGTACGAGAAGACAATCGCGGGCGGTTGGAAAGACGTCGAAGGCGCCGTTGGGTTCGAGACAGCGCAAGGGCTCGCATAGGTAGATCAGGTAGTGGTTGACCTATCTGGTGAAGGCGGCGGCGCTGGCGGACATGGCGGGACAACTTCTGAGGGCACATCCGACGGCGTAGAGTCGACGCTAGGCTGTCTCGTGAGAGCCGGCGATGTGCTGACGGTAAGATGGCCCGACGTTGCGTCTACGGAGACTGGCTCCGGCGCAGCTGCAAGGAGATGGGTCGGCGCTACACTCTCTTCGTGTGGCGGAGAGCGCGGCTGGACGACTATGTCTTCGGCGCTCGCTGACCGCGGCAGCTGCGCAGGATCGTCCGGCTGCGGCAGCGCCCGCGCCACCGGCGGCGGCGCGGCGACATCGTCGTACTCCGGGGGACCCCCGACGTTGTCGTAGGCGGGGAGCACGTCCTTCTCGTCGATCGAGCCGTAGTCGTTCTCGCCAGAGTCCAGCCGGCGACCGCGCCCGTCCGTATTAGCGCCGCGCGTGCGCCGATGGGCCCGCCTGGGGCGCGGGTGCGCGGAGGGGAGGGGGGCGATGTAGGCCATGTCGCGCGGGCACGGTTGGGAGCAGGGGACGACGCGGCTGGGGCGGGGCGGGGAGGACCACTGGGGCTGCGCGCGGAAGAATTGGGACATGGGCTGATTCGCCCGCTTCATCATCATCATTCTGCGGGTCATAAGTATGGGATGGGAGGGGGGTGGATGGATACACACCTCCGGAAGAAGATGCTGCAGAGGAGGAAGATGGCGATCGCGAGGAAGAGCCATTCGAGGATCGTCTGTGGCGCAGAGTCAGTTCCCCGCCTGCCTGCAGTCGATTGCAACGTACCTTCGACACCGAGCTCGTACCGTCTCCACTGCCGTCCTCATCGTCCCTTGACTCGAACCACCTCTTCTCTCCAGCGCCTGCCCCCTCCCTCACCATCCAGGGGAGCGCAGAACCGTCTGGGATGATCATCGTCGAATATTCGGCCGTCGAGCGTTCAACGCTGGGCTCTGCTCTGTTGCTTAGTCGACTATCGTCCTCGCGCGAGTCGTGGTGGTTGGGAGCAAGTGAAGAATCGACAGGTATTCGTAGATCCAGGGGCAGCGCATTCGGAATCGGGATGATCACGAATTAGGCGTGCAGGGCCTAGGAGACGCTGAATCCTGGCCCAAGTTCTGTAAGAGGAAGCAGGATTCGGACTCTAAGATGGACAATAAGTCGAAGTCTCCACCGAGGACGACGAGCTGAAGCCTGAGGGCGAGTCCGCAAGGAGGGAATAAGGGGCGGCAGCGGCGCAGGCGGCCCGGTCGGCTTGATCCGATCATTGTAGATCCTTGTGGGCGTCCGACATGACGTGCCACCCACGCCCTTCGTCTTCGTCCTCCACCATCTGGTACTCCTTCCCACGGACTCTCATTCACCTCGGGACTCCAAGGGCCTCTATGTATATTGGACAAGGCAGAGACGTTCCCGACACCTCATCTTGGACCAGAATATCGTGATCCAGACTTGAAGACGACATCGTCAAGCTCTTCGCCTTGCGCGTGTCCATACTCAGTCTGAATGCTATCCATCGATAGCCAGCTTAACAATGGGACATTGTTACTCTGCCTTCATGCCTCCATCTAGTCGCTCCATCTGCCTTATTGTCTTTGCTCGGACCCCCGCGCCTCGTGGTGGCTGATATAAAGGACGCCATTACCCTCGCCCTCAGTCATCTGTTTATCGAGTGCACCTCTGCCTCCCCCGAGACTCTTCTCTGCCAAGTGCAGCACACATACACGGTCTTCGAGCCCGCCATCGTCACTTAACTGTGCACCTCTCGCCCTCTCGCCACCGTCATCCAGTAACGGCATCGCCATGGATCACTTCACCATCCTACCCACCGCGCTCGCCACAGAGAGCCACCCGATCGTCATCGATGAAGAGCCACTCGCGGTCTTCGAGCTCGACCACCCCGAACTCGGCGCGGGGGTTCCTGTCAACGAGGAGCACCATGGCAGCTGCCACACGCAGAATCAATACGTCTGGTGCATTGTTTGCTAGGACTTCCGATGCATCAAGAACGAGTCCCTTTGTGAGTCTTTCTGTCCGCTGCAAACGATACGGAGTACTGACCGCCCGAAGAGCCACGACGTTGCGCGCCCGAATAAATCATATCCTTATTCCTCTATATCCCACATCGTTCATCGCTTTGTCTTCCCAGAAACATGTGTAGTTGATCTACCGGAGCTGGGATACAGACTATACAGACATAAATATTCGAAGTCAGAAATCACCGATTGAATCAGCATACATACGTATAATTATCTACTGTGTCAAGACATCATGGCCTTTACAGATGTCTTTCAAAGGATTGCAGATTGCATTGACAAAGTCGAACTGAGGCACGTGATATGATCACAAAGCTCAATTGTCGCCGTCACCCGGTATAGCGCCCTTCGTGACAACGCTTACCCTCGACGTTCAACACTCAAATCCAGTCCCTCGGTGTCTCTCTGATCGTAAAATGGATGCTGCTTTTGTCAGGGAGCTCGAGAATGACTTTGCCAGAATGATCCTGGGAAACCCGAGTGTCGATGGCAGACGCTCTCCATCCCAGTCGGGTGCGGGGACACCGAGCAGTGGAGCACCCGAGGCGCGACGTAGGTCTTCTAGACGTAGCGAGGACCGTTCCCCGCTGTCTCAGTTTGTCGGACAACACTCGAAGCGCATAGGGAACGCCGCTCGAAGCGAGAATGCGGCTCGCAAGGCTCGCAAAAAGGACAGGAAAACGATCTGCGGGCGATGCGGGAAAGAAAAACTCGAGGGAACTCGATTACGGACGTGCTCTCGATGCAAGTGGGTGTAGATCTCTGCCTTGCTGTCTGATCGTCAACTGACGAGAGTCTAGATCTATCAACTAGTAAGTCAGTCGACACTTACCCCCCACCCGCAGGCTAACGCATAGGGTACTGCAGTTGCTCGGAAGACTGTCAGCGCGAGCACTGGCAGGACGGCCATAAAGATGAATGCGCTACTTTTATCCACCCACCGTTCGCGAAAACATTCGATCCTACGGATCGCGCAGACGCACCGTGGCCACTGCACCCCATCTTCGCCAGCACGAACGAGAACGGGCTAGGGATCTGGATGACGACCGCCGGTGATCTGACCAGCATGTAAGCTTCGCTGCACATCTATTTCTTCGTGCGCTTATGCCTTCATCGTAGGCTACAGCAAGCGTCGATCCCACCGGATGTTCGTGCTGCGGATGTGCCTCCTGAGGGCTCACCTTCCTTCCGACGCTGGGCTGGTCTGGAGGGACCGAATCGACGCAACTTTGGAGAGGAAATGAACAAATACGTAGGACCGACGGTGGCTACCCTTCGCGTCCTTGTGCAGAATCGCCGCACTGACGGAAGGGTCATCGCCGTCGTAGGGGGAGAGACCGTGCTATCTGTGTCCAGTATCATGAAGGATAATCTTCTGCCGGAGGAACAATCCAGGGTACGGTTCCAGCCGCTCGAGGGGAGGTGAGTAGTCCACAAGTGACGTGCATCGCAGAGGCTGCCAGGAAGCTCACCTATAACAGGATGGACCTTATGCTGGTGCCTCCCTGGATCGACTACGACAAGCGCCTTCGCGTCGCGATCGCCGAGATCAATGGCGCGATCCTGCCAAAGGGCAAGTTCGGCAGCGATGGCGAGTACCAAGCCCCTGTCAGGGGATATCCACACCACCCACAAGCGCCCACAAGCGTGACTGGTCTTCAATTGGTTTGGTCTTGTTTGGTGTATGGTACTGATGGCATTTGCATGTGTTGACGCCCCCCATCAGTCATTACCTATGACTCATTCCTGGTGTGTTTCCCTTATATCTCCTACTTCCCTTCTCCTCCTCTCCCTTTGGTGACCTCCCCCTTTCCCCTTCTCTTATTTATTCCTTCCCCCTTCTTGGACACTGCCAGTACCCTACCAGTCTCCCACCACCATTACTGTATGGTGCCTTATCGCACCATCATCGCTCACTGATCTTGTGACCTGATGACTGTAGTAGTTATCTCCTATCCCCTTGATTACTATAGCTACAGTATATATACAGGCAGTGGGCATCAGGAGATCCTTCGGGTTTGATCTCCTTGGTTCCCCGCTCGCCTAGGTGTGTTGGTACTTACTGGTTACTGTTCCCTGCTAATATACCTTGGTTCCCCGCTCGCCTAGCTCGCGCCCCTACGCCTGGCTCTTAGTTAACCTCTGGGAGTTCTCTAATCCAGAAACGCTCGTCGTTGGCTACGGTGGGCGTCGCCCATCGATGATCGCCCCATCCCTTCCTTGCTGCCTTGGGCCTTCCACACCCTCGGCTGCCTCCGCCGCCTCCTAGCGAGCCCGCCTCCCTTGGCTTGGGTTGCGTCCTCAGGCTTGGTCTACGCCCGCGCCTCTGCAGCGGTTGTGGTGCTAGTACTCCGGGGAACGGCCCTCCCTGTACGCCGTGGCACCCCTCGCCTCCTCGCTCTGGTGTGTTTCCCCTTCGTCCCCCGGTGCGGCTTAGTCGGTCGTCCCCCTGGCAGCAGTGGGAAGTGTACCTCCGGGAGTACCACCCCTCGTCAGGCCTTCCGCTCCCATCGGCCCGTCGTGGGCTCACCTCCCCGCGCCTTGCTGGCCACTCGTCCTGGTCGCATCCCCCTTCCCTGACCGATGCCGCCACCCATCGTGTCATCCCTTCTCCCACTGGCTTGGAGCTCATGCTCGCCGTGGTACGTCTGGCCTTAGCGCTGCTCCCTGCGCTTCCTCCGGCGTAGGGCATCCTTCGGCGCCCTCTCCAGTGCATCCTCTCCCTACCTCGCCAATCGGGGCTACCCCCCTCGATCCTGACGCTGCACCGTGCCCCCTCCTCCTTCCGATCGGTGTCGCCCTCCACCGATCACCACCACCGGCCGCGTCTCTGGCCGATACGCCTCTCCACTACCCTAGTGACGCCGCCCCCTCGTCACTACCCTCCACCTCGTGTAGGCGCTGGCGGCGCTGCCTACCGGGCACCCTACTCGTGGGCGCCCCCCATGTATGGCTCACGCATGGGTCCACTGTGTAGTGGTATTCAGTACGCTTGCCCTCCTCTCTCTACCGAGCTACGCCCTACCCTACTCCCTCTTCTATCGTCGGTCACGACCCGCCATCACCGTCGATCCTCTCCCTCGTCCACCGTGACGCTCTTCACCCTTCTAGGACGTCACGCCTCCCTCTAGGTGGTGTGGCTGTCCGGGGACCATGGCTGCCTAGACGTTAGCCTCGTCTCCGCTACCGTCTCCACTCGGCCACTCCCGGCTGGTCCCCTTACAGCCCCCGTCCGTCCCACAGGCTCGCCCTGGGATCGTGTCGTCAGCTGGGAGCGCGCACAAATCGTCCTCGCACCAGGAGACTTCGCCGTATACCTTGTGCAGTACCGCATCGGCGACGGTCATCTGTACAACTCATACCCCGAGATCATGACGCGCGCGACCGGCGTCTGCGTCCCGTGCTACCTCACCCGCGCCAAGGGCACCGACAGCGGCTGGTGCGCCTCCGCCGCGGGCGAGCTTCGCATCGCGCGGAATCTGCTGATGCTGCCGAACGACCTCTTCACGCCAATCGCCACCATGGACTTCGCATACGTTGAGGAGTACTACAAGCCGTTCTTCGACGAGGGGCCCGACGTCTTTGCGGTGAAGCGGTTTGGGAAGCGTGCGGAGCAGATGAATAGCCTCATGTCGACGCTGGGGCCTTTGCAGATGCAGGCTATGATGAGCGTTCTGCCTCCGGATCAGCGCGAGGAGGTCAAGCGCCGCTCTAAGGCGATGGGCTTTGATATGGATAGGATGATGCGCGGTTAATGAGAATTTCGATTATTAAACTGTATCCCATTGTCTTCTTTAGCCCTACAGAGTCACTCAAAGGCGCAGATTTTCATTCCTCTCTTCGAGCATCGAAGCCTATGACTTGATTCGTCATTCAAGACTTACATCGAGAGCAGATTAGACAGTTATGTGTGTGTCATATCAATCTGAGTCCATGGGATCCTCCTCGGAAACGGATTCGAAATCGTCGTCCTGGACCACATCCTCCAGCGCAGGCTCCTCTCCCAAGACATCCATTCGCTCCTGCTGCCGTATCTTTCTGAACAGCGCGACCGACGAGCCGACCCTCTTCCACCGCTTCTGCATCTCCTCATCTGCCTCGTCTGCCATAGACGCATCGGCGAGAAGAGGAAAGATGACAGATAGATACGCAGCGACCACCCGTGCGCTCGTGATTGGCGACCACTGCACGTTCATCATGCTCAGAGAGGGAGGCAGAGGCGGACGCCGTGGATTGCGCGCGAGCGTGATGCCGGTCGCGTCGAAGTCGATCTCGAGCGTTTCGAGTGCAGGACAATGATGGGCGAGGGCGGTGAGGGCGTCAATGGTGAGGCGGCGCGTCCATGTAGGCGGCGTCTTGACCCACAGCCGCAGATTGCGCATGTGGGGCCATGCCATCGCCATCCGCTCCACCGTCTCGTTGGACAAGTCGAAGCCGCCCGCGCTCTCGAGGACGAGGTTCTCAATCGAAGGAAAGGTGAAAAGAGGCTCCATGTCAGCGTCCGACAGGGGCGTGCGATCGCTCTCCTCCGTCGACGTCCATTCGTTTATCTGGAGTTCAAGCAGGACCTGGGGCTGTCGATGGGCGGCACGGAATGCGCGCAACAGAGACGGCCACTCTCCGCGGCCTGGCCTGATGACGCGCACGAAGACGTTCCGAAGATGGTCGAATCTGCAACCTTGGAAGAAGTCTATGGCGAACTTCATGGGGATGAGGTGCAAGAAGAGCTCGCAGAGGGAAGAGAATGCGTTGGGATGGCTGAGACCGGCGGCCTTCCATTGCCTGGAGTGGTCGGCCAGAAGGTACTTGACCGAGTGGATGGAAGGACACCGGCTGAGATGGCACAGGACAGGCTCGCTGATGATCGAAGTCTCGATGGCGCGCAAGTTCCAGGCGGAAACCGCATTCAACACCAGCTTCTCATGGTGCGACCGCCGCTGCGACACGACTGATGCATCCAGCCTATACAGGAAGTCTTGCACGTGAGGGCATCGCAATGGGAGGTGCGGCACAATAGAGAGGCTGGACAAGGGGGACTTGTGAATGTACAGATGGATCGAGACGATGGATGGTCCAAGAAACGAGCGTATGTGTGCTAGGTTGGCGCTCAAGTCGTTCCAGTAGATATGGCGCAGATTCGGAAAGAGGTTTTCGGGAAAGAGGACGGACAGAGCATAATAGCCCTCGTCTGACAGATCCAGCAGTCCCTCCTGGTTCCGAGAGTAGCCCCTGACATGAGACCGATGACTATAGCTGGAGGCGCCGCCAAACACCAGCGCATTCGTGAGTGGCGCATATTTGACCAGCCGTTCAGTGTCTTGTACAGTGATGGAGCGAGCCAGCGCCTTGATAGAAAATCAGCGATCGCGAACGAGCTGGTGTGGTATGAAGAACGCTGAAGCTCACCATGCGATTCCCTATACAATCGAAAGGGTACGTGATTGCTATATCAGCCACGCGCCATACGTCCGCGGGAAGCAGGCAATAGACAACATCCTCGATGGTCAGGTACTTGTCCTTCCAGAGGGCCGTGATGGCGGGGAGATGGAATGCACGAGACGTCCGTGCGCAGGCCGCCAATGCGCGAGTATCCGAGACAACGTAGGGACCCTGGCCTTCAACGTGTCCCTGGTCGACCACAAAGGCATTGCATATCGTGAAGACGATCTCGGGTATGGCTAACGCACGATGCATCGCAGCCTTCCAATCGACCCTCGCCTCAAGGCGCGGACTGGGGCATTGGGTCAGCCGAAAATCGTATTCCTCCCGACCGAACTTCTCACAGATAATTGGAAAGCAGGTCAGAATTCCCTGGCGCGCACGACTGACAGCGGCAGACAATTGGGGAAAAATAGTGAAGGACAAGCACGCTACTTATCAACACGTGTGACTAGTGTGTGGATCGGCCGTTGCCGGAGAGCAGACATCAGCACGAAGTTCGAGGACTACAGTGCCCGATTTTTTGGCTACACGATAAGTCTACAAGTATAAGAAACCCTGATCTCTACGTACAAACTTAGAATAAACATAACAATACGGCTGGAAGCTTTCCTGACGACGCATTTTTTGCGTTGTAGCCTCGTCCTTCTCTAGTCATCGTCGTTGCCCCCTTCCGATCCAGACAGCATTGCCGAGTCATCCACGAGAAGAGTGCTGTATTCCTGAGTCGTGGCGGAAGTACTTCCAGCCGCCTCCAAGCGCTCGTGCGCACGAATTTTGGCGAACACGGTAACCAGCTCGCCAACCCGGCGCCACCGCCTGCCCGACAGCTCGTCCGCGGTCGTAACGTATCCGAGCCGGGGAAAGAAGAGGGAGAGGTACGCCGCGACGGCGCGCGAGCTGTTGATCGGCGACCACCGTACGCCGAGGCAGAGCAGCAAGGACGGCGGCATGGGCCGCGAGCCCGCAATACTGGGACGCGCTGGGTTGCGGTCGAACGTGACGCCCGTCCCGTTCAGTTCGAGCTCGAGGTACTGGAGGACAGGACAGTATCGCGCGAAGGGCTCGAGCGCGGCGAGCGTGAGCCGCCGCGTCCAGGTCGGACAGCGCATCGGGACGAGGGTGAGCTCCTGGAGCTTCGGGTACGCCTTCGCAATGCGCTCGGCCGTCGCGGGTCCGATGTCGAAGCCGCCCTCGCACTGCAGCCAGAGGTCCTGGAGGCTGCCGAAGTCGAGGAGAGGCGCAAGGTCGTCATCGGTGACAGGCGGCGCAGGTAAGCCATCATCCTCCCCGATGCTCTGCTGCTCGACGCGAAGGGTCGTCAAAAGGGCAGGGCGCGTGTGCGCGGTGCGGATGGCGCGATATAGCTTCGCCCAGTCTCCCGGGAGAGGATCTTTGAGGCTGAGGGATAGCGACGTGAGCGCCGTGAAGTTCGCGCTCTGCATGATGGCGATGCACGTGCGCATGGGTACGTCCAGGTTGACGCTGAGCGTGCGGAGGGACGCGAATGAGTGGGAAGGCAAGACGTCCTCCGCTCTCATGTTACTCAGAGAGTCGATCGTCAAGCTAGCGAGCGACGGCATGCGCGCGAGGTCAAGGAGTGTCGCAGACCCGACGCTGGTGGCGTTCAGACGACGCAGGTCCCAGGAGCCCCCGAGCAAATGAGCCAGTGCGATATTCATGCTACCTGGCGGCGCGTCCTTCTCGTCTGCGTAGATTGAGAGTCCATGCACTTTGGGGAAGGCGGTCGGGAGGGTCTGCAGGATCGAGAGATACGCGGCCGGTACATGGTGAAGTCGAAGTTCAAGGGTAGCAAGCGAGGGCGAGATAAAATGCCGAATATGATGCAGACCAGCAGCACGGCTATACCAAACCACATGCCGAATGTTTCTGAGGAAAGATGGGGGAAGGATATACGAGAGCGCAACGAAGCCGTCCTCGGACAGCTGCACGATGGGTATGTCAGACCGCATCAGCATGGAGCGCGGCTGATCAGCGGCACGACCAAAGGTGAGCTTGTTGATGAGCGGCGCGTAGAAGAGCAGACGCTCTAGGTCTTTTGCAACAATTGCGCGCGTGGGGACCTGGATTGGACCGTTAGCGTGATCGGGCGATAGATATCTGACGCAAAAGCTCACCAGTAAATCGCATTTGTAAAGGCCAAAATGCTCGATAGCGTTGACTTGCGTTTGCCAGAGATCCGGGGGCGTACAGTGTAGCAGAACCGTCTCGATCGCGAGGTCGTTGTTTTTCCACAGCATTGTAATGGCGGGCAGCTGGAATGCGCGGCACGTTCTAGCGCAGGCCGCTAAAGTTGGCGCATTGACGAAGAACGGGCCCTCGTCTTCCCCCAAGCCCGTATTCAGGGCCAGCGCGCGACATATCGAAAAGAGAATGTCCGGTATGGAGAGAGCTCGATGCATGAGTTTTGACCTGGATTTGAGTGAGTATTCGGCCAAAAAGCACGGACCGCATGTAAATCGTCCATAATTTACGTCCAAAACGACATTCGTTCGCATACGAGCAGGGAAGTTCACGTTTATGCAACGATTACAAGCCGTTGGTGAATGAGGGGCTTGGAGAAAGCCCCTATTTCCTTACTGTGCATATTACTCACCTCCAATTCAACGACCCTCTTCCGACTATGATATTGGCGGGCCAATATGATGACCTGAACTTGGGCGGTTTGACGGTTTCTGGTCGCCGAAGTAAATTCCAAACCCGTTCTGAGCAAGCAGACCACCGTGACGGTGCCGTTACAGTCACGGAGCGTGACAGAAGCGGATCACCCGGGCCGATACTGCTCCACGTGCCATCTATTTGTAGCTGCTTATCAGCAGCGTGCTCAACGACGAGAACGCCGGCGACAGGCACCGAACGACGTTGACGACGACGCCAACGACGCCGAAGACGACGCCAGCCAGCGCTCTCCTCCGCGCTGAACGGCGCTGATCACGAACTCCATCGGGATCATCCTGCGCGCTGCGGATCGGCGACGGGACTCGCGCGAACGACGACACTGACGACGCGCGCGCACGACGAACCGGACTCACGACACATCAGCATCTAACGGAAAACACGGATTTTGACGGACGTTGACCATGTCGTACACGGGCATTGGCGGCTCGCCCACGAATCGCAATGGCGCGGGCGCGGGATGCGTGCGCCAGGGCCTTGTCAGCTTGAAGGAGGATGGAACGTTCGCGAGCTGGATTTGGAAGGCCAAATGGCTCGTGCTGAAGGAGGCGGTCCTGGAGGTCCGCAAGTCTGAGGTTCGTGCTGTTGGTTGCGATCGGGTCAGCACGATGCCTAACCCCCGCCCCAGAATGCGCCCCAGCAATCGGTTATTCAACTCAACGACATCTCCAACATCGAGCGCACGGACCTGAAGCCGTACTGCCTACTCCTGGAGACGAAGGATAAACGGTGCGTTGCCTTCGCGCGATCCGCGATGCATATAACTGACTTTCCGCCTCTCAGGTTCTATATGGCTCTAGTGACTAGCTCAATGCGCCCGTGGCTTCCACCCGCTAATCCACTCCCAGAAATCCGATGAAGAACTATACGGCTGGCAGGACGACATCTACTCTCGCTCCCCACTCATGGGTGTCTCAAATCCGACCAACTTTGTTCACAAGGTTCACGTCGGGTTTGACGCCGTCACTGGCGCCTTCACCGGTCTCCCTGACCAATGGTCCAAACTCCTCACCAAATCCGCCATCACTCGGGAAGATTATGCAAAGGTCCGTACCGACTTCTCCAGTACAGCCCTTCCCTCTTCGCCTTGTTCGTCAAACGATCTGTATCATGATTCCAAGCATGAACAACCCAAGTCTTTCCAATCGACGCCTTTCCCTAGTAGTCGCTCTCCCAAGCCATACCCGACGACTCGCGCCTGCTGCGTTCAGTAGAACACCATGTACACTCAATAGCGATGTCCTCGCAGCCATACTCCTCATCCTCGCTCAACGCCCGACTTGGCTGCTTACGCGTGTTTCCCAGGACCCCCAAGCCGTGCTGGATGTGCTCGAATTCTACGTCGATCACCAGAAGAGGGAGGAGATGGGCGAAATGGGTACGTTCGTCTTCTGCATCGCCTTGAACTCTATCAATGTCCATCCCGCGCGCTCTGACCATATGACTACCCCACTGATGACGGTCGATACCTTCGCGACGCGCTGTGTCCTCACTCCATTGATGACTCAATGACTTCTGGCCTCTGCACTCCTCGCGCTATCGTATCTCTTTCCCGGACACCCAACTCACTGTTATTTCAGGCATCCCAACACAACCCTACACCGATGCGCCTGCCCGCTTCAACGCGGGGACCGGGCTTGCGGGGGCTAATGTACGTTTCACTCCGACTGATGTTCGTCAAGCAGATTCTGAACTATGTCTTCAGCAACGACCGCCCATCGGCAGGCAAGACTCCGCACCAGCACCGTTGGGATCGCAAGGTGAGTCCCCGGCTTGTCTACAGAGTCAATCCTCCTTTGCTCACAGATATTGTGTTAGGCACTGGTGGACAACAACGCCCGGCACTCTCAACAGAACGCTCGATACCCAACTTGCAGGCGTCCAGGCCAGCGCCGCCCCGGCCGCTGTTGACAGCAAACCGGCCAGCACCCTCACCACCCAGCGCCGCTGATCTCCGCGCGCGAAAGCCTGCGCAGGGTGCGTCCTGGTATCATACTGTCGTCCATGTTGTTGATGTATTGTGTATCCAGGCCCCTCCGGCGGCGCCCCTCCACGGAAAGAGAGCCTCGACCCCGGCCAGCGCGAACGCGACGACTACGAGCGCGACCAGCGTGACCGTGAGCGCGAACAACGAGACCGCGACCGTGCTGACCGCGACCGCGCTGACCGTGAGGCGCGCGACCGTGAGCAACGGGACCGTGATCGCGAGCGCGTGCGGCAGCAGCGGGAGAAGGAGCGCGAGCGGGCTGATCGTGAGCGGGAGCGGGAGGAGCGACCGGGCATGGGTGCGCCCGCGAAGAGCGCGCCGGCGACGAGCCAGCCGGGGACGCATCCTGCGCCGGGGGCGGCGGGCGCGCTTGCGGGGCCGCCGCCAGTGAAGCCGTTGCAACCGGCGAAGAAGATCCAGATCAAGGAGGAGGAGCGGCCAACGAAGGGGGGCGGTGGGGTCGCGGCCGCGGCGGCTGCGCTAGAAAAGCCGAAGGAGAAGGTGAGTCGGTAGTGGATGGGTTTGGAGAGGGGGTAAATTGCTGACGATGGATTGCAGGAAAAGCGGATCAGCACGATGACGGAGGTGCAGATCATGGAGAAGTTGCGGCAGGTGGTGTCGGATGATGACCCGAAGACGATCTACAGTAAGATCAAGAAGATCGGGCAGGGGTGAGTGGTGGCTCCCTTCTGGTGATCGAGGTTTTGACGTTTGCTGCTAGTGCTTCTGGCCATGTGTACGTTGCGAAGACGCTTGCAACTGGCAAGAAGGTGGCTATCAAGGAGATGGATCTCAGGTACGCCCCTATTGATGTTCTTCCTTCTGCATCTGCTCAAGAAGGCGTCGCCATGTAGCCACCAGCCACGAAAGGAGCTCATCGTGAACGAGATCATGGTCATGAAGGAGAGCCAGCATCCGAACATCGTCAACTTTCTTGGTTCGTGACCGCATTACCCGTGCTGACGCTCATGCTGACGACAAATACAGACTCGTACTTGGTAAAGAGCAACGAGCTTTGGGTCGTCATGGAGTACATGGAGGGCGGTGCTTTGACGGATGTCATCGAGAATAACACGCTCGAGGAGGATCAAATTTCAAGTATCTGTCTGGAGGTACGTCTTTTCGACTTTCTGTGCCGACTAGCATCGCTCAAGGCCTTCAACTAGACCTGCAAAGGCCTTGGCCATCTGCACAGCCAGAGCATCATCCACCGTGATATCAAGTCCGACAACGTTCTCCTCGACGCAAGTGGTCGCGTCAAGATCAGTCAGTTCCTGCTGGTTAGCTCATGATTGACGCGTCGATGCTGAGAATACCCTTCCTTTCAGCCGATTTCGGCTTCTGCGCCAAGCTGACGGACCAGAAGTCGAAGCGCGCGACCATGGTGGGCACTCCGTACTGGATGGCGCCGGAGGTCGTGAAGCAGAAGGAGTACGGGGCGAAGGTCGATATATGGTCGCTCGGCATCATGGCGATCGAGATGATTGAGAACGAGCCGCCGTATCTGGATGAGTGCGTGCAGTGGTTGCGTTCGTGAGAGGTAGAGTGTACTGACTACCATGCCAGGGAGCCGCTGAAGGCGTTGTACCTGATTGCGACGAACGGTACGCCGACGTTGAAGAAGCCGGAGGCGTTGAGCAAGGTATGTGTGCGATTGGTCTGTTCCTGCATCCTCGCTTGACACTGTCTACAGGAGCTAAAGGGCTTCCTCGCTGTCTGCTTGTGCGTGGATGTCGCCAGCCGCGCGACTGCCGGCGAGCTTCTGGAGGTAAGCTGTCGAATGTCCGTAATAGCATCCGTCTTCTAACACAGTCAACAGCATGCATTCCTCAAGAAGGCGTGCTCGTCCGCGGGCCTCGCGCCGTTGCTGCGCTTCAAGAACAAGACGCAGTCATGATGTTACTCGTCATCTTCGCCCATGCTACCTCCTCGCCGCAATACCTTTGGCCAAGGGGGCGGCTCGTCAGCGCGTCCATATCTACTCACGCACTCGCTCCTCCACTGTGCATACACCGCATCGTACCTCATGTCCGCAGCGTGCTGCTTGCCAGTGTGGTCACACATCCTCGTACCATGTTGCATGTCGGCGTCGTGCTGCTCGTCCGCATTGCTGCTGTTCATATACCGTTCTCTTGCGGCACCGGATGCGCCCTGACTTTGGTAGCCCATTTAGCAGTCTTTCAGCCGGCCGTATTATTATCCCACTTCCTTTTCATTGTGTATTTGCGGAGTCTATTCATCCTCTTTCGTTATGATGATTTGCGGAAATCTGGGAACACTCGCGCGATAAATGCCTTTCATTAGGCGTGCGGGCGCCCATTAAGTTCAAATACTAACAAGCAGATAACGGCCCGGGCATCGATCGGGTCGCCTCGTGCAATCCTTGTTCTCCACGGTCGTGTCGCCGCGTTTCTCGACGCGCTAAGCGTGGTTCTTCAAGTGAGTAGACAATCTTGATGACCACTGTTTGTCCCAACAATGACGCAGCCAGCCCAAGTACTTCCGACTCGAAGGGCATCGACATGCATCGTGCTTTTGCAATCCCAGAACTCGTCTTCCGGATCGTCGATATGTTTGTTGAGGTGGAAAATACGGATGAGACGGACGGCGATGGACCGTATGTTGTCGACAGACCGGCTCTTGCCGCTTGCGCACGAACATGTCAAGCATTTTACCTCCCCGCCATCACGGCGCTTTGGAAGGATCGAGACCTGGATATTGAGACTGTTCTTTTGCATTGCATGCCCGCCGATCTCTGGGAAGTGCAACGAGAGACATCCTCTTCGTTCTATAAGCGAAATGTGACAGATTATCTGGTAGTCATCCTCTTTTTCCTTCCTTCATTCGACGCTCATGCGCACCGCAGGTTCTCCGACGCTCAATCCGCCACGAGGACCTAGATCGGCTTTTCGTCGTAGCGCCGCTTGTCAACAAGCTCATCTTTGGTCGGGCTGCCAACGTCTTTCATAGAAGTGTCGCTAAAGAGCTGACGCAAGAGTCATACCTTCACCTTGCCTCAGTCCTTCCCGTCGGCATCTTCTCCAGACTACGTCACCTCGTCTGGGAGGGCCAAAGCGCCGATCTAGACTATCTACCCGTATTCCTGTCACCGTCCCTCAAGTCGCTGCATCTCCAGTATATCAAGACCTCAGGTCCGCGCCTCGACATCATTTCCAGGCTTCCGGAACGCTGTCCCAACATCACACAATTCGATTTCATGATCTTACCCTTCGACGACTTTGGCTTTAACAACAACGCGAAGGATGTCGTCAAGTCGAGGCTCGCTCGCCTCACACGCGCCTGGAACTTACGCGGGCTCGCGACGAACATCACAGCCTATAACTCCCTGAGTACTCTAGGGCAATTACCAGACTTGAGGAGTCTCTGGCTCACGTTTGAAAATGATCCAGTCGCCATACCCGTCTTTTTCCAACCTGGGTCATTTCGATTTATGCGAGACATATTCCTTGACAGGATCAATATGCGAACAATTATTGCACTGTTGCAGAGTTCCACCTTTCATTCGCTGAGGAGTCTGATCCTTCGAGGACCTGTCGATGCAACCTCCGGAGATTGGTCTGTCCTTCTCCGTGCCGTACGGTCTGCGGTCATTAGCCCGATGTCGGTCGAGTCCCTTTCCATCGACGAGGGATATTGTATTGCAGGAGCGACCCCTCATGAATCGACGGAAGCGATCACCGACACCGACCTCGTCCCATTATTCGATTTCCACAATCTCGCACTCCTCTTCTTGGAACTCCCGGGAGGCTTTGATCTCCAAGACGCGACTATCGACCGAATGGCCAAGTCCCTGCCTCGATTGGAAGGCCTTGGCTTGAAGTCCCAGCACCCGCCGCGCTCGCAGCGTCGCCTTTCGCTATCTGTGTTAGCGCCGCTCGCCTTACACTGCCCGCGCTTGAAGTTTGCACGTCTGGATCTCGATGCGAGGGGTAAATCATTTCTTGGCAGCCCACCACCAACATATCAGGCTTGCTCTTTGGAGTCGCTTGACGTCGGGTATTCCCCTATCACCAGCTCGCACGCTGTCGCCATGTATCTCGCGGCTTGGTTCCCGCAGCTTGCAGCTGTTGGATACGATAGAGACTCGGACTCAAGCAGCCTATGGGAGGGGGTACAGAAACGGCTAGCGGCGGCGCAGATGGCGCGCGAAGTCGCGCGACTGGAGGGTGAAGGAGAGAGTAGAGCTGCGGCCATGGCGCGACTTGGGTTGGGTGACGGAGAGAACACGGTAGAATCTTCGGAGGAGGAAGCAGGATAGGTACCCTTGTCTTTTCCTGCATTCTTGCCGAAGCTGAGCCTGGCACAGAACTCTCATGGACTCATGTGCGGCTTGGAGTGGGCCCAAACTTGCTCAGTCGTTCGTACACCTACCTATGTTCCTTTTTCCTTCTTTCTGCGTGTTTTTTTCTTCCTCACCTTCGCGCCAATTGTAGCTTGGAAATGGGTTATTCAGAACGTTCTTGACATCAGATATCTTGTTCCACGACGCTCCGGACAAATAAGGACAAACACTGATATGCAGACGGCCGCCGAACTGCGTTCACACCAGTCTCCGAAAACCTCGTGCAGGCCTTGCTTTCGACGGTCATTATCTCGCCGCGACTGTTCGTTGTGCTCGCTTTGAACTTGCATCCCTCACTAGCTCAAGCTGTTCAGGTGAGCATATTTTCTCGGTGATCGCGCATCGTTCTGCCTTACAGGATCAATCGTTGCAGCGCCATCCTCATGCACCACGCTCTCTTCGTTTCGGACATCGTCTCTCTGATCCTCGACTGCTTTTTCTTGGACGGCGCGCTTGCGGACGAGCAGGGTGGGCCCTATATTGTGGATTGCCCGACGCTGGCGTCCTGCGCGAGGACATGTCAAGCGTTCCATACCCCCGCTATCAAGGGGCTCTGGAAGTATCATGATCTAGATCTCGAGACCGTTCTCTTGCACTGCATGCCTACCGACGTATGGGAGATACGAAGGGAGACCTCGCCTACTAATTCTGCCGCTGTAGTTGATTATATGGTGTGTGGGCTCTGTACTACTCTTGTGTTCGGATACTTACGCGTGGCTATAGATCCTCAAGCGCCCAGTCACTCCCGAAGACATGAGTCGGCTACTCGTTATTGCCCCGCTGATCAACATGCTCACCGTTGGCGAACATCGCTCAATAATGCTGGCCCAGGAGTCATATAGTTTCATCTCTTCGTTCTTGCCCAAGGGTGTCTCCTCCGGTCTCCTCAACCTCGAATAATACGTTGAGGAAGCCGATCTGGTTCATCTGCCTACAATTCTTACACCAGCCATCCAATATCTTCACCTTGACTACCGGTCTACCAAGCCTGAAAGTCTTCATCCCCTCATCACTCCTACTCTCGCTGTACACTCTCCTCACATCTCGGACTTCGAGGTGCACCTGCCCTATGACGATGGCGACGGTGTTGGGAGCTCGGCCAGACGGGAGGTCTCTGACGTTCTCCGAACCTGGAGCTTGCGCCGTCTGCGAGCGGAGGGGCGCGACTACAATCTCTTGGCAGACTTGAGCCAGTCGTCAACGATAAAGCATCTCGATCTCAAGTTCCGGGACGACAGTCTGAAGCCACAATCCGTCGACTTTCATCCCATGTCCTTTGCGGCGCTGCAAGATCTGTGTCTGGACAACGTGGACATGCGTGTGGCTATCGCACTATTGAAAAAGTCAAATTTCGACACACTGTACGAGCTCTGCCTGGATCCCGTCCATACGGTCTCTCGAGATTGGCCCGAACTTTACCGCACTATAAATTCTGCGATCATCCGCCCCGAGTCGATGATGACTCTCGTAATCGAGCCCAGTGACATGTCGTTGGATCACTTGCACGAATCATCGGGACCGATGACGAACAAGGACCTCATCCCATTCTTTCAATTCCGAAATCTTACCACGCTCGCCTTGCGACACCCCGGAGGCTTCGATGTTGGCTCGTCCACCATCGAGTGCCTAGCAGAAGCTCTACCTCATCTGACTACCTTTGCGCTATCATCGATGAAGCAGCCGCGATGTCAGCCGAGAGCTGGGCTGCACGTGTTAGAGTCGCTCGCCATGCACTGTCCAGAGCTGCGGTCTGTAGGGTTGACGTTGGATGCGAGAGGAACATCATTTCGCAGTCCTCCACCGTCGTACAAGGGGACCGAGATACAATTCGATTTTGGCAGAGATGGGCACGAAGGAGAGGTTGAAGAAGACGACGAGTCATCGCTGGATGAGGAGGACGTAGAGTCTTCAGACGATGAGAGTGATTAGGTGAACTTCGTCTCTACATGACGTTGGTGTCGGGACTGACTAACCTGCACACAGTATACGGTCTCAACGTCGTTTCGAGATGGAATAAGTTGAAGAAAGCGTACAGCGGGAGGCGCTCGGCCGGGGCTTCCCATCTACGGAATTAATACTGGCATGAAATTAGTACAGCAATGGATGATGAAAGAACCGGCGGACGAACATGAGACGATGAAATAGGTTACGAGTAATGGTAGTGAACAAACCGTACAAGATACAGACAACAGACGACGACGAGGAGAAATAGCTACGCGATACAGCAACCACGGCGGTTGTCTTCAGAATCCGGATCGCCTTCGCCCTCAGAGTCCGGACTGTTTTCAGAGTCCGAACCAGCTTCGCATGCTTCGACGTCCGAGTCGGCTTCAGGGTCCGACTGAGTTTCCTCGGCAGGCGACGTGCTCTTGTATGGGAATCCGAGGATCAACGGTGAGCTGTCCTGCAAATCGACACGGTCGGCGAGCTTCGCAGATCGCTCGGAAAGTGCGGCAGAGGGGGTCGGCGAAGGGGCTGGTGGCTTGGAAGACGCAGCTGGCTGATTGGAGGGCACGACCGGCACAGATGAGGCTGGTGACCGTTCGGGAGATGCAGCTGGCTGCTTGGGCGCCTGAGTCAAGGGGCTAGATGTCGCGGCTGGCGGTGTATAGAACGCAGAAGCCTGGCGCACCTCCTCCGGCGCGGCCTTGAGCAGGTCCTCCATCAGCCGCTTCGCGCGCATCCCGTAGCGCTGCACCAGGAACGCGTCTGGTCCCAGCTCGTAGTACGGCTCGTAGTACTTGTCCACGTACGGGATGTCCACCTCCGCGAGCACGGGCGTCATCCCGGGCGGGGGCAAAGGCCACCCGGCGATGATGCTGACCTCTGTCTCGACCAGCTCCGCCCAGTCTGGCTCTTTGTCTGTGACGTTGCGGCTGATGTAGGTGAGCGGACCGACGCACGCCGCGCGTGTAAGCGCCTGCGGCAGGTCGGTGAGCGTCACTCCGTCGCCGATGCGGTACTGCGCGCTGTACACCGCAAAATCGCCGGGCGCGAGCGCCACGCACGCGCGCTTCCAGTCGACGACCCGGTTCCAGGGCGCTCCCGTCGGTTTCTCGGGGGGCTGATATTCGAGGTCGGGGCCGACAGTACCCCGCGGCGCTTCAACGCCATTGATCTCGAGGAGCGCGACGCGTGTCCGGTCGTTGTAATCTTGCCATGGCGGGAACCACATGAGGTCGATACTGGCAAACGCTGTGAGCTTGATTGCGCGAAAGGCGCCCCAGCCCGCGACTCACCCGTGCAATGTCTGATAGCTGCATCGGTCGCGCTCCTCTGGCAGCACGTATTCCTTCAATTCGTCGCACGCTAGCGAAAACCTCGTCTGCTCCCCGAAGACCGCGAAGATGCGTCCGTCCGTGCGCCGATTTTGGACCATGATACGGAGTGTGACGAGCGTCGGCCCGGAGAACTTCTTGAGCGCGCCGGTGAGAAGTTCCATGGGACTCGCGGTCTCCTGTTGTATCCATCGCAAGAAGGACGGGGGAGGGATGGTCTTGGTATACTCGCCGTCTGCGGGGACGTAGGCGGGCTGCATTCTGAGCAAGTCGTTAGCGTTATATTATATCAATCATGACGGTCAGGTGAAAAATGGCAGACACCCCCAGCGACGTCCTTTATCGCAGCCGCATCCTCCTTGTCGAGCCTCAGCGTGGCGCGACGATTATCATATGTGGCGCGGGAAAGCGGTGATGAAGGGGGGGGAAGACAAGGGGTGCGCCTATCGGTTGTAACTGGCTGAAAGAAAGATCGGCTGGACTCACGTATGACCCATGAGCGGCGAAGCGGTCACCCACACACCAAGCCCGTTCTCTTTGACACGAGCGAAGATAGGATCGATGGGCCATGGCACGTCGGGGCGCTGTGCAGAGTCGAACGTCTTGGCTAGCGGGGGATGCACGAAAGCCGTGCACTCGACCTTGTGCCCGTGCCGCCAGTGCTCACGCTGGCACTCGATCGAGCAGCTGGGTAGACGTGAGGTACGCTCACGCCATTGAAAGACTTCCTCACTGATTGATCGACCTGAGGGGAAGGAGGAATGTCAGCAATGAGTTCCTCGCCAACGCGACCGATCACATACTTGCAGCGCGAGCACGTCTGCAGACGCGTCCCCGCGGCCTTCTCCTTGCCGCATCGGCCACAATTCTCCTTCGCGTCCCTCTTGTGTGCCTTTCGCGCCGCGTTCTCATCGGCGACGACCCCCGCGACGGGTTCGTGGTAGATGCCCCACATCTCGTTATCGTGGGCTCGTGCGCGTGCAGCTGCTGTCTTGCGCCTACCCCTTTGCGTTGCTCCAGACTCTGTTGATGGTCTCGTCCCCCTGGAAGAGGACGACGAGGCTTCGGGCATCGGTACGCCGCTTGCATTGTCAGAAAGGTCTGACGAGAAGTGCGTCTCCAGAATCAGCCTGGCGAACTCATTTTGGAGTGCACTCGCGAGCTCTGGATCCATGTCGAGTACAGCGCTTCGTGATTTCCTTGAGAGACCTGGAAACCGCTGGATTCGAAATCGTGGTGGTGGTAAGAATTAAGAAGCGCCCGGCGCTAGTCAACTTGATCGCTAATATAGCTATTTCCATTTTTGTGCTTTGCCCCGGAATGTGATTCGATTATCATGTCTGTTCATTGCATGGTAATTATATCTATCGTGCCTCATAAGAGCGACGCAAAGCAGTTTCTAAATCATTGCCCACTGCCCTCATCCCTGCCCTGTATAACTCTCGCCATTGCGGCGGAACGGATTCCTCCATCGACTTTACATACGCAGGATAAATCCTCTTCATACTTTCCTCGCGCTGTGTCGCCCGCTTTCCGATGCGCTTGGGAAGGAAGTCGTCCGGGTTTGGCCCCCGAAGCGGCTCGAAATATTCCCAAATATACTTGATATCCGTTCCTGCCTGCAGCATGAACACGTTGCCGTCGGGATCAAGAGGAGGCGTGAAGTTGCTATACAGATCCGAGCGAAGCTCGGACGCGGTACGGTTGACGTCGCGGACGCCCATCTTAATGCACGGGATGCCAGCCCCGAGGGTCGTGTGCAGGACGCGGGGGTAGCTCCTGAACGCGTGCGCGTCGCCAAGGCGGAATTGCGCGCAAATTATGGCGAAATCGCCTGGTGCGAGGATGACTTCGGCCCTGTCCCAATCGAGGACGCGATCCCAAGGCTTGCCCGACGGCCGTTCTGGAGGCCGGTACTCGCCTCCCTCCGCGCTAAAGTCGCCTTTGGGGGCGGCGACGCCGTTGATCTCGACAATCGCAGCGCGTGTCCGCCCGGTATAGTCTATCCACGGGAAGACGTGCATCGCCACCTTGCTATAGAGCGCCGATCATGAGAATCGGCAGTGAACGGCTGTGATATACACGCACTCCTCGTCGATCCTCTCGAAGCGGACGTGCGCAAGGTCCTCGGGGAGGAGGCCCTCCTTCAGCACGGAGTTGACGGTGAGCATGATGTCGCCGCCGATGATCGCCATCGCCTGCCCGTCCTTGCGCCTGTTCTGCACGACGAACCGAAAATTGGCGAGGCAGCCGCCAAAGTACTTGTGCAGGCTCGGCCCTGGCACCAGCCGTGAGGGGTCGTCGAGCCCCGCCCAGCGCGCCCACGACGGCGGCCCGGAGTTGAGGGGCTCAGATACATATCCCTCTGGAGGTGCATACGGAGGGTCCATTCTGTCACGAGGGTGAGCGAGCACACGCCACAGGGCAGTGGTGGCTTACATGTGCGCTATATCCCCCGCCACGGACATCCATACGCCCACGCCGTTCCTGTTTGCGGAGGCGAAGATTGGGTCGACGGGCCATGGCACGTCCGAACGGTTTGACGGATCGAACGTCTTCGCGAGCGGGGGCTGCGCAAAGGAGGCGCAGTCCGCCTTGTGCCCGGCGCACCAGTGGGTGCGCTGACAGTCTTCCGAGCAGCTGCGACTGCGTCAGGGAGATGCATCTAGCAGTAAACAAAGCACTCGCTAGTTGACGGCTCTGCGTGTGTAAGTGATCAGCGTGCTGCCGCGAGCTACAGAGTAAGCCAACGTACTTGCATCGTGAGCAAGTGTAGAGAAGGGCACCACGCTGCCTTTTTTGACCGCACCGGCCACAGACGCTCTTCCTGTCCCTCGCATGCGCCTTGCGCGTCATGGAATTATCCCGGTTACCCATTGCGAAGTAATCATCCATGAACTTCACGTGCTGCGTTAGACTTGGACGCTTTTCAGGGGTCGCCGCTGATGAGCCACTAGTTCTCGGAAGAGCAGTAGGGGCAGGGGTGGGCGAGACAGCATTCGCCGAAGTTGCCGTTACGAGAGTGCTCGTAGGAGAAGCAGCATCTAGGGAAACGGCTCCATTCAAAAGCAATGCAGCAAAATCACGATCCAGCTCTTGGAGGAGATTTCCATCCATGTCGTCTGAGCGAAAGGAAGGGTATGGGAATGCTTGGTCAGCGAGCCAAAAGACACAACGAGCGGATCCTTTCACAGAGGGATTCACCTGTGTTAGACGCAGCCAACCTTTAGGGGTGCTGGTAGAGGCCGCAAGCAAGAGGGCAGGCATGTCAAATTGGCCGGGCCGACGCCTTCGGAGGCGCCGCCCGACTGAGTCTCGATACCGACAGTGTGCCGCGACCACCAGTTACAAGGCCACCTGCTGTGATTTGTGTGGCCGGCATATTGACGCAGTTCATGTATTGCTTGGGAGTATGCAGATTGCACTTGACTTGACCTCATCTGCATGATCCAAAACTGGCGTCAGAAGCAAATTCTCCCCAATTGCTGAGAAATACATTGTCTAAGAAAGGAGCCACGCAAGCAGATAGTGCTACAGATTTATCAATGTATCATGAGAGATGCGCAGTCAAAGTCCATAAACCAAGATGCACAGGAAAGGGCCAGCGGCATACCAGCACCGTCGAAGAAGAATAAAGTAAGAAATGAAGCGCCAAAGCGTGAGGAGATCGTCATGTCTGAAAAAAAAGGTCGTGCAAGCGAGTAACAGTGCGTGAAAACCATTGCGTAGGGCGAGGGAGACACTGAGTAGCTGTATATGGGAAGAGGATAGGGTGGACCGTATGGAAATTTATACCTCTTCGACCTCGCGCTCCATCCGCACAGTGACCCGCACCGGGGATGGCGACCGCGCACGCCGCCCGAAGAGCATGGGGAGAGGCGTCGGAGAGCGGCTCTTCGAGCCTGCATGTGCATGGCCCTTGGAGCTCGTACGCGCATGTCCCGCCCCCATCGCCCGCCCTACCTCCGCGTTCCCTTCGGGGACAGCAGGCGCGGGGATGAGGTTCGAGAACGGCGGCGGCGAGGGCTGTGCGCCAAGGGGGGCCGTGTAGTAGATGTGCTGGGAATGCGCGCCTCCCGCGCCATACCCGCTATCAGCGCTCGCCCTCGCCCAGTACCCGTGGTTGGCGTGGTACGCATGCGTCGGGTCCGTCGCGTACGCGTCCGAGTTGTAGATCACGTCGCGCGCGGAGCCGAGGGAGGTCGCGAGCGAGTCGCAGGACGTGAGCGACGTGACGGAGTCCTGGGGCGCGTGGCGAGCAGAGGGGGTGCGCGGGCGATCGGCAGAGAGCTGGCCGGCCGCAAGGCCCTGCGTGGGGTGCAGATGGAATCTGGGCAGCGTCTCCTCCGACGGCCCTCCCATGAGGCTGCGAGAGGGCAGGCGCGCCGAGCGCTCCGAGTCGGCGTCGCAGGGTACCTCGGGCAGTGACTTGTCGATCGTCTGCTGCGACTTGCCGGTCAGCGACTGTTGGCGCCGAGGCGCCTCCGGTGACGGCGGGATCACATTGACAGGCAGCGCCGGCACGCTTTCTGCGTCGTCCGAGCGCCTCCCCGGGCTGGTGCGCGCGGTGTACACCGAGCTCGCCGACGAAGCGCGGCTGAGGCCCTCGCTGTACATGCTTCGCGTCCTGCACAGCTCGAGGCTCCGACTACGGCTCGCGCTGAGGTCCGCGGGGGCGAAGGGATCCTTGCGCGTCGAAGCGAAGGGGTCGTCGGAGGCGTCCTGGCCGACCTGCGCGACGTAGAAGGGAAGCGCGCCAATGGAGTTGTTCGGTTTCTGGGTGACGGTAGTGGGGCCCTTCTCGTTGACCTTGCCGTTCGAAAGGGTAGCCTGCTTGAGCGAGCCCAGGTACGTCATCTTCTCCGCGGCCCCGTGCTTCGAGTCCGGCCAGGCCTTCTCCCACTTTGGATGCGGGAGCTTGAAGCCATCCACAGTACCCCGTCTGCATACCTTCCGGAACATATGCACAACCCTTGCATGATAGCTCGCCTCGCCAGCTAGGCCGAACAGGATGAAGAAGGCGAGCGCGCAGAGCACAGGCGCCCAGCGCCCAGCCTCGATGGCAGCGGCGGAGAGCGGCGCGGCGTGCCAGGTTGAGAAGACGATGAGGGCGACGTCGGGCGTGATAGTCGAGGAGCTATCAGAGGTGTTGAATGAATCGACGGCCGACACGTCCGGGCTCGGGAAGGCGGGATCCCACTCCGGCGCAACGGACGAGCGCCAGGGCGGGACGGAGGCAAGCTCAGAGGCGGAGGAGTTCGCCGTCTGCGTGAACGAGGGAGATGCCTCGGACCTCGGCACCCACAGCCGGCGCGCCTCCGACCACGGGATGAGGGGGCCCGACCGCGCGAGCGCCGCGATGTTCAGGCTGCTAGAGACAATGGATACAGTGAAAGCAACGAGCGCGAGGAGGACAAGGCGGAGGCAGAGAGCCGTGCGCAGGGTGCCCTGCTTCGCAAGCGCGTGATCGAACTCGAGGCGGTGGACGTAGGAGAGGCGGAGGGTGAGAACTGAGGAGAGAGTAGATGAGCTGCTGCTTTGATGTACTGCTACGAGGGTATGGGCTCACCAGCATAAATTAGCGAGGCCAGTCCCAGGCCGAGAGGCCAGCTCAGGACGAGAAAGTAGGACAGGAGGGTATTGGGGATGGCGGCTTGGCAGCCAATGTCTTCGAGGATGGTGAAGCGTTGGCTTTGTACTATGATGTCTGGGGGATGTAAGTAAGAGGCCACCGAGGGTATGGGATGCCGACTGACGAAGTAGCATAACGAAGAGGGGAACCCCAGCGGAGAGCGCAAGGTCGATCGCGATCGCGAAGAGGATCTGCAGACGTTATGAGTTATATGTAAGGATGAAAAGACTAGCTACGCACTTCGCGGCGGGTCTCGGGGACAAGACGCATGGAGGTGACCTTCCAGAGACGATGGGAGATGCAGAGACCGGAGGCGGGGATACCGATGCTTGCACCGAGGAGAAGCTTAGATGCTGTTCCTTCGTCAGCACATTTTCCGTAGCATACCACTGCAACGCACATATATCGCACCACGCTGGTACCGTATTCATCACATTTCCTGACCACACCACCGAGTTGATGAAGGAGAGCAAGCACGCCGTCGCCGCCCACGCCGCGAGCGCACAAGCACCCGTGTTCCATACTTGAAGTGTGAAGGGTACCGGAAGAAGCGCAAGAACCGAGCTCAAAAATGCCAGGATGGGGAAGAGGGGATACGTGGGGTCGTTCGAGAGCATAGCGGGGTCGTGAGCGTTAGCCGGCGTGCCGGACGTCGTGCCGTGGCGTGGCGAGTACAGAAAAAGAGAGGAAAGCCGAAGCAGAAGGGAAAACGGAGAGAAGGGGAGCACCGTCCATTCTGATGGCTTCGTATATATGTTCCAGCCGTCGGGGGCCTTGGCAACACGAGTCCATGTTCATTTCGGGAACAATGGACACGAGGCGTTACTGTGTCACAGTTCATTGTTTGTGACAGCGTGATGGCCATTGTTCGACTGACGAAAGTGGGAGTGCGATCGACCACACCCACGATTTCAGAGGGGAGGAAGAAGCAGATGTGGTGGTGTGATATGAACTCACAGGTTTCCGTGCCTCAAAAGAATTCGGCGCTTTCCGAGGAGCAGCGCGGTCAGCGCTCAGATCATGTCCACTTGTGAGAATTGTCCGACATACTCTAGTGTACAGTAGAGCAGTAGAGAAGGGCAACATGAGATGCTTGCTCTAACACGAAAGTCTAACGTGACCTATGTAATGCCTATCTACCCTGTATGCAATTTACGGACTACCCGGCGTTCAAGCGACTGCGTATCCTGCATCCAGTCGGCACGGAAAGCATCCAGTCGAGATGGACAAGTAGCCCACCAGACGATAGCTGCATCGCCGGCACACCCTGTCATCTTGCGCGACATCGCATTTCGTCCAGTCGTCAAGTGCCGAGGCAGGCGTGCATCGGGCGGTCGTCGGGTCGTCGAGTGAAGTCGTCGAGTGAAGTCGTGAAGCCGTCGTGGAGGACAAGTCGTAAACTCCAGGTATCATTACCGCAGACCAGGTGCGCGTACCCGGTGAACAGGATGTGCAGACCCAGTGGGCGAGATGTGCGAAGCCGAAGCACCATTACCGAGAACGATTGACCGCGGAGTGAGCGCCTACTCATCATCGATGCGTGGCGCGAGCGGGCAAACCGCCGCCGAGGACAAAGATAGTGGTCTTTGGGCGTCGAGGTTTGTGGCGCTGCGGTGCTGGATGAGTAGGCTCCTGAGGATTGTTCTCCGATGATGGCGTCGAGACTTGGGCGCTCGTCGTTTCCTCCGACGCCGGGGCATCGTGCTCGACTTGTTGTACGTTCTCCACCTCGACCTGGAGACCTGCATCGCGCACTTGTTCACCGTTTGCCAGAGTTCCTTCAACACTGTATCGCATCGTCAGTCTTTAAAGATCGAGGTCTTGAGCATTCGCAAACCGCACCTCTTCGGGCTCGTAACCCAGTCTTCAGGCGACTGCAGAACAGCGCGCCTGACCTCTCCTCCCTCGCGCCACTTCAGAACCCCGCTGATCATCTCCGGCGTGGTGTCGACCGTCTCGGGCGTCACAGGCGGCGCCGACGCCGGACGCTCCGGCGCGTCCGGCGATTGCACTCGAGGATGCGCAGGACGAGGCGCCACCGACGCTGCACCACTCACGCGGTCCGCTTCCAGCGACCTGAAGCGCGCGTCTTCAGATAAGAAGAGGGTGTCGTGGAGTGGCGCTGTCGTATCGTCGACCGGCGCTGGCGCATTCTCGACGGGCGCAGACGCATTCTCGACGGGTGCCAGCATGTCCTCGACCAACGCCGGCACTGCAGCAATTGGGGCAACAGGTGCCGGCAACCCGGGAGGCACCTCTGGCGCCTCAACGAGTCCGGGCGCCCGCGGCGCTGCAAACAAGCCTGCAGGCCTCACGTACTCTTCCCCCTGTAGCGAGGGCCTGAAAGGAGACACTATTGGCGAGAATCCAGGGAGGATCGACACCGCCGGTGAAGGACCGTCAAATATTACCGGCGGAGGACCGTCGAAGGCGGGCATGGGCGGGTGACCGTCGAGACCTAGTAGCATCGGCGGGCGCGCTTGGTGCATCGGGCTCGGTCCCTGGTGCATTGGGTTCGGTCCTTGGTGCATCGGACCCAGTCCGGGAGGGAAAGGCATCGGCGGCGGGGGACCTTGGAATGTTGGCGAAGGACACTGGAATGCCTGACCTTGAGGCGCGAGGTTCGCAAATCTCGGAGGGCCGGCGGAGAGCTGCTGGGGACCAGGACCATGCATACCCAAGTGACGAGGCATCGGGTTCATGGGCGAGACGTGCTGTCCAGGGTGCGGGAAGCACTGCTGGGGTGGCCCAAAGACTTGCTGCTGGGGAGGCAGGACATGTGGCGGAGGGGGGCACGGCATCGGAAGCCCAGGCGGAGGCGGCATCTCGTGCGACATCTGCGGCGGCGGACGAGGCATTCCATTGAAGGGCTGAGGACCCGGCAAGTGCTGAGGAGGCGGGACTTGACGCGGTACGAAGTCTTGCATGACGCGCGGCGGACCAGGAGCGAAGGACGGGGCCGTCGGGTTCATCGCACGAGGCATCTGTTGCGGACCACGAGGCATCGAGTTCAGCGCCTGAGGTGCGTTGTTGAAGGCAACAGGTCGCTGGTTGAAAGCAGGGCCTTGCTGTGCGAAGGGGACCTGGGGAGCGGGACGGCCTTGAGGAGAACAAAACGCTGGACACACTCGAGAGACGACGGGACCGCAAGGAGCGATATTCCGACTCAGACCAGGCGGCGCCATCGGCGCTTGCTGGCTCAACCGTGGTGGATGGTTGAATCGGGGATGGTGAGGGCTCAAGTTGCAGACCGGGATGGGTTGGGCGGGCGTCGTGGGCGGAATTGACGGTGCGGTCAAGTAGATGGTCGTCGCGGGTAAGCTGATGGGTGCAGAGGTCGAGCTCGCTGGCGACACCGTCAAGTTGCTGAGCGCCGCAGTCGGGTTGGAGTGCGTCGAGATCGCGTCGGCCGGCTCTACGACAGCAGGCACCTGTACCTCCTCCGCCAGCGGCACGCCGTGGATGCGGCGCTGGTTTTCAGGGTCGAGGTTGGTTGCGTGTCGAGCCAACTCCGCGGCGATGACATCCTCTGTCGAACGTTCATCCTGGGACTGTATCGGGCGGGGCGAGGAGGACGTGGAAGCCGCGACGGGCTCGCTGACAGACACAGCGATTTCAGGGCACGCCTCAGGCTCCGGATCCGAACGTGTCTCGTCGACCAATACCGGCGATGTCGCGCGTCCTTCCTGCTCAGTCGGTGGCGCCGAATCCGGTAATGCGTCTTGGCACGCCAGCTTGTTCTCCTCCGCATAAACTTGCCCCATGTCCTTCGTGCTTGCAACCAGCGCCTCGTCGACCTTCGCGAGCACCGTCGCGGCTTCTAAATCGACAGTCCCTGGTGTTTCATAGATTATCTTGTCTTCGAGCTCATTCGCCTCCTGGACCCCGTCCGCGCGGGCACTGGTCTTGAGTATGTCAAGGACCCTCTGCAAGGCAGGCGACGGCTCAGCCTCTGACAAGACATCTGGCTCGCTGTGCGTCGCGCTAGGCAGAAGATGCATGAGCGAATGCGATCCCGGCGTGACGGGACTACGAATAGTCAGAACATGTGACGGTCAGCAATAATGAGGACGCACGATGCAATAGGGACGACAGCGGCAGGCGAACTAGTGCTCGACTTCGCTTTCAGGTTTTCCAGCGTCTCCGCGAGTTTGGCGTTCACGCTGTGAAGTTATTAGATGATGATGTGGACGCAAGTATGAGATGAGTACGTACGTCTCGACGTCAGGGTGAAGCTGAACATCGTCGTCCATGCGGGGCGATGGAATGGTCGGTGAAGGAGTCGTGACTTCGGGATCCTCGGACGTTGCAGCAGACGACTCGGAGAGGTCACCGACGTCGGATGAGTGCGGTCTGTGGTACGTGGTCAGTCGTTGACATCGATTTGTCGGTCAAAACACGGCAAAACGTACTCTTCATTGTCAGACTGAGGCCCATCGTCGGTAGGGACAGGGGAGGATGACTGGATCGGAGAGGAGGCCGCCTCCTCGACAACTTTGGGCGTTGCAGAGAACGACTCGAAGATGTCCTCGATGACAAGTGGATTCGAGCTGTCGATGGTGGTCAATCGGCAGTGAAGAATATATCAGATCGGTGCCGACGTACTCCTCGATCTCAAAGCACGGCAGTTCGTCCGTTTCGGCGAAGGGAAACGGTTGAATCGGGGAAGGGGCCATGATTTCGAGTTCTTCAAAGGTTGGTTCGTCGACCTCAAGCTCCTCGACAGTTGCAACCGGAGTGTCGTCCTCGTCTGATGCATCGGACCTGTTATCATGGTCAATCAATGTAGACCAATGAAGGAGCTCGGCGACGCACTCTGAGTTATCACTGTCCTCATCCTCATCCTGAGTCTCGTACCAGTCCGGAGACATGTGTCCTTTGAGGGACTTGGTCCAGAAAATCAGAGCGTCATCCGGCATGTCCTCGGCTTCGGACTCGTCGTCGTCGGCGCAGTCGACGTCTGCCTTCGCGAAAGACGAGTCTTCGGCAATGAACTCTTCCATGTCGGCGCTGTAGAGGTATAAGTAGAATGTAGGATGAAGGACGCCAGTCACGCACTCCTGGTCCACTTCGCGAGGCCCGCTCACGAGCACTTCATCGCAGTCCTTGTCGGAAAGCGACTGGTTGCTCGAAGCCTTGGAGAGGTTGTCGTCGACGTCTTCCGCGGTCTGTACGTCGTCCGAGAGTACACGCTCGTCACTGATACGAAGGGTGAGCTTTTCGCCATACAATGGACCGTGGATTTACGCACGAGGTGACTGATCCGTTGACGGCATCGAGAGGGGAGGGGAGATCTTGCGGGGTAGGGGAGGAGATAAAGGTGTCTTCGAGGGTGACCTCGTCATAGTTATCGCCGGTAGACTCGCTGCATATTCGTTAGCATGAGCGTATCAAAAGTCAGCGGTTGCAGGACGTACTTGTCGACAGGCGTCGGGGAGGCAGTGCGGGAGGGGGAAGAACTGTCGGGCTGGTTGGAAGGGCTGAAAGACCGTCAGCTTAGGATCGTGCAAGAGATGAAGTCAACGCACTTCGTGTCGTCGTCGAAGGAGGCAACTTCAGGGATAGGTTGAGGAGTACGTTCAGTCACGGATCGGAGGTCTTCGACGGCGGAGGCGATTTGTGGCGGTTGATCAGGTTGAGGGGAAGTCTCGAGCCCACCGTCACGCTCGACGTGGGAAGAGGCGACGTCGTCGAGGACGCGCTCATCATCGACGCTGTAAACGAACCAACGGTCAGCGCGCGCACGCGAGCGGCAACGGAGGCGGACGCACGTGGATGTCGGCACTGCCGGCGGGGCGCCGCAATCAATCTCAACCTCCGCGTTCGAGTGGCGAGTGGCGAGCCCATTCTGGGGCTCGTCGGCGTTCGCGCGCCCACTTTCGCGGCGAGATAGGCGGACGTAGACGACGGCGGAGGCAATAACAATAACCGAGATCTGTACGCGGGTCAGTTTGCGGCGCCACAATAACGGAAGGACCAGCCATCAGCGGAAGGTCCTAACACTCACGACGAGCAGGATGAGCTCGGCGGCGCCGATGGGAAGGGCCTGAAGGGCGGCGGGTGTGCTCGGAACGGTGGAGGTGGAATCCTCGACGACGCTCCACGCAGCGCGCGCCTCCTGGGCCACTAGCTTCGAGAGCCGGCTCTGCTGCTTTCGCAAAATGGCAGTTTCGAGCGCGGACTTGTCGAAGAAGCGCTCGATGATGAAGAAGTCGAGGTTGATGGACGATGCGGGGAGCTTTTGAGCAAGGGCCGTGAAGTTGGTGGTGTTGACGGCGGCAAGCGGGATGGTCGGTGTGGCAGTAGTGGTGTAGGTAGAGTTGAGGATGCTGAGGACGGCGACGTCGCCGAGTTGCTGGGTAGTGTAGGTGATGGACGGCACGACCTGATAGCTCCCGATCACGAGAGTCAGGAAGGGGGCAGGGACGCCGGCGGCCTGGAGCGCGGCGGCGAGCATGAAGCTCCCGACGACATTGACCACTTGAACGCCTATGTCGTCCATGGTCGAGGTGGTGGTGAGTTGGTGTCTAGGTGCGAATGCGAGTGCGAGTGCTAGCTTGCTAGCGCAACTGGGGCTCAGTGGCGATGGATGATGATGGGTTGAGGGAAGGAAAGAAAGAGGCTGGGGCGACTGGACCTCCCTATAAATGCGCGGCGCTTATTGTCGGTCGGTGTCACGACCATTCTTCCCGATTTGGCTGGCGGCCCGGCGCGCGCTGCACTGCCGAGGGTCCACACCACCCACCTGGTTCTACACCATCAGCGGCTTCTATAGAACCAGCTTCGGCTCCGCTGATGGCGCGTATCGACCACCGCGCGCTGAACCTTGTTCGCGGCGGGGTGAACATTGCAATGAAGCGCCTGGGAGAAGGGCTTCTATCGTGTTCCTGCGCCGTCAGTAACTAACGCTGAGGGCGCGCGCGGACCTTCCGCTGATGGTGCGCGCAGGCCTTCCCCTGGAAAGTAGTGTGCGCAGACCTTTCGTGGTCCGTCTTGAAATGAACCTTCCGTCCCGTCCTGCAGTAGCGGGAGAGCTGAGCAATTTGTGGCGGGTACGTCGTCGGCCGACAATGTAATTGAGCAAGTAGGACCTCCGCACGAAAGTGGGTCTCGTTTATTGTCCATCGCTTACCGAAAAGTTCACGTCGTCGTGAAGCCGCCTCGTGTGGGGGCGCGCACTGTCTCCTCATGTGAGAGCGCGGTGAATCACCGCCGATCCACCACTACACCTGATGGCGGCTGCATCAGCGTAACACTGCTCGACATAAGCAGATTGGATTTACCGGCGCACCACTGTGTAGACTGAATCTACAGATCGTAGATATTGGATGTCCGCACCACGTAGAACACGAGGATTCCGCGCGTTCTTACGGCAGAATTGGCTCTGACCAGTGAGTCAGGACACCAATCTACGATGCCGGGGTCCTCGATCTGCGGCGTCCGGGTCTTTGAACGGCGTCGCCGGCTTCCCACCGGTGCAAGGAGTCCGGCGGCGATGCGGAACCTGTGACTGCAGCGCGTGAAATCTCGATGCAAGGAGTGGAAGCTTGATGGACCGTCGAAGGTCCTGGCACTGGCAGGTACCACGAGGGTCCAGTAGGTGCAAGGACCATCCGGCAGGTGTGACGAGGACCCCGGCAGGTGCAACGAGGCTTCTGGCAGGCGTAGCGAGTCAGATCTGGCTTGGGCGGTACCGAGAAACATGGCTATGTCGGATGTCCGCTGGGAAAGAGGGTGCGATTCGCGGGCTTTGACCTGTGTGCGCGCGCTTGTCTGATGATGTGGACATGAGGAGGGGTAGCAGATGTCCTGCGGGGGGGTAGGCAGACGTCTTGCGGAGGGTTTGTAGACGTACTGGACTCTACACCTTTGTGATACACATTTCGAGTGCCGCGATAGTCCTCCGGCGGGCGGGGCAGGCTCCTTGCAGTATAAGCGCCCGTGACACGATGCGTGACAGGTTCGTTTTCTGCAACAATCTTTCTTACTTTCAGTGAGTACATCGAGACTGCAAGTGCAGAGTGAGACAGCGCAGTGTAGAAGATGGGACGATAGAGAGGGAAAAACTGCTGAGGACGTACGTGACACGCACGATTTTATAGCTGCTGACGTTGCATGCATGTTGTGACATCCTTAGTAGCTTTCAAGTTCCTATAACATTCTCCAAGCCCACTCTCATGAGCTTTCCTCGCATATGGACCATACGCATGAGACACGCGAGGTTTCTAGGTGGCGGAGAACACAAGGATCCAAGTGACGGCATATTCATCGCGGGTACGACGGCCCAAGTCGAGGCGTGACGCGGTCGGCAGTTGCCGCGCGGCTTCATCGAGTTCGTATCTCGGGTTCGTATTCCCCTTGACCTCTACCACCTACTATACGCTCATCTCAACCGATCACCTCAGTCATACGCATAAAACATGAACGAACCTCTTCTCAGAGAGCTTGAGCGTGGCTTTGCTGAATTGCTGTTGAATAGTAGCAGAGTAGCCAATGCCCCACAAACCGCCGCCAACGACCCGGATACAAGAACCTTCCCCTCCAATTGCAACCAGGAGTCGACAACGACACTTGATGCGACAGCACAAATCAATCCGACTGCATGTGTGCGCGAAAGACTGCCGCAGATAGCCAACTATATAGACCAGCTCGACCATCGCGGCAAGAAACTCGCGCGCGACGATCGCAATACTCGTAGGAAGCAGGAGAGGGAGAACAGGACGCTTTGTGTGTCTTGTAAGCAAAGGAAGCCACCCGGCACTGCGATGTTTACCTGTTCGCTATGCAAGTGAGTCATCCGTCTTTCATAGAATTTTGCGAAATTCATGTTGCGACAGATCTGTGAACTAGTCAGTTGTTCAGTGATGATAGCGTTGAGAGATCTCTAATTATCTCCCACTCACTTGCAGTTGCTCGAAGCAGTGCCAGCGCGACGACTGGACAAGCGTTCACAGACAAGAGTGTACCACTTTTGCCCATCCACCCCTCGCGAAGTCGTTCGATACATCGCACCGCCTTGATGTACCATGGCCAATTGATCCGGTCTTCGCTTCCACCCATGAGGACGGTGTCGGCATATGGGTGTCAGTATCGACATCGGAAGACATGAGCGCCCTGTACGCGACTGTCCCATCATCTTCTGACTGATACTGACAAGCGACCCCCCCCCCCCCCCCCAGCCTACAAACCGCATGTACACCTCCCGAAGGACTCAAGACAGGCCCACAACCATACGGACCGCCATCCTTTCTGCGCTGGGCCGGTCTGCGTCCGGATAGTCCACAAAAGCGCGAATGGGGAATCGAGGTCAAGAAATACATCGGCCCCACCCTGGCCAACCTGCGCTTCGTTATACAGAACAGGCGAAGGGATGGCCGCGCGTTGGTTGTGACGGGGGCGGAAACTGCCCTCGTGGCATTCGACCACCTGAAGGGGTGTATCTTGCTCGAGGATCTCTCGGAAGTCATGTTCGAGACGATAGGGGAAGGGTGTGTTCCAGCACAATCTATCGCAGGCCGCTACCCTCGCTCATCCACCATCACAGGAAACAGCTCATGCACGTCCTCCCATGGCGAGACTACAACAAGCGCTTCCGGGTCTCCATCCTCGAGATCAACGGCACGCTCGCCTCGCACGGCCACTTCTCGCCCACGACCGACGAGTACGTGTGCGCCGACCGACCGACCGGGCCGCCCTGGGAGCGCGTCGTCAACTGGGACATGGCCGACATCGCCCTCGCGCCCGGCGACTTCGTCGTCTTCTGCGCGCAGTACCGCGTCGGGGACGGGCACAGCTGCGACACATATCCGGAGGCCATGACCCGCTGCGGCGGCGTCATCGCGCAGTGCTACCTCACCGACGCGAAGGGCACCGACTGCGACTGGTGCGGCTCGGCCGGCCGCCAGATGCTCCTTTCGCGCGCCTTGGCGCACGGCCGGGCGGGACTGCCGCCCAACGTGATCGTGCTGCGTGCGGACATCGACCACGACTACCTCGACGAGTATTACAAGCCGTACTTCGAGGAGGGCCTGAATGCGTTTTCTGCGCAGCGGTACGGGAAGGCTGCGAAGGCGCAGAGTGATCGTTTGAAGAAGTCAGGTCCAGAGGAGTTCGAGCGGATGCTGGATACCTTGCCTCCGGATGCGCGCCGGATGTTCGTAGGCATGTATAGTGAGATGGGTCTCGATGTTGCCCCTCTATTGCAGGTAGTATGACGGTCGAATGTATGCACGCCGGTTCGGCTCCTGGGATCTGCGTCAACACTTGGTCCCCATCCAATCCTGAAGACAAGTTATGGCAGTGCGAAACTGCAAAGCATGCAGAGACCCTTGCCTGTAGGTAGCGGCTTCAGTGGCATCTTTGCCCACGTCGTAGCACTCAGAGCTTCACGTTGCTCTTTTCGTAGGTCACTTTTTCACAAGATGTCGTACCAGATATCTAACTTGATCGGCTTTGTTGATGGTGGCAGAGAGGAAGTCACGCGCGACATCGTATCGTCACCGGACGACGAGCCGACGGACATCGCTCTCCTCCCTATCCTTGCTCGAGAGCCTGTTGTCAACGGCACGTAAACGAAGGCGCTGCCTAAGATTGTGCATTCGAACCCGCTCTGCATTGACGAGATATCCCTGTCTGGGCTGCCAGTGGAGTCCAGTCTTGAGCTGGCGCTGAAGACGACTTTGAAGGACTGATTGTGAGTCTCTGCAGGGCGTCAAAGAGACCCGGGCGGTAGCAGGTTCTCTCAAAAGCGGACACGGAGGTGATCCACTGCAGGATGGGCTGTAGGGCCGAGGCGCAAGTCCTATGCTGAGTCGCCCGTTCCAGGGATTGACTGGCCCTCGACATCGAGACCAGGAGCCGACACCAGGGCGGCGGACAGATCCAGCCGAGGATACCTCGAGGCAGAGGAGGAAGCATCGAGAAGCCGCAGAGGACAAGTCGCAAGGGCGTCGGAGGGGTCGGAAGCGCTGAAGGTTGATGCGCAGATGAGGGCCTAGGGTCAGAGAAAAGATGCGCAAGCGGCGTGTGGAGGTTGGCAGCAGCGCCCTCCTCACCCTTTGTACCCTCCCCTCCATCGCACACACGTGAGCGGCGCATATGTCGGCCATTGTCCACGCGTTGAGTCGCCATTGTCTGCGGAGGCTGCTCATTGTCCGCGCAGGGATATCAGTCGCCAGGGCTGCGCGATATCTAAGCGAAGGATTCGATGCGCGTGTAAGCGAGCACCTCGACGCGTTTCGGGCCGCCGCAATCATATCCCGAAGCCCTCGCGGTAACAAGACCTGCCATATCTGGTAAGTGATGGCTGCTGAAGTATGGTCGCGTTCAGGGTCGCACGCTGTCGTTGCGGCGGACAATGGGTGGCTGGCTGATGGGAGGTAATCGGCGGTTGGTGAATGGGAGATACTGGGTCCGAGGTGGTGAGAGCGGTGAGTGGTGGCGGCGACTGGGAGTGGCTGGCGAGCAATGAATGGGTGGCGCGGGAGAATGAACAATGAGTGGGCCCAGGTGAATGGAAGATAAAGTGTGGCAGACAATGGCAGGCGCAGCTCATTTATATGTCGCTTGGATTAGATTAGCGAGCAAACAATGGGCGACGCCGCCGACGCGCGTACCGTCGATCAACAATGCGCCTACGATATGGAAGACCGATCGACAAGCACGCGCCACCCAGAGAATGCGCGCCCACGGACAATGGCGTACACGTAAATGAGCGCGGTGGGGTATATAAGGCGCGGGGTGGGTGGCAGACGAGGCTTTCTCTCAACCCCCAACATCGTCGGCACACCCGCAGCGCTTCTGAAGGTGCGCTCGCTGCTGGTGATGCTGGCGGAGTTGTTCGACATGCTGTCGACCACGGCGACGGTGGTCATCATCGACGATGCCGGCAGTCGGCAGTGCTGCTGTCGGCAGCGGTCATTGTCGTCCACGTCGTTGGTGGTCATCGTCGGCAACTCCATCCGCGACCATCGCCGCTCTCGCCACACCCTTGCCGCCATTCCCTCTTCACACTCGCTCTCTCGCTGTCCACATGCACATTGCCCTCCGTATCCTCACCCCCACCACCCGCCGCCGCTGAAGATGCTGGCAAACATCCTCAGCGCGCCCTCCCCCCACACAAGGGTTCCCCTTCTCCCCTTCTCCCCTTGCCCCCTTCTCCCGCCTCACTTGCCGCGCTCCTCTCCCACTCCCACTCCCACCACACCCGCCCCCCACCGATCCCCTCGACTGCCCAACTCTCCCCCCTTCAGCAGCTTCCCCCCCAAGTATCACTCCATACCGTCGCCTTCCCGCCCTAACCTCTCGGCATCACCCACCTCGCCCTCCTCTCCTCAACCCACCATACCCCCGCCTTCGTCGCTCCCCCACTCCCTCGACGCCCTCCCCTACCAGACGCCATTCCGCGTTCCCCTCCCCTACCAGACGCCATTCCGCGTTCCCCTCCCCTTCCAGCCCCCAACATCTCCGCATACACCACTCCCCCACCCCGCGTGCATTGCTCCCCCACCCCGCGTGCATTACTCCCCCACCCCGCGTGCATTACCCCCCCACCCCGCGTACATTACTCCCCCGCCCCTCCTCAACCGCTCGGCTCACCCGCCCTCGCGCCCCCTTCCCTTCTCACCCTCCTCGCCCATCCCTTGTGTCATTTCCTGCACCTCTGCGCTCCCCAACTCACCACCGTCGCATCTCTCTCCGTCGCTGTGTGCGCCGGGGCAGAATGTCCGTGGTAGGGAAAACAGGGTCGGTGGTAGGGAAGACAGGCGGTGTGCACCCCATTCCATCGCACCGCCCATCCAAGCCGACGCGCATCGGTGACGAGGGTGCCGGCGAAGAGCGGAAAAACCAGTCAAATATGACTGGCTGACGGACGCTCTACGAGCGACCAAAGGGCACTCTACGAGCGACCAATAGAGGCTCGAAAGCCCGACTCGATGTCGAAAAGACCCAACTGGTCGCTCAGAGCGAGCGGCCAGAAGAGGCACGTCGAGCGAGCGGCCAGCAGAGGCACGTCGAGCGAGCAAGAATGCTGGCAGGCTGAACAAAACCAGCCCGTCGCTGGGTGGCGGATTGGCCGCCCGGCCGCTCGAGATAGCCAGCTGTCTAGCCAAGCGCTGGGGTTCCGAAAGGGCCGAAAATGTGCTGAAAGGCTGAAACGCTATGCAGCTGGTGCCCCCGAAGGCGAACGACCAGCGGAACGCTGGGTGGCTGGATCACCACTCACCCCCTGGGACGCGCATATACCCATCGAACGAGCAAGAGTCTAGCCGACCCAGCTAGTCGCGAAGGACCAGCCGTGTGATGGGTGGCGAGAATGACCGCGCAACCGCTGATCTACTGTGGTAGCTGGAGGGTGCGCCAATGCGCTCAGATGCCAGAACGCTAGCCGAGCTATGCGCTAGAAAGCCGATACGCTCAAAAAATGCGCGGCTGGCCAGCGAAGACCGGGAACTGGCATCCAATATGCGCTCCACGTCGCAGACAGCTAGCTGGCCAACGCGCTCGAAGGCCAATGAACGTCTGCAGCAATAGTTGACGAAGGGCCAACGCGCACGGAGGCCGTGCGGCCAGCCCGTCGCTCAGCGGCTGCGCGGAAAGCCCGCCGCTCAGAGGGTGCACAGACAGCCAGCCAGAAAGTCGCTCGAAGTCCGGCAGAGCGAACGTCTGAAGTGAAAGTTGGCGCGCAACCAGTAGCTGAGAGACCAAGCGGTAAGCTGGTCCGCTCGAAGGTCCAAAAGCTTGCTGGAACCACCACCGCGCCAGCCGCGCAAGCAACATCCTGACAGCTGCCAGAGGATCAGACGAGGCCTCCAAGCTTAAAAACTCAACTCACTGAGAACAGTTCGGAAATGTGGAAGGCGACGACCAGAAAAGTAGGTCCGGCGGCGAGCACCCGCGACAGACGCTACAGCTGGCGAGAATTGACGACAAAAAGAGCTGCAACTGGTAAGACCAGCCGGGAGAGTGCGCTGGCCAAGCCGGCGTCCACGGCAGACCGGAAGGTAGTGGGTGCGAGAGGCCGAAATCTCACTAGTAAACTGGCCGTTCGGCATGTACGAGACCTGCGAGTGGGCAGTTATCGGAAAAAGTCAGATCCGGAAGAAGCCAGTCGCGTGCACTATCCGCGCAGGCCTCGTACTGTAGCGCTGTCTGACGGTGGAAGGTAAGGGGTTCGATACGGAGTGAGCATGTTTACGCATGCCGTGAGGGAAGGTTGGCTTGGATTGCGGGTTTGTGAAGACTCAGCGCAATAACACTTGACCCGTTGCGTGCACGTAGAAGCGCGGAGAGTAGTAGGAGAGGTAGAAAAGGATGGGAATGAGATGGGCAGGGTGGCGCCGTACGCAGATCACGCGGGACGCACATCGCGCGCGGGAGCGAACGGCCCCTCGCTCGTCGAGTACGCGTCCGGACGCGTCGCAGGGGATAAAAAATGGTTCGCAAGAAGACAGGTATGCGCTGTAAAGTGAGCGCTGGGGCGGCCGTGTGAAGGCAGAGGGGGAGAGGAACGGTGACGGGGAGGGGAACGGTGAGGAGAGGCAACGCGCAGTGCACGCAGCGGGCGGAAGCTCCTCGCCGAGCCCGCGACGAGTCCGCCCGTCGCTGAATTGACCATCGCGCCCTCGCGCCTCTCGTGGGCCGTCCACATAGAGGGAACGACACGCTCCGAGCGGTACGATGCGGCGTACGCCTCGATGCACAACGCGCTGAACGGACTGTGCGCAGCGATGCGCGCGCCGGTGGACGAGCGGGTGTACAAGGCGTACGCGGAACGGCGGGGCGTGCGGCACGCGTTCGCGGAGCGCTGCCGGGCGAGCTCGCGGACCGCAGAGAAGGCGCAGGGGCTGAGGCAGGTCGATCTGTTGACGACACGTGTATAATGAAGAGGTGGGAGGGGGAGGTATAATCATCCCCCACTACTGGCGAGGGGGAGGCGCGGATTGCAGAAGGGGAGGTAGGGCGTGGTGCGCGATGTGAAGGGAGGGGGTAACGGTGCGGGGTGGAGACAGACACGAGGGCCAGAATGTGCGTCGGGGGTGTTTCCCGACGCGGTTGAAGGAGAGACCGCGTACTTTTGACATTGCCGCGCAGAGGTCGGGGTCGTCACGCTCCTGGATGCAGATCGTGAAAGAATCACTCGTCCAAGCCTCAAGCGATGTCCATCCAAGGCGACCTACGGTAGCCTTGCGTGTGCCGCCGTCTCGTCCGTGTAGGCGCCCGCGCGCCATTTCAGACGCATATCAAATGTGAGCAAAGACCGTTGCAGCTGGAGAGGGTGTGACTACGCACCTCTCCTTGCACCGGTCTTGTCACCGCGATCGTGTTGTCGCATGGGCCGAGCGGCATAAGAATCAGTGATACCATCTTGAAGTGATTCGAAGGAGGAAGGCGTAAAATGATGAAGGACGGCGAGGGGGAAAGAGGATGATGGTCGAAGAGTCGACGAAAGCTGCGACCACAGGCAAGATCAATACCGGACCGATCCCCGCAGGTCGCGCGGCAACTCCCGAGGCAGCTCAGCAGGTCGAAGCGCGGCGAGAGGGGGACAAGAACGTGAATATATACATCT